CTTTGGAGCTAGTCTAAAATCAATGGAACAACTTGTACGATAACTTTTTGCAGAAGTCATTTGATTTCATTGTGGAGTGCAGGAAAGTTAATGAGTAGAAAGATACTCTTATATTTGTACCTATTTATTTGGTTCATTTGTTCAACTTTAACTTAAGATAAACAATTGTCAATTATGGTGTCATTTGACTTTTATATACTAAGGTCATGTCTTATTATAAAACTTATATTCTTAATAATATTTTTGGACTTATATTTCTTATTAACTTTATTATTCTCGAATAAATATTCTTCTTAGGCTTGACCTTTTCCTTCTATTTTATTGGTAGGCTATTGAATATTTGAGTGGATATTCTATCTAAACTTTAAACATATGAGAACTTGTTTTGTTATAATCAATGTTTATGAATAATTAGCATATTGGAGACTTATTTTTGATTAAGTCATAGAGCAATTATGAGAAATAAAGAGAAAGAATAGTTCGGTGAAATCCTATTTGAATAATGGTACCATCCATGTATCTTGTATAAATACAAACAATAATATTGTTAGTCCTTTCAAAAAAATTCTAAATAGAGTAAGAAAACAATGAAAATGTCTATTGAGATAGGATTAAAGTCTAAAGAATAAACACTACCCATCTGATACCCAACCTAGCGATTACATATCTTAAAACTTAGGTCCAAAGAGAAGAACAAATAATGGAGAGTTTGAAAAAAGATGCATTAAAATCAAACTTTAATAAATAATGATCTATATAAATGACATGTATATTTTCTCGGCAACGAAAAAGGTTGAGTCTAGAAAGAAATGGACTATATGCATGGTGCATAATATTCATTTGCTCCTTGTCAATTGCCAATATACAATCTTTGTGAAGGACTAGTGCAACACTTAGACTTTTATTTTTCTTTGCCAATATTTTGACTTATCATTTGACTTTTATATACTAAGGTCATGTCTTATTATGAAACTTATATTCTTAATAATATTTTTGGACTTATATTTTTGATTAACTTTATTATTCTCGAATAAATATTTTTCTTAGGCTTGACCTTTTCCTTCTATTTTATTGGTAGGCTATTGAATATTTGAGTGGATATTCTATCTAAACCTTAAACATATGAGAACTTGTTTTTTTATAATCAATGTTTATGAATAATTAGCATATTGAAGACTTATTTTTGATTAAGTCATAGAGCAATTATGAGAAATAAAGAGAAAGAATAGTTCGGTGAAATCCTATTTGAATAATGGTACCATCCATGTATCTTGTATAAATACTTATATTGTTGGTCCTTTCAAAAAAATTATAAATAGATAAAGAAAATAATGAAAATGTCTATTGAGATAGGATTAAAGCCCAAAGAATAAACACCCTAATATTTACCACGCTATGGTAGTTAAGGGTCGAGATACTATTGGTCAACAAATTAACGTGACTTGTAAAGTACAACAATTATTAGGAAATAATCGAGTTAGAGCTGTAGCTATGAGTGCTATAGATGGTCTAATGAGAGGAATGGAAGTGATTGACACGGGAGCTCCTCTAAGTGTTCCAGTCGGCGAAGCAACTCTAGGACGAATTTTCAACGTACTTGGGGAGCTTATTGATAATTTGGGTCCTGTAGATTACATATCTTAAAACTTAGGTCCAAAGGAAGAACAAATGATGAAGAGTTTGAAAAAAGATGCATTAAAATTAGATTTTAATAAATAATGATCCATATAAATGACATGCATATTTTCTCTGCAACGAAAAAGGTTGAGTCTAGAAAGAAATGGACTATATGCATGTTGCATAATATTCATTTGCTCCTTGTTGATTGCCAATATACAATCTTTGTGAAGGACTAGGGCAACACTTATACTTTTATTTTTCTTTCAAACACCAGTAGATTTCTTATAGTCTAAATTTCCTAGATAATATTATATACAATGAGAACTACGTTCATTAACTATAAGTGAATAAGGAGAATAGTCTACCTATGAAAGATGTGCTCGTAGAAAACTTAACTCTCAAATAAAGCTGGGAGAAAAGCCATAGCAATCTAACTATTGGGAGGTGAAAAGATTCCCCAATAGATCAAAATAATCTCAATTAGGGCCAGTTAAGATAGTTAAACAGCCACATTTGCAAAATCCAATAGTGCTATGACAGAGTGACAATTTGTCCAAAGATATAAATATTTCAATAGTTAAGGGGCTTGTTGGACAAGAATTAAAGAGACCAAGTTAAAAGAAAAAGTTAATGAATCAAAATATTAATTTAGTCTTTCTTTAATTATATTATATGACCAATAAGAAGTGAGATAATTTATTCAAGTCCCATAAGAAGTACCAATACAAATTAGTAACTTATTTGAGTTTGCACACACATTCTATTAGTTTGTAGAAATGGAACAATTCACTTCTCATTCTCTCTGGAATCAAGATAGAGCAATTCCTTATGGAGCGTGCACATTTTTTTAATTGAGTCTCTTTAAATTGATTATAAAACATGTTTTAATTTGTAAATCCTGGAACACTATTATTTTATGCATGGTTCACCAAATTGTTCTTCTGTGCATTTTAACAAGAACATCTGAAAAATGACATGATTTCGTTGATCCAGTTGCAAGAAATAAACTTTTTCTTCAACGATTTACTGGGTTCATCATGAAAACATTTATTCAACAATTTTTCTATTTCAGATTTTCTCACACGCCTTTCAATTGTTTTCAAAATTGTTATTTCCTATAGAAGCAGTACAGCTTGCATCATAATAAAATTCTATCTAATTTAATTGTGTTTTGAGAGATTGAATCGGGTTACTTACAAAACCCCGTTTTTGATTTTTTTTATTATCATTTGCTATTTCTCTTAGCACAGTTAATGAAATAAAAAATTTAATGAGCGCGTGAGAGCTTATTTTGGGCCCGTTATTGAATAAAATGTTTCTCTTCATAAAAAATAATTACTAATATTAATTGTAATGAAAATAAAAAATTTAATTTAAAAAATATATTAGTTATTATATTATTTTAATACCCTTATTTATTATATTTTAAATTAATAAGGTATCCTTATCTATAAAAGTGAAGACATTTATTTATTTAATATTATGAATATTTTTGTAATAAAATATAATTTTATAATATATAATTAATTTTTTATTTATCTTGATGGATTATTTTTTTTAATAAGACAAAAGATAATATTATTTATTATATTTTTTTAATTTTTGGACAATTTTTTTAAATACATTAATTATTAAATTCTTTTAATATCTTTATTTATTATAAAATTTATATTAACAAGACACTTTCCTTTGATCTGTATAAGTGGACACATTTATTTATTTAATACACAAAAAAATAATTAATATGATAAATATTTTTTAAATAAAATATAAACTTATAATATTTAACTAATTTTTATTTATTTTGATGAATTAGATATTTATTTCTTGTAAATAAAGATAATATTATTTAGAATTAAGATTATTGATCTAAAGTTAAATCTTATACTATTTAATAACTTTTTATAGAGTGTGATGAAGTACTTGTTGATTTTATTTTATTTTATAAAATTTTAAAAAATTGACTTATTTAACTATTTTAATTGAATTTTGGGCCTAAATTTCTTTTGGAAATATGAGACACATTTATTAATACCCTTAATACAAGCCTGATTTTGAGCTGACTTATTTAATATGAGACAATTTTTTAACATCCCTAATTGTTTAATTATTATATTAAATTTATGTAGATAGTAAATTATGCAATTGTTTATTATTTGATGTCATAATTTGAAGATTAAATTAAAATCTTTAAATCCTCTTGCAAGATATAATAATAATTAAATTATTTTATCTAATTTTACCTCGTTATAAAGTCTAAATATATCATATGTGTCCATCTGATACCAGATTAGAAAGCAATATTACACAATTGGAAAATTATTCTTTAAATCCCTTAAATATATCGTTATGTATTTCTTTCGTTTCTTGTTAGTTTATGCTTCGGATTTACATATACATGCAATAAAATATGAATGCATTGTATCTTTCCGTGAGAATTCTCGATCCATCAGTAGTTGGAGGTGATGATAGGAATTTAACTTACCTACAATTTGGATAAACTTTTAAATTAGACCTAAAAAAATTAGTTTAAAAAACAATAAACTTTTTTATAAATTAAAATAATTTCTTTTTTAAATTTTAAAAATATTAAATAAAAAAATTTCTAATGTTTATTTTACTATTTAATCTTTCACTCTAATTATTATTTAATGAAAACTATATTCAAACTGGACCTAGACTCTTTGAATTAGTGCTTTTAGGTGCCACCTTAAGGCTCTTGTCTTTTTTTTATTATTCTAAAATAAGGTTCAAGTAATTTTTAAAAAAGAATCAATTTACTAACAAAAATAGTTTGACATTTATAAAAATTTGATTTGTTAAAAAAATCACACCAAATGTGTTAAAAAATCACTTTAAAGCACATATATACCATAGCCACATCTATAATAGCCATATACAAAGTCAATATACGTAGGTAGCAGATTGCATCTTTTTACCTTCTATATATATTTTTATTAAGTTACTCTTTTAAAACTAAATATAAATTATAAGGACATATATTTAAAATTTAAAATGTGTATAGATACTGTTAAGGTGGTAACTAATATTATGACAATCTTAATTTGTTTATTGTTGGCATCAGCAATCAACAAGAAAGGTGTTTTTGAAACATTTCGACACCTCATATATCCTTGCAGATTCTAACGTGTCCGGAAGTAGAATAGTTCTAATAACTACTTTGATGGACAATGTCAAACAGTGATGAAAAACAAAAACAAAAACAGTGGTGTAACGTGTCTTAATTTTACAAATTATTTACGTTTAATACGTTATTAAATTATTATTATTATTATTATTTTACTTTTTATTCAATCAACTGATTAGACTCACTTTTTTTCATTTAACACAGAAAGGTTTAACGTATTGTAGATTTGAGGATGGAAATGGAGATGGAAAAGGAAAAAGACGGTGAATCAGGAGTAACTGGAAATGACAATACTCTGCTGGATGACGACGGCAAACCAAAAAGAACAGGTCAGATTCTTCTGTCACTCTTTTCATATATTTTCTTCAAAATCGAACTTCATGTCTTGGTTTCAGTTGTTGAGTGAATAGCAATCCTCTGAGTAATGGAATTAAACTTCATGTCTTGGTTTACACAAATACACGGTGTTCGCCATTTTCCTTTGCCCTTTTTATTTTTTCAATTCAAAACACAGATTATCGAATAGTGTACTTCAATTAATTATTTGTTCTTATGGATTAGCGAATCAGGTTGAGTTATGTTACGAGTTGTGAAACTAGTTTTGTATTTTTAGTAAGTATTTTTTTGTGATTCATTTTCATCGAAAACAAAGGAAGACAGATTTAACATGTTTATTGCAGATCCCATCAAATTATCTTCGTGTGCGTTGTGATTGGCGAGCATTTATTGCGTACGTTGCCATTCAAATTGCAGGGATACTGATACTTTTTTTTTTTTTTTTATAAAAAAAGTGACATATTAAACAAGAAATATATATTTATAAAATTTATTTATGATTGACAGAGAATTATTATATAATTTTTTAATTTTTAATTGTCAAAATATTTTTATATAGTTAAAAACACTTTTTTTAAATTACGTAAGATTATATTTTACTTTAATATTTTTATTAATAATTTTGTATGAAAACAGTGGACCTTTATTATAAAATTTCATAATTTTTATTGATATAATAATGTATAATTAAATAGTCGTATAAATAATCTTTGTACTATTAGTATGTTTAAATTAAATTAAATTGCGTTGCACTTTTAAAATAAAAATCTATAGATAAACAGAAAATTATGTATGGTTTGATTTGTCCATAATGCGATGAATGATTTGTGCATATATCAATATAATAACCACGCCTAATTCGTATAAAATTCATCATCAAATAAATTTCTTATCATGTAACACATGCAACACATTGTTAAGAAAATTGTATAAAGTTTGATTAGTACAACAGAAAATGGAATTATCGGAATGAAAAATAAGTTAGCTTTTGCTTGCATGACAAGAATGCAGGGACAGCATGGACTGCTAGTGCTCATATAATAACAACAGTAGTTGGTGCTGGGGTGCTTTCTTTAGCTTGGGCCATGGCTCAACTAGGATGGATAATTGGCATATCTTCTATCTTGCTCATATCTTGTGTCACCCTCTACACATCCAATCTTCTAGCAGATTGTTATAGATCACCAGATTCTATCAATGGGAAGAGGAACTGCACTTACATGGAGGCTGTGAAAACCAACTTAGGTATTCCTCAATGCCAAATCCCATCTCATGTGATGCCTCTACTACTAATTTCACATGCATGTCGAATTCTAATTATGGTTTTGTACATTTCTTTCAAAAAATTGTTAGGTGGTAAAATGCATCTGTTATGTGGATTGATTCAGTACAGCAATCTTAGTGGGGCTGCAATTGGATACACAATAACCACATCCATAAGTGTGCTGTAAGTTCTTACATGTTCTTTTAATTTAATTTTATATACTTTTGGTTGTCTATACATTCCACTTGTTTTCCTTTTTATTTTAATTCAAGTAAAACTTTATAAGTATAAATTATATGAGAAAATATTTTAAATTTAAAAAATACGTAATATTATATTAAAATTCTTTGAATCTAAATTAAAAATAAAAATAGAAGTTGAGTCATTTTATAACAATGTTACTTCTTCCATTTATTGAAAAATGTTACATATTTCAGGTCAATACGGAAAATTAATTGCTTCCACAAAGAGGGAATTGCAGCTCCATGCCAATTTTCTAATAATCTATACACGATTGGTTTTGGAATTGTAGAAATCTTTTTGTCTCAAATCTCCAATTTTCATAAGCTGTCTTGGCTGTCAATCTTAGCAGCAGTCATGTCTTTTGGTTATGCATTTATTGGCGTTGGGCTTTCTCTTGCCACCATCATTCAAGGTTAATTTTTCCCTTTCTCATTCACTTTTGAGTTCAATATCAATTATACATTACAAAAGAATATTATTTATTAATAATTAAATATTAAATTAACTTTTATCAGTATAATTTTATAAAAAAAAATCATTAGTAAAAATATTTTAAATTTATACTAACATTATTATAATATATTATACTAATAAATAATTTATTATTGCAAAACATTCATACATACTATTAATACACAAGCATTAATTGTGCATTATTTAGTATAGACATTCAAATTCTTTTATTTTTTTTATTTGATAAAATTTATACAAACAAAGATTATTCTAATACTGAAATGATTTTTGTGAATTAATAATTAATATTTTTAATAGTGTGAATATTGTAATTATAAACATAATATTCTTCACACATCTCATATGAAAGATTACCATTTGAACTGAGCTAAATATTGGTAAACACCTTTAACACAATTTTTTAATTGTTGTGTGGAATTTATTTTGAACTCATTGTTAAATAATGTGTCTCATTAGATTCTATTTTTATTTAATAATTTTCGTATATAATTTTATCAAATAATAAGAAAAAGCTTTTTACTTGCTAAAATATGGATTGAAACAGGAAAAGGAAGGAGTACCTTTTTGTTTGGGGGAAGCAGGGAGCAAAGCTTTGCAGATAAATTGTGGAATATTTTCATTGCGCTAGGAAATGTTGCACTTGCTAGCAGTTATGCTCAAATTGCTATAGATATCCAGGTATGAACAAACTATAAATAAGACCTTCTTCTCAATGTGCAATTATACCCTTTCTCTCTCACACACAAATCAACTTCTCCAAGTATAATAACATTCATTTGTTAGATCTTCCACGCTACCATCTTTTATATATGCTTATTTTGCTCAAATTCAAATATTTTCTCTTCCATAGCCATGCCTTATTCCTCTTTATCTAAGGAATTGTAATATGTTATAGGTTTTTTTTTTCTTCCATAGCTTTGCAAAGGCATATTTATTATTCTTTGTTTGTGTACATTATAATCTTAGTTGTTGCAGTGATTTAACTTCTTTTTTTTTCTCTTATACAATTTGCTGTTCCTTTTTAATGTACTTTTTTCCTCATTTATTTGTTTTGTTAGGACTTCTATACCCACTTACTCATTTGATATTTTTCTTTTATACTATCTTTTCAATTTCTTTATTTTCTCTTCTCACAAAAATACAAAGAATGACTCTGTTATTTACCTTAATTCTTAGACTATTTGATTTAAAATTGTCAAAAACATACAAAGAAATGTATGAATAACAAAATCTAACTTTTATGCACACTTCCCACCCTCACTTAATTATATTGCCTTTTCCTTACTTTAATTTATTATTTCCTTTTTTTTTATTCTACTTAATTTAGTATATGATTCACATACTAACAATGAATGTGTTTATAAACTCTCAAGGATACCCCTTGAGTATCTAAATTAAATATTACATATACAGAGTATCATCATCATTCTTCAATTGTTATCTATGTGCTTAGCACATACTTGCCATTAAAAAAAATCAGCATAATCACATCTTTTAATTATATATATATACCATTAATTTTGTCTGGTTAATTATGATAGTGTGAGGTGATTTGTGAGTAATTGTGTCAATGACATTATTTTATTATGAGTATATAAACTTAGTAATTATATTTATTGATAAACTTAAAATAGGATATATTGTTACATTTAAATTTTTTTACTTGAACGGTATGAAAAATAGGACTCTTTAAAGTCATCACCGCCAGAAAATAAAGTGATGAAGATGGCAAACACGATAGGAATATGTTCAACGACAATTATCTTTCTTTTGTCTGCCTGCTTTGGCTATGCTGCATTTGGCTCAGACACTCCTGGCAGTATCCTAATGAGCTCTGGTTTTAAAGATCCTTTTTGGCTTGTTGACTTAGCCAATGGATTCATTATAGTACACTTGGTTGGAGCTTATCAGGTTCTGATCCATTACTTTTGACTTCTTAATATCATGCTCATTTTAGCTGTGATATACTGTAAATTTTTAATATTATGTTAGCTAAAAATAGTAATTTAGTTTATAAATAATCTATTGGTTTCAAAATTTAAAAAATAAAAATTATTTTTATATTTTAGTAATGTTTATGACTATTTTGCCTATATTAAATAAGATTGATAAAGTATTTTTTGTTTCCTAACAAAAATCTTATTCCCCTCCCCCTCCCCCTCCCCCTCCCCCACAAATGTACATTTATTGATAAAGTATGGTTTGTTTAGTATAAAATACACTTCTTAATTTAATTCTTAGACTATCAGCAAAGAACAAAATGATACAACAGCAAAGAATATATTTTTCTTAGTGTTTATTGTTAAGACAGTTATTAATAATTTGTTAGTGTTTATGTTAAAATAGTTAATTATAAGGCAACAGTAATTCCAACAATACGAACTAGAATAATATACTCTCAGTATGAAATGTGTAAAATGACAATGTAATAATGTTTTTTATTGAGTTTTCACATATAAGATTCTTGGGTAGATATAGGAAAGGTTCATAATAGAGTCTTCATGTCTAATAAAACCAACTTATGCCTAGTATCAATAGATGAGAAAAAAAAAATGATATGATGTTAAGATTAGAAAACATCTTTTACATAGCTTAGACTTAAAGTATAGCTCTTTGAAGATTGTGGAATAGCAGCACTAAAAGAAGTGGTGTTATTAACATTTGTAAGATGAAATTTGGTTTGCAGAATATTTGATTCTGTCAGAAAACTTGATAGCATCAAGTAAAGTTACTCAACAAGAATATAAATTGTATTCTACTGATTGAGAAAGTAATGTGCAAGTGTGTCTAACATGAAGAAATCTATATCTTATATTTGTAGGATGAGTGTCATATAAGAACTCATTTTCCAATAAAAGCAATTCTATTTTTAATAGTTTTAAACAAATTTATATTTTCAATATGCTTATACTGTCTTTATTTGTTTATATTAATTTCATTGTGAAATATCATTGATATTGAATAAATTATGCACATGTAGGTAGTTAGCCAACCTATTTTTGGTGCGGTAGAAACTTTGGCTGGCCAAAGGTGGCCACAATCAAGTTTTGTTACAAGAGAGTATCCCATGAGCATTGGCAAAATAAGGTATAACTTTAATTTCTTTAGGCTCATTTGGAGAACCCTATTTGTTATAGTGATGACTGTTTTGGCCATGGCAATGCCTTTTTTCAATGAAATGCTTGCCCTTCTTGGGGCTATGGCATTTTGGCCCTTAGTGATTTATTTTCCAGTGGAGATGTTCATTGCCAAACAGAAGATCAAGAAACAATCATTTAGGTGGTTTGGACTTCAAACCTTGAATTTTGTTTTTATGTTAGTGTCAATGGCTGCGGCATGTGCAGCCATTCATGGGTTAAGCCGAGCTCTTCATAAGTATAAGCCCTTCATGTATAAAATGTAATTTAAATTTTGTAAGTACAGTTCCTAGTTATTAATGCTTACAAGTAGCTTATTACATTATAAGAATGGGTTCAATTATAAATACAGTTGTGTTATGTTACTAATCATGATTATGCTTATGTTTTTGAAGTTTGAAAAATATAAGTTGTACAGTTAGACATGGAGCTAAATTTGAATTGCAGGTTTCCCTTCAACTACCACCCAACTTTGATTGAGAAAATCCATTTTGACTATTGTGAGTTTAGTTTCTTCCTAACCTATAAATGTAGAGGCGTGATGGGTTTATAAAATGAAACTACCCTCCCTCGTCTAGTCAAAATTGCACACACATACATAGATGATCCAAGTTCAAGATTTTAGGCTTTTTATCTTAAAATTCTTGTTGTCTATTAATGTTTATATATTATTTGAATTTTAATGTACTTGTATATTAAGCAAATTGAGTTTAAGGGAAAGAAGGTAAGGTTATGGTTAAATTCTTTTGCCCTTCCTCTCCCAAATTCACACACCTTCGACTCACCCCGTCACTACGCCAAAACATAGTGGCATTGAAAAAATCAGGGTTTGAGAATAAAAATATGTGGGCAAAATTAAATTAAATATTTTATACTCAACCCAAACAAAAATATTGAAGCCTTAAAAAATGTTCGCAATTATAAAATGAAATATTTATGGTGAAACTTTATCAATAAAACTATAAAAGTGTAAATATATATTTTTTATTTTCTGTAAAAAATCACTAATTTTTTTTTAAGCTTCTTAAAGTATGTTGCTAATGTTGATTCTCATAGATTAGGGTTGCGTTTAAATCAGATAATTAAAAATTTTAAAGAATTTAAAATTTTAAAACTATAAAATTAAATCATTAAAATTTTTATTATTTAAAAATATTTTATTTGAACAGAATAATTAAATTAAATTTATTCATAGTGCTCTTAATTTGAAATTTTTATTTTAATAATGTAATTAAATTTCATTTATTTAAAATTCTGCATTTTTTAAATTTTTTATTTTGGTAAATTAGTTAAATTACTTTTGAGTTAGAAAACTTTAAAAATATTACTTTTACATATTAATCCAAGTGATTTTCTAAAATTATTGAAGTCAGTTTGAAGGTATAAAAAGAAATCTTTATTTGCATTGCAATAGTTATTTTTAAAATTTTGTAATCACTACTTTTTGTTGATATTATAATAGTTAATTTTGCTTTAGAGGGTAAAATAGAAATAGCGATGGAATGAGTTTGAAAGAGAAAAAAAACAAAAACATAAGAACATAAAATTAGACCATGAAACAGAAAGGTAAAAATTTCATGAAATACAACATGAGCGACTGCAAATTTTAAACTTTAATTATTTTAATCATGGTAGTTAAATTGAGATTCGAATACGTGAATTGGAAGAATTATCTTTTGAATTATGAATCAAATCGTATTGAGAATTTACGATTCATAATTATTATTAAAAATATAATAAAAAATATTTTAATATAAAAAAATTAAATTCATCATATATTAATATTTAATAATTAAATATTTCATTATATAATTAATAAAATAAAATATAATACAAAAATTTAAATCACATCAACTAGATTGACACTTAAAAAAAGATTGTAACTATATAAATTATTTACAAATTGAAAGATTATAACATAAAATGGAAGATTGTTCTTAAAATATAAATATAAATATATATATATATATATATATATATATATATAATATCACAAATAAATAAATAAAGTAACCTTAAAATCATAAAATGATTTAATTAGATGTGACTCTATAAAAAATGTAATTTTATTCATTATAACTCTATATATCATAATCCATAAAAATTATAATTCTATAAAAAATATAATTTTATTTATTTATTTAAATAATATAAGTTTTTATAAATAAAAAAATATTTTTCTACAATATCTATGTCTAAGCTATTCACATAGCCTAGTTAAACATATGCTGACAAAAAAAAAATCTAAAAAACATGCAACTAGAAAAAAGAATAAAAAACAAAGATACACAATAATAATAAAATGAAGTCTACAAGTGAGATCAGAGAAACTCGTATTCAAACATCCAAAGCGAACTCACAGACACAACAACCACCGAAGAAATAGAGGCAGAAAAAAGAACCTAGTATCCACCAGTCACATAGACATGCATAAGAAGCAACACAACTGGCTAAGTCATGCGCAACCCGTTCTAATCGTGCACTGTTGATGAGAATCTCGATTCTACATTAATTCGTGCGATTCAGGCGATTCAAGCTGCGATTCTGGAACAAATTCGATACTTCCTGCATTAATTTGTATCTTTCAAACTAAAATCTTATGCTATAACCAAGTGCATCAAATAAATCATATTTTATGATGAGGGAAGCAAATGCAACAACCAAATTAACTTTATTCCTTAGAATTCAGCAAATATTAAGAAGGAAATACACTAGACACCGAACTAAACCATATTCAACCTTTAACACAAAACAAGCAAATCAAAGTTGCATGACCATATTAGAGGTACTAATCAAGAAAATAACAAAAATTAAAAAAAAAAATTAAGTGGAGGAAAATTTCAAAAACCACAAGAACTGAAATGAAAAAAAAAAAAAGGTTGGGGTGAAGATCTTTTTATGGAAATAATTTGATAACTTTAGGTTTTCGTTTGAATAATAGTTTGTGCTTGTTAACGAGACTCCATCAATTCATCTTAAAGATTTGTAACCTACAAGAACTATGTTTTATTATTTATGTTTCATTTACATAATTTTAACTTGATTAATCTATGAACATGCTTTTTACTGCTTGATTTTGCATCTTTTTCTTTATGTCTAGGTAATTGAATGAATGAGATAAGGTTAAAGGACTTCATGTATGTAAGACAATTTCTTCCATGGGGTATATAAGCTTTATATAAAATACTAAAATTTAAGGAAAAATCATAAGTGTGATAAGCATAATTTTTAAAATTTAGTCAGTAATTTTTCATGAATTTGTAATGTGATTTAGGTGTGTTAATTAAAATTCTAAAATAAAAGCTTAGAAAAATAGCAATGAGTTATCTGAGATGGGAGGAAAGAATAAGAATCATGAAAGAACATAAAGACTAACCAACTTTGATTAAATTTTCATTAGATATTAAATTTATATTTTTGTCAAAGTCTTTTCAGACTTGGACAACTTGAGTAAGATTCGGACTTGCTTTGGACATTCTCAAGCTGTCTAAAAATTTAGTACATGACTAGTTCATTGATGTAATCCAAAATAATATTTAATTATAATCAAATACATAAGAACCAATATTAATTAGTAAAAATTTAAGAATCTAACGATAAAATGGTTTTTATAAATAACAAATAAATTAATATGAAATTAGTTTATTCTATTATGAAATATTTGGAAATCATTTAAAATTATTATGAATAAATGATTACTTAAACAAAATATTTAGGAAGTGACGAGAAAAATTTAGGCAATTACTATTTCTATCATGCAGACATATTAACATGTGAGAAATATTTTTTATTGAATGCAAAATGAACTGTATCTTGGTGAAATATGAAGAAGAGATAGGCATGAATTCTGAGAATCTTCATGTTAAATGTTATACAAAATTCACAACTGACCTACGCTTACTATTTAAGTATCGTGATGTTGTGTAGACTTAAAGCGAACCATTATCTTGTGCACACTATATTGATGAAATTGATAATCCTAAAACATGTTTTCCCAACAATTTGTTCATTATTTAATGATCATGCATATATTAAGATTTAACATTGTATATATGTGGCATTTTCATAATCTCATAATACTTGCTTCTCTTTTTATGCATCATGCAATTTGCAATTAAAATTGTAAATTGGTTTTAAAGATTTAAATATCACTGTTTAAAAAAAAAAGGACACGGGTTTCTTTCCGAAAGAAAAATGAGTGAATTTAACAAACATGTCATAAACGATAGAAATCAATCCAAAATTTGAAACTATTACTAATAAGAAAATGGAAATAAGTTCAGGAAGCATACCTGACAATATGAAAAGGCCAAGACAATGAGTTCTTGGGAAAATAATAAAATGTATATTAACAAATAAGAATGGTTTCTTTTGCTGTTTAGTATTAATCCATTTAGAGAGTTGATTTTTGGAGAAGGTGCCCCTTAAGTTTAAAATTTTGAACTTCAAGGAGTAATAAATAACTAATAAATGTATAGATGGTATTAAATGTAAAAGTATTGGAATTTGGAAAGTAAGCATAATTTCATTGCAGGCACTTTTAAAATGCACTACTTTTATTCATTGTTTTATAATTTATAAAAATATAAATGACTAAAAAAGAGTGTAGAAGAATCTATGGGTAAAAAATTATACATCAATTTTTAATTTTATATTATAAATATAGCATAGATATTAAATATGAAATATTTTTTTAATATATACTCACTAGCATATAATAAGTTATTAAATACACTATCTTTTTATTAAATATCATATAATATGACAAAAATTTATACATTAATAACAATAAATATCATAATTATTAAGATAATATTATATTAAATAAATTAAAATTAAATTGTAAAAATTTAAAATGAATATTTAATTAAAAAAATACATAATATAAAATATATTTAAGAAATAAATTCTCATTTAAAAATTTTTAAAAAACATTTTTATTTAATAAAAGTATAGTTCTATGATTAATATTTATAAATAAAATTTTATATTATAAATGAGAGTCTATTTTTGAAAAGTGAAATATTAATAAAATTATTTTTTAATATATTTTACGATTAATATTTATCAAGAATCATATATAAATTATATTTAATTTGTGTACTATTTTCTTCTTTTATAAAAACAAACTTATCCGTGGTTTATTCAAACCGAATATTAAATATAATAATAAAAAGGAACTGCAATTAACTTGAGTTGTTTTGTTTTTTCTATTTTGAATCCAAAATTGACCTTTTGTATATGTATGGGTGACGGTGGTTGGTGGTATAATAGTTGAAAAGAGTAGATTCAGTTTGAAGCGCATTGTTATTTGGAAAAGAAGATGAAAGAGGAGGATCATTCGGGAGCAATTCAAAGTGCGTGTTCAGCTCTCGACGATGATGGCAAACCCAAAAGAACAGGTTCTTTCTTTATCCAACTTTTCTGCATGCAATTCTCTCCCTTTACCATTTCTTATTTGCTCATCTCATTCGTCCACTTTTTTTAGGGTTAAATTCAAATATTGTGGCTAACCCAAAAGTACAGCTCTGTGTTTTACCCTCTTTTTTTCTTTCTCCAAATTATTTTCAAGTGACAAATTGTTAGTTGCCTTCAGCACCCCCTTTAAACACACTTCTTAGTTTCAAATTATAAGAAGAAACAGCGCACATACTAAAGTTGTTGTACTCGCTTTGGAGAAGAAGGAGCAGAGGAGAACATCAGAATTATGAAGTGAAAATATTTTTTTAATGAATTATTATAAATATATCCTTACTTGTTTAACGTGATTTTTAAGGATTTTCTTCATTTCTTAATCAGTTAAACACTAGTTAAAGTTTAATCATCTAAAAATAATACATTTTTATTAAAAACATTTATTTATTACATTAAAATTATAAAAGTGTGATGATTTTATTTTTAAAAAAATACTATTTTTAGTATTTAAACTCATACTTAAAGGTTGCAATTAATATTTTTCTAAAATTTTCATTTCTTCCTCTTCCTTTCCCTGCTCTCCCAAAAACAGCATCCACACAATTTTGTCTCTGTCTCATACTCATGTTTACTAGTGCATGGACTCACACAACATTATACATTAACTATCCACACAATGTACCACATTATATTGTGACCATAATATATCACCAAATGTTCATTCTCCCACATTTTTTATCTTTCATACACACACAAGCACATCTGTTTCTTTTTCTGCTTTTTTCACTCAAACTCACTAAAAATCTCCAACATTCACCTTATTCTCTTCTCACGCACCATACACACTAATATAGCACTTCCATGGTTGTTTTGTGTCGTCACACAACGTACATTATTCATCAGTCGTCACTTTCAATTATGCCATTATCAAGCATGCAAGGAGGAAAAAAAAACAAGAGAGAGAGACGAAAGAGTGAAAGAAAAGGTTTTGTTTGAATGAAAAATAACGATGATAAAAGAATAAGATGGTTGAATAATAACAAGAGAAAAAAAATAAAAAAATATAATAGAATTAATAAAAATAAAAAATTATTTTAAACACGTTCAAAAATTATAGAAATAAACCAAATTAAAGAACTAATATACTAATTTTACTACAGAATTAACGTGCTAATCTCAACTAAGTTAATTAATCGATTTTAAGCAGACTTTGTAGGCTGTCCTATCTCACCTAGTTCTATACACAGTCAATTTTTTTTAATCAAAATAGATTATATATTTGAGCGGTTTGACTAAAGTTTTAGTCAAATCACATCGTTAAAATCAATATTTTCATTGATAAGTCAATTTTGTTATTGATATCAGCTAAAGTGAAGATAATAAATAGCATTGGATATAATTTAGATCTAATATATATACTACTATTTGCATTACCAGTTAACAGTGTGACTGTTATTAAATATGAATTTTTAATGTATACTTAGAACAAGAAGTTAAATAATTAATTAAAAAAAGTAATATATTATTTTAATTCTTAAGATTATAAGCTATACATGTGTGATTATAAAAAAAATAGTCTTTTAATTATTAAAATCAAATATTTTAATTCTTAAATTAAAAATCAAATATTTTAGTTTCTGAAATCATAAAATCAATTATTTTAGTCTTTAAAATTATATATATGCGATTATTTCAAAATTAAAAATTAAATACTTCATTGTAATTTCAAAACTAAATTGATAAGTGCTGACAATTTTAAAGACAAAAATGACTGGTTTAAAAATTAAAATGATTGATTACATAATTTTAAAGATTAAAATAATAAATTATTTAAAAAAGTATTTATTATCTAAAAATTATAAAACATATTTAATTATTATTTTTATGGTTATTTAAAATATTTAATAGGATATATTTAATAATTCTTAACATATACTTTTGAACACATCAAAGTTAACATGAATAAGAAAAATGACAATCGTTTAAAATATTATTAAATAATAAATATTGAAATAATTTAATGAAAGACCTTATTGTTTCATAAAATTAATAAAGATATTTTTTTGGCATACAATAAAGGTTTTGTCATAATAATATATCTTAAAAACTAACGTTTGTTTAAAGATTGAATTTTAATATCCAGTAATAATAAGATTTTATATAAAAAAAATTATTTATTACACTTTTAAACTTTAATATATATATTTTCAATAAAAAGCTAACTACTTTTATGTGTTTAACACTATATTTTAAATTATTTTTTAAAATATATCAAAAAACATATAATAAAAACTTGAAAAATATCAATAACACTCTCTTTTTAACTCATTCTAAATCATAAATTAAAATTTATTAAAAATTTAAAAAATTGTGACTCTCACTTTTAACTAATAATTAAGAATTTATTAAAAATCGTATTTTCAACATTTCTTAAAAAAAATATATAATAAATTTTTATTAAAAATTACAATTTAACACACATGATAATATTAATTATTATAATTTTTAATAAAAATAATACTATTTTTAATATGTATTTATAAAGATACGTTAAATACATTTTTTAAAATGCAAAAGAACATTTTAGCCATTAATAGCTATATATATATATATATATATATATTATTTTTTTTGTACAATATTAATTTGATCAATATGTCATTAATGAGCATGTTGACTATGGTTACATTTATGGCATTAGTTGTTTATGAATATAAGTATAGGTACACTTTTTGTTTTCTAACTTCTATGAAAAAAAATATAATAAAAAGTTTTGTATAACATATTTTTAGTATTAACCATTTTTTAATGTATATGCAAAATACAAAATAAAAGCATATATAAAGTTTTATAAAATATTATAAATTTAATGTATTAATAATATTAAAACATTTTAAAAAATTATTATTTACTCTTAACCACATGTTAAATTTTTTATTATAAATAATAAAATTGAATATATTAATACCTTTAAATACCATAATTTTTATTATTTTTTATTTTTTGATATATGTCTTTATACGCACGTAAAAAAATTATATAAATTAGTATAATCCTTCCTTAATGGAAAGGGACCACGGCAACATTTTGGATTTGCGTGAGGCTGCAATCGGTGTTGCCTTTATTACAATTTAAGCACTAGTGGGGACAGTAACAAAAAAAAAAAACACTAGTCGGGAACACTCATTAATGAAGGCTTGTTTGTTTTCTTCTTTTGAAAATATGATTATTGATGTCATGATATTAACAAAAATAATGATATTTAGAGAGGAAATTATATCTTACTTGTTAATATGATTATTGAGTAGTGTAATGATTATTGTGAGTTTGAATGAGAAACATGCAGGGACAGCATGGACAGCAAGTGCTCATCTAATAACAGCAGTGATTGGTGCGGGAGTGTTGTCTTTAGCTTGGGCCATGGCACAGTTGGGATGGATAATTGGTATATCTACACTCTTACTCTTTGCTTGTGTCACTCTTTATACTTCCAATCTTCTAGCAGATTGTTATAGATCACCAGACCCTGTCACTGGCAAGAGGAACACCACTTACATGGATGCAGTGAAAACCAACTTAGGTATGTAATTGCCAAATCTAATGTCATGTAATATTATTCATGTCATTGCTCATCTTCGTATATATCTATATATAATCAATTCTATTTTATTTTTCAAACTATAATTAGGTGGTAACAGGTATTTTTTATGTGGACTCTTCCAATACATCAACCTTGTTGGAGCAGCAATTAGCTTCACAATAACTACATCCATAAGTGCAGTGTAAGTTGTGTATTTTCATGTTACTTTTATAGCTTTTAGAATATTAGAAAAGGGTAATAGCGTAGTAGCTAGAGATATGTGGTTAAGTTGGATGAAAGTTGCAGATAAAGATTTTATATTTGAATTTATGATACCATCTTTATAATAAAAATTACTGTTTCTCAATAGCAGAGAAAAATTTTCAGCTCATGCAAGTTTAGATTGTCAATTGTATTTCTAAATAATAACTCATTAAAAGGTTGTTGTAATCTTTTGTTACTTTAATTTCGTTATTCAAACTTTATTTATTCCGAATCCTTGTATTTCAGGGCAATACAAAAAATTAAATGTTTCTACCAGAAGGGAATTGCTACTCAATGCCGTTTTTCTAATAATCCGTATATGATTGGTTTTGGAGTTGCTCAATTTTTCTTGTCTCAAATACCCAATCTTCACAAACTGTCTTGGCTCTCAATCTTAGCATCGATCATGTCTTTTGGTTATGCATTAATTGGTATTGGACTTTCTCTTGCTACCATCGTCCAAGGTTAATTTCTATTCTTATTCATCTTTTTGTTTTACAAATGTTGACCAGCAACTTAGGGTCGTTAAAAATTGAAAATATAATTTTTTATTAAAAATATTATTAGACTTTTTTTATTATTATTTCTAACAAAAAAACATCTTTAATTCTTTCATCACTGTCTAAAAGATAACAATTATTATGAGTTTTATAAATATATTTTAGATTTTGCGTCATTACTAAAAGTGATTACAAGTTTAAGATATTTAATTAACTTATTAATTAAAACTTTGTAATGCAAAGTTACTATATTATAGACAAATGTTAATTACCGACTCTTTTATAATTTATTCACTTAATTATTTATTATTTTTAAAGTATTAAAATCAATCTTACGTTAAATAAACATTTAGAACTTTATGCGCAAATAGTACGTATAATTTGATAATGAAATCGCTTCAACCTAACACTATCGGAAACAATTAATCGACTAAAACGCAGCATTCCTCTGTCTCTCTCTCTCTCTCTCTCTCTCACACACACACACACACACTCATTAGGTGCTTAATTCTGCTTCGTTTGTTATGGTTATGAAGATTAATTAATTATATTTGTGGAAACATGGATTGAACCAGGGAAAGGAAAGAGTACCTCTTTAATTGGAGGCAGCAAGATGCGAAGTTCAGCAAACAACATATGGAATATGCTCATTGCACTGGGAAACATTGCACTTGCTGGCACTTATTCTCAAATTGCAATAGAAGTTCAGGTATTTAGAGTCCAAAGTATAAACATATGTTTTCTGAAACATATGTTTTCTAATCTTAAAAAGATTATTTAAAGGTTTCGTTTCCGGACATGAGAGAATAAGAATAGATCATAAGGGAGTAATAAAAATATGAAAGAATAAGAGAATAGATAACAAATTCTTATTTTATTTTGCATTTAATGTACATCAAAGTAATAAATTAAATATGCTGTATCATCCAATTTAACAAATGTTAAATTCATATTACATAAACTATTACTTAAATCAAGTTTGTTTAGTAATGAATAACAATAAGAGCAAGACCAAGAGAGGAAGAGGCGACAATATATAGTGATAATAAGCTTGTAGTAATAGAAATAGTGGTGGCAATAAACATGGTGATGAAAGCAATTTCAGCGAAGATTGTGAGTGGTAGCATGATTGTTGCAGTGAAAGTTGAGGTCATTGTAGCTATAACAATAACTATGATAGTATTTGATTGTTTGTGGTGATGAGAAATGATTGTGTTGGTAGTGATAGTTGATTGGTTTGATAGTGATAATAATGGTTTTAGCAGTGTATATATTTTAGAAAAGATAAGATAGTTGGAAAATTTATTTTTACAACTAAATTGAAAACAAAAATTACTTTTCTAAAATTTATATTTAGAAATATAAAAATGAGAAACATGCAACCCTCCAAATATGGCTCGGCCATATGATTTAGAGAGGTCTCCTAGAGTATGTTACTCGTTACTTAATATTCTCTCTCTTTTAAATGATGATTATTAACTAATACTGCCCCTACCCCACAAAATGATGAAGTGTATGCCTTGTAATCCCTTTCTTTTATTGTTGAATGGATGACAATAAAACGAAAAAAAGATTTTCCAATTACAATTTAAAATTATTTATATTGATTTGGTACGAAAAATAGGACTCTTTGAGATCGTCACCACCAGAAAACAAAGCAATGAAGACGGCAAACAAGATAGGCGTACTCACGATGACTATTATCTTCCTTGCATGTGCATGCTCTGGCTATGCTGCATTTGGCTCAGAAACTCCCGGCAACATCCTAATGAGCTCTGGGTTTAAGAAGCCCTTTTGGCTAATTGAGTTGGCCAATGTCTTTGTTATAGTCCATGTGGCTGGAGCATATCAGGTTTTGACACATTCACTTTAATCTTATGATGATACAAATGGAGAAACGTTTTATTCGCAATTATTTGTTGGGATATATTTCCTCATCTTAAATAAATTGTGGACAGGTTGCTGCTCAACCCATTTTTCGTCTAGTCGAAACAATGGCTTACCAAAGGTGGCCAAGCTCAAGTTTTGTTATAAATGAGTATCCTATGAGAATCGGGAAATCGAAGTTCAACATTAGTTTATTTAGGCTTGTTTGGAGGACCATATTTGTGGTGATAGTAACTGTTCTAGCCATGGCAATGCCCTTTTTCAATGAGATGCTCGCTCTTCTTGGGGCCCTTGGATTCTGGCCATCATCTATCTATTTTCCGGTGGAAATGTACATTGCAAGAAAGAAGATCAAAATAGGAACAATCCGATGGTTTGCACTGCATGCCTTGAGCTTATTTTTCTTGGCAGTGTCCATGGCTATAGTGTGTGCAGCCATTCATGGGTTGAATCAAGATATTCACAAGTACACGCCCTTCATGTATAAAGCGTAGCTAACTTCCAAAAGTATGATTTAGAATATATTGAAATGAAAAGGAAAAACATTGAACTCCTGGTATTATGAATGAAAATAAAAGGTTAGCTTGTAATCTCTATATTGAAGAGTTTGTGTGTCGCAATCAAAATCCTAGTGGGATCGATGACAAATACAATTATTGAAGGAAATATATGTAGTATTTGAAATATTGGTGTAGATATTTAAAGCTCGAGATTTGATTATGGACAAGGAAGGCATCACCATCTTACGTACACACAATCCTTTTAAGCATATTTATTTAACTCTTAAAAAATAACGGAATAAAATTTTAATTATTGAATAAAATATTGTGGAAACTAAATTATGAAAATTTATTTTGTTTAATCGTTTGATTCATGCTCCTTCATATTTTCTAATACAATAATGGAACCATTAAGCTGTTACAGGTAAAGTGTTTCCTCTCCCTCTCCCCCCCCCACACACACACACAAAAGAAAAAAGATTAATAAAGTATCACATTTAGATTAATACTTGCAATTTAAAATTTTATACAAGTCTTGTTAGAATTCATCAAAATAGACATGAAAATTTAGAATAATTAAATTTTTACAATTAAATTAATTTATAAGAAATTTTAAATTAATTATTTTAAAATACAATGAATTTTTTTCTTATCATAAAAAAGGGTTAAGAACACTAAGATATCATAGCTGAAGTGAAAAAAATTAATAAAATGTTTAATCTAAATTAATATATTAATAATTACATTAATTATTTTTTTTGTATTTTGAACTATTAAAAGAAACCTAGTTAACATCACCAACGTATCTCTATTAAAGGGCTTCTTAAAAGAAGTGTATTTTTTAAAATTATTTACCAAAAAAGTCAAGAAAAATATTTGACTTGAGGTTATTTTTGGCTATGTAGACAATACTTATTTTTTAAAATTAAAAAAAATCTGTAACTTCGTCCTTATTGCATCTTGACCTGTAGTTAACAGATAGGAAGTAGTATACTGTATATGCTCCATCTTCACTTTTTCATGTATATTATTTTGAAATTTTATCATTTATTAAAATCTATTAAAGAGGAGTATTTTTAATTGAAAAAAAATGCATTAGGAAGTGCAGTAATAAATGTGAAAAATAATTCAAATTTATTAACATTGAAAAATTAAAAGCATTTAATTGATTGAATTATAACAATAAATATGAGAAAGACCTCAACCACTCTATTAATTCAGTTATAATTTTTATAATATTTTTAAAATAAAATGAAATTTTTTATTAATAAAAATAGTAAAAAAGAGTGTAATTGAAATTTTTAACAAGGTAATAATACCTCATTAAACTTTTCATAGAATAAACTCATATATACATATATATTATAAATATATTATTATTTTAATAATACTTCTTTCCATTTTTATTTATAAAAATAAATGATTAAATTATTAAAATTGAAAAATATTATATATCATAAATTTATACTATATTATAAAATTATTTGTAACATTAAATAGTTGAATTATTTACTTGTATATTAAATAATAAATAAATAAAATTACTCATATGAATAATAGACGAATGTTTTAAATACAAATAAAAGTATATAAAACATAAAAATTAAAAAAATATTTATTTTTTAAATAAGATGAAAAAAAATTAATTAGATGTTTTAAATTAGAATTAATTCCTTCCAAAATATTACATATACATTGTCATCGCCATCAAGCATAAATGGATATTCTGTGGCCTTGTTATACCCTGGGGTTGCAGTTGCACTACCTCAAGCCGTTCCAAGCAAAACGATACGCACCCAGTATTTGGTGGGAACGCCATTCCTATATGCTTCGTTTCTCTCCCCTTCTCCGCCACCCTCCACTTCACGCCATGGCGCGTGCAATCACATGCGCCACTCAACCCCATTTCTCTTCCTCACCCAACAACGCCACCCCTCGTCACCTGCCTCTGCCTTCAAAATCATCTTCGCTTTTCTGTCGCACCTTTCACGCCTTCGCTCGGTGCCGAAGTGAAAGGAAGAAGCCTTCGCCGGCATTGGTGGGCGTACGCGCCGGACAGAGGGAGTATCGGAAGGTGAGGAGGCGAGCACCGAAGAGCAAAGAGAAGGAGTTGCAACTCTGCGTCGACATTTGCATCGAAGAAGATTTGCCTGAGGATCCTGAAATTTTGGTATTGCACGCGCCACAAATTTACTTTTCAGATTTTTTTTTAATTATTCATTTTGCGAATGGTAAACTTTGAGATGCTATGTGGTTTCGGCTCTGAAGTCTCCATTTGAGAAATGAAAAGGGAAACAAAGATAAAATTTGAGTATCATTGTTGCTTTGACTAGTTGAAATCTTGTGAAATTGGTTGAATGAGGCCGCGAGTCAATAAACAAGTTGATTAATACGAGGTTATCGATTGAGAGCTTGTAACTTATTACATGATTGAATAAGTAACTTTAATAAGCTTAACCAAACAATTGCTTAAACCCTTCTAGGTTATTGAAAATCTTCTAAACGTCCATTCTAAAACCGTTTTTATTTATTTATTTTTTATAAATGTGTAAATTGGTTATTGAAAGTGATGTTCTATTTATGGTTGATCTCTGGAAGTTTTGTTTTCTATAATTTGGTCCTTGAATGTGTTCACTTGCTTACATTTTAGTCATTCTTGGAAACATTTGGTCTCCAGAAGTGTTAGTGTACAAGTTGGTCATCAAATATGTTAATTTTGCTTACAAATTACTTTCATTTTGCTTATATTTTTGTGAGAGGACGACCAAAATGTGATTAAGTTAATACTTTCGAGGACTAATTATAGAAAGCAAAACTTACATAGATAAATAAAAAACAGTATCCCCCTTTCAGGCCCTTTAAGGGATCAGGTTGTATATTTAATCTTTTATTTTGAAATTTTTTTTGAAAGAGAGATATTTGACAATTGTATTGGAGTTCAGCATTATTAATTCGTTTTGGTTTCTTTGTTTTTACTGAGTGCAGAGCATTGCAGAGATGCTTCGTCTAAATGCTCCAATGGCAATGAAACTTGCATTTGATGGTTTGAAAGGTTCAGGGTATAAAACAAGAGACACTGCCATAAATGATGTTGGTGGGTTTGATAGTGTTGAGTTATCAGTGCTTCTTTGCAATGATGAGTTTATTCGAAAACTTAATAAGGAATGGAGAGATGAAGATCATGCGACAGATGTTCTCTCAATGTCACAACATGTTCCAGGGCTCAAGCTTCCTATTGTAAGAATTGCATTGTAAATGAAAATTAAGAACTTACGTGATCAGATGCTAACTGCTTGATGAAATCCATTGTTTGCAGCTTATGTTGGGTGATATTGTAATTTCTGTTGAGACAGCAGCTCGACAAGCAGAGGAAAGAGGGCACACTCTTCTTGATGAGATTCGTATCCTCATGGTTAGTTTCATATGATATTCTGACTATTTTCTGTGTGTGCTGAAGTTTATTGTGTTATTGAAATTCATGTTTGTACTTTTAATCAATACTTTGAAATTCATCTTTAATCATAATTCTTTTGATGAATTCATTAGTCGTTATGATAGAGAGAAAAAGAAAAACTAAAGTGATAATATTGATGTCCATCAAATGCATTTATTTACTAGAAAAGGGGGGAGGGGGTGAAGTACCCTGCAATGCAAAAATCATATACAAGCTTGTCTTTCCATTTTAGTTGAAGTTTGAGTAGAAATGAATTGTTGGTTAAAACTGAAGAATGAAGATATATAAGGTGGAAAGTGAACTGGTGTTTGATTTTCTTCTTGGCCTGGGTTTGTAGTTCAAGAAAAAAATGATAGCATCATGGTCATATCTTCTAAAACTGTGTTTATGATGGGTGAACTGAAATCTTATATCAATTACTACATTTTTTTTTTCCGCAGATTCATGGCTTGTTACATCTTCTGGGATTTGATCATGAAATAAGTGAAGAGGCTGAAGTAGAAATGGAGAGAGAGGAGGAACTCCTTTTAGAAAGTCTTGGTTGGAAAGGAAAAGGGCTAATAAAAAGCGCATGTGATGCTGAAACAAATTCAAACTCTCACCAAGACAGTTCAGATGGTACTTGTATTTTGTACTAGTATGCTTCAGCAATTCATAACTTGCATAATTTATTGGTTTATACACTTCCCTCTAGTTGAAGTCAGTGTCACATGCATTAAAAAGTATGTCGGGAAATAATCTTATAGCTGAATTGTCAAAAGACAGGAAGAAAGAAGGCAGTCTTAGATTTTACAAACCAAAGTTCAGCTATATCTTCTGTGATATGGATGGTAAGATTGCACCAAAACATACAAGTTAGATATTCATTCACCCTTTCTCTAGGTTTTAATAGACTCCCATGTTTTACAAAGGAACATTGCTGAACAGCAAGAGTCAAATTTCTTCTACAACTGTCAAGGCTTTGAGAGAGGCATCATCAAGGGGTGTGAAAATTGTCATAGCTACTGGAAAAGTAAGATTAATGTATTCATAATTTGTCAGGGTTTCATGTTATTGATTTATTTATTCTATATTTGATAATACATATCTATCCTTGGTTTCTGCCATTGCTATATATCTTGGTATATTTTGTAATATAAATTCAGACATTTGTATGATTGAAAATATGTTCTGATCATTGGTTTTGAAAATTGGGAAATAGGCTCGTCCAGCTGTGATAGATATTTTTAAGATGGTGGATTTAGTGGGAAAAGATGGCATTGTTTCAGAATTATCTCCTGGGGTTTTCTTACAGGTATTTTTTCATACCCTTTTAATGCTCATCATGCTGCCTGATTCATCAAGGCTGTCCTTATATGTAACTGAAAGCATTATTGAGTATTATAACCCCTTCTCTTATTCATGTGTATAACAATTTTGCATACATGTAAAACCTATTCAGTATTCTCTATCAACATTTACTATAAATAGTTATACTGCCTAAATGCCCATTAATAACCCAATAATAGATTTCATAAATGATAAGAGTCTGTTTGTTTAGGGAAATGTTTTCTGTTTTTACTAATAATTACAGAAATGCTGCCTTATTTTCACTTTGTTTCATGTTTTCAAATATTTATTCAGTTAATTCTTATCGTACAAATATTTCAAAAATAGGAAGCAAAGTGAGAACAAAGAAGCTTTTTTGTAATTATTAGTAAAAACAAAAAGTACTTCCTCAAACCAAACAGACCATAAAAATAGTATTAACAAAAGCTAACTAGGGGAGCTTCTAAATTGTAAGTCTAAACCTGTTGGAAAACACAAACAATAAAAGAAAATAGGAAGAAAGAAGGTAAAGCTCCAATATTTGCCCTTAAAAAGATCTATTGTGTAAGCAAAGATGTATGATTATATGCAATTTAGATTTCAATTCAAGTAAGAATCATATATATAATATGCATACATAAAAAATATTCCAAAGTTCACTCTTCAATTATAGAACTTGATGGTCATAAGAACAACCAGAGTAAGAAGTAATGCATCAGGGGTTCTATGTTTCTATTGTAGTAATAATAATATATTTCATTTTGATGGAAGCACAAGTTTTATTCACCTAAACTATATCATGCGTGCATTTTCTTCTTTCATGGTTTCTTTGTTTTAAGTTGATGTTATTATTCTATTCATTATATTCCATACACCGCTGATTCCAGGGATTGCTTGTTTATGGGAGACAAGGTCGGGAAATATTGAGAAGCAATTTAGATCCAAATGTCTGTAGGGAGGTAACATCTTTAACCCCCTTATTCATATCCCAAAACAACTTTTTCTTCAAAGAAGACAATACTTTTCCGGATTTCAATATGTCATCCAATACTTTCTTTTTGGACCCAGTTGCAAAAGGTCAGCTGTGGCTTTTTGACTATTTATCACTGTATTTCCCAATTGCTTTATGCAACTCTCCATGACCAGCTTAAGTTTCTTCTACTATAAATTTTCAAGTTTTGTTTTCTTTTTATCCAAATGAAAAAAAGATAACATTTTTTATCCATCTCATTTGAAGGCATATTTGAAAATTACTCTTATCCCAGTTTTCTACACAACAAAAGGGTTGAGTTTTCCAACTTTCAAATCTACATATGTAAATTTTTTTCAGGAATTTCATTGCCTTGTGATAAAGATTCTTCTTGCCAACATAAAAAGAAAGAATTGTGTTTCTTTAACATGCAGGCATGTCTTTACTCTTTGGAGAGTAATGTTCCACTTATTGCATTTTGTGAAGGGCGCTGCTTAACCCTTTTTGACAACCCGCTTGTTGATTCGCTGCATACAGTGTATCATGAACCAAAGGTACCTTTTTTTGTAATTCTCTATGATTCCTTGCATTCAATTTTGCCGTTCACTTTGAGTCTTACGCAGAAATACTTTACAGGCTGAGGTCATGCCGTCTATTGAACATCTATTGGCTGCTGCTGACATACAGGTATTCACTAGGGCAAATCTTTTTTCCTTGCTCTCTAGTTTCAGTTTATGATTACTGTGTGCATGGCTGATGAATGATAAAATAATTAGCAATTCATTATGTAGCTATTCATGCACACTAATGTTCTTGCATGCCAGGAAAGGAGGAATAACTTATAATTTGTAGTTTGACATTTAACCTAAGAATTATTATTTTTTCACCTTAGAACGTAGAGATTTTATAGTTTTAGGAGAAGAGAATGAATATTATTCAATGAATACTTGAGAATTACAATGATTGGACAATAGGAAGAATTGATTAGGGATTCCCTAGCCAATCTGACTACAAAAGATAAGAGGAAATCAAGGAACAAATCAGAAATAGATCAGAGGTAGATGAGAATCAGATATGATTTTATTTTACCCTAACCTTCTAGGAAATTATTAAATTTTGAATGGAAAGAATCCTAACTACACCGTCACCTCTCTCAACATGGTGCATATATATCTAACATGCTCAACTTGCTCACAAGAAACTCAAAATTGGGTCTAAATAGGCTTTTCTCTGCCACTTGCTAAGAGGTTAGAACAAATGACATGCAAATCACTCCAAGTTTGGTCCTTTCCAAAACTATTTCCTTGTGCCATAGCACTATGCTCAACTTCAGCACTAACCTTTGATACCTTGTTGTGTCCACTGGAGTACTTTCTTGAATCTTGGTTATTTCCCAACTGATTATGGTCAACTGGGGTGTCAACTGGTCTGCAACCACTCATTCCAATATATTTGAGAAGATCTAAGATGTATATTTTCTTTGAGCAACAACTATTCCCTGCCTAGATCTTGCAACTTCAACAACAACAACAATCAAGTCTTATCTCATTAGGTGACATTGGTTATATGGATTATACGATGCAATTGAACTCAATTAAAAATCAAATTTTCAATAATTTAGTTAATCAAAATATCTCTTTTAATAACTTTGCCTAAAGTTCTTGAGTCTCCTTGGACCCGTCTTTACTAGATTAAGAGTAATGTAATCCACTTTCTTTATTGGCGCCTTCAAAGGTCTTCGTTGCACATGACCCAATTACTTTAGACGATTTTCATTCATCTTTATTACTATAGGTGTTATTCCAATATTCTTTCTTATATCATCATTTTGTATGCTATCATTTCTCGTCTGTCCACTCATCTACTTTACTATTTTCAATTTTGTTAATCTTTTTTTTTTTTTTGGTTCCTTTAAGGCTTAGCATTTACTACGAGGATAGCTGGTCGTATTATAGTACTGTAAAACTTTCTTTTTAAAGCTTGATAGATCCCAAGGTCCTTAAAATCAAATTCAGCAGCTAGAGATTCCTTTAATCTGTTTATCTCAAGGAAATTTTTAGGGCACGAAAGCCATTTGAACAATATAACACTAGGTGTGATCAGACATCACCAGGGATTTCATCAAGGGCCATCCAAGAGTAAATGGGGTGGATTCAAGTTTGGTGGTTGTAGATAGACTCAGCATATATGTGCACTTTATTGCTCTTATCCATCGTTAATAGCAAACGATGTCTAGCTATTGTGTTGATGAAGGAAATAGTGACATTACATGGTTTCCTTTCATCCATTGTGTGCCAAGCTTTTCTACAATGTTCACACCAAGGATTCTTCCTTTCTCCCGCTAAATCTTTTCCCTTTACTATTAAGGCAAATCTTTTCCCTTTTTATATCTTTAAGGACTCAATAGTGCACAACTTTATTCTTCTCCTAAACTCCTATCTTCTAACCTCAAAAAATACTTTCTACATTGAAGGAAGAGGTTTTCTGCTGAAAATTCTTCCTCTTTCTTAATCCAAATCTTGATTGAGTCCTACTGAAAACATATATACTTTGTCATTCTCCTCTCTTTCTTGTATAATACATAATCATTAGGATTCTCCCATTTATCTTTATAAGATTGATTTAGTTCTTGCCAAAGCATGATGATGACATTGTAGTAAGTTGTGACATATTAATCTCCTTGTTTGGCTTGCCATAAACATGTTTTAAGGTCAAATATCTGAGAAGATATCTATTAAGAAACTTGGATCTAACTCACTCTCAAAAGTTAGTTCATAGGAGAAAGACTATCCTATCTCTTATAAGGAGTATCTTAACATATTCTCTTCACGTTTAGGACTAGACATCTGTGGGCAGCCCAACATTCAAACTAGATAGGCACTGATACTATATTAAAAAACTTGAGCTTAACTCACTCCTAAAAGCTAGTTTATAGGAGGACTACCATATTCCTTATAAGAAGTATTTTGGCTCTATTCTTAGCTAATGTGGGACATCTTAACAATATTTATACATCAGAATAGCAGTCTTTGACAGCATCCTAACATAGTAGTCATTAGTCAATACTGGCCATAGCAGCCTCTATCACAGAGGAGTGGCAGGTCGCTGCTATGAGGAGCTTGTAGTGTCGCGTTTCAGTGGAGTGGTCATTGTATTGTGAATAGCAGCCAAATCACATGCAAATCACAGCTATAGTAGTCACTATTTCATCCCTTGCCCAAACCAGACTTTACCCTCCCTTTCTTAATGCTGGATGACTTTAAATAGGGGTAATCTTGGATTTCACCCCCCTTTTTGCATTTCTGATATCTTCTTTTTTCTCACGAGTCCTAAGTTCTCATTCTCATCTCTAGTTCTCTTTGGTTAGTTCTTTCCCATCTTCATTCTTAGCAACATTTTCTTGCTTCAGGTGTCCTTCATCCATCTCCGGTGGGGCTTCTGACGTGACAGTTATTCTCCGGTTATCTTTTTCATCTCCAACATGACTCAAACGTTTTCTAATTGTCTTCTTTAACTCCAGCGAAACTTCCAACGTGACCCAGACATTTTCTGGTCATTTTCATCTCTGACGAAATAAACTTGCACATTTTCCAGTGACCAATTCTCTATTTTTTATTTCCTTATCTGTTTTTTATTTTTCTCTGTATTTATTTTCTTGCTTTGTTCTGGATATTAATTTTATATTAGGCATACTTAGAACATCAAAATAGCAGTCATCTCACTATAAGCTATGTTGCTATAGCATTTTTAGGGTTGGCCGCTTTGCTCACAATTTGGGATTGACTCTTCTATAGCCTTTTTAGGGTGCATACAAGTTTCATAATATGCCCTTAATAAGTAAATATTGCATACAAGTTTGTTTTTGACTGCACCGTGTCCTCAAGAAGAACTGTTTAAGAACTAAACCAATTTTTTTATTATGCTTGTGTGTGTCACTTTTGCTAGAGCTAGAAGAAACAATTGAATTAGGTTCTTAATTGTAGTTCTTTTTTGGAAATTTTTAAAGGGAAAGTTTCTTTAAAGAACTGTGATGTTTTTTAGAACTGAATTATTAGGTGGTAAAATGTCATTAAGAGAATGAGCTCAATGTAGCAGAGATGATAGTGTTGCCTTGGATGGATGGGCATAATAGACAAGGAAGAATTAAGAATAAATGCATTAGAGAAAAAGTTGGGTAGCACCTATGATAGAACAGATGGTAGAAACAGTGCTTAGGTGGCTTGGGTATGCATGGACAAGACTTGCAGAAGTCCCAATAAAGAGAGTAGATCAAATGGAGGATAATCTAATCTGGTGTTGTTAAAAAACGGTTATGGCAGCGCCATGAAAGAATGGCGTGGCGGTTTTGAAGGACCCCATTACAAGTTTGGTGTGGTGGATCTTTGTGGCAGCGCCATGGCAGTAATGGCAACCATGATGGAAACAGTGGAAATATGGTGTCTTTGGTAGAAAAATGGGGGTTTTTTTTTTTGCAAGTTTGGGCCAGCAACTCGACCCAGTCCAGACAACCCAACTCTAAAGTTTAAGGCTTTTTCCTCTCTTCTCCCTGCAATCTCTCTCTCTCTCTGTTCTCTGCTGAGATTTCTCTTTCTCTCTCTCTCTCTTTAGATCTCTTTCTCTTCTGTTCCATTAGACTGCTTGTGTTTCTATTCTGGGGAAAGGAAGAAACTCTTTTCTGTTTTTTTTAAAACGCACCGTTTTGATTATTTTTAAGGGTAGAAAGGTCATTCACCTTTCATATAACATATATTTCATCTTCCTCCACACTCTTCCTCTCTGCACGAAAAGTTGAAACCTCAAGTGGTAGTTTCTCTCATTCTCACCGACTAACCCACTCCATTTTGCTGGAAAAATCAATTTTTTCGGTGTCTCTGCATTTCTGTTCACCAGAAAAATCAGCTTTTCCGGGATCTATTTTGCTTTTCTGTTTGAGCTTTATTTTACTATTCATTGATCATTCTTGTTTTTTATTTTTCTATTCATCCTCTGTATTGCTGTTCAAGCTCTGTTTAGCATTTCTTGTTTAATAAAACATCCATGCCGCAATGTTTTTCTGTTTTACACTGTTACTTAGAATGATGATAATATAATCTTGAGTATTTATATCAAATTTCTATGACCTATTATATTTTTTATATATTTTATTATATCAGTCATAATCTGCTATGGCAGCTGCTATAACTTTATGGCAATTTTTTTGGTTTCTGCCATGAGCCGCCATCTGTTATTGATAACATTGATCTAATCATTAGATTAGAGGTAATAATTTTCAATTGATATGATTTTTTATAGAACATCATGGTGTTGTTTGATCATCGTAGGACATCCCACCTAGTAAGAAAAGACTTGGTTATTATTTGTTATTGCTTGTATGTCACTTTTCAGTTGTAGATTTTGCTGACACATGCATTCGGTTATACAGAAAATGATTTTCTTAGATACTGACCAGAGGGTGGCTGATACTTTACGTCCATACTGGTCAGATGCAACAAAAGGTCGTGCCACAGTTGTTCAAGCTGTGCCAGATATGCTGGAAATTGTACCCTTGGGAACATCGAAGGGGAATGGAGTAAAAGTGCTGCTGGATCATTTGGGGGTTACTGCTAATGAGGTACCCCGAATATCTGTTTACCTTTGACATTTATTGTATTGACTCAGTTTGGATAACCTTTTTAATTTGTATTTATAGGAGAAGAAAATAAGAAAGTAAAATAAATTAAACTTCTCGCATAAGTTTAACTTATGCTCAAATTTTTCAACAACTCCAAAAGCTAATAAGCGTAAGTTGATTTTAACCTTTGAGAGAAGTTTAATCCATTTTATTTTCTTCGCTTATAAGTACTTATGAAATTTATCAACCCGTGTCTCTCTCCCAGACTATGAAAGTAACATTATTCACATATATTGAATGGGTGGTAATATTTGAGTTAAAATAATATAGGCGGTTGAATGATATTTCATACTTTTTTCCTAATCTAATGCAAACCTTTAGATTCTAGTCAAGTTTTCCAGGACCTAATTTCTTGATTGCATTTCATGTGGCATAGCATATATATTTTGAATTTTATTATCATCCATTGAGTTGAGTGGACAAAACAGAGATATTCCAAATGTATTGCTGATGAGTGTCAATCTTATAATATATTAGTGTGTCTATGTTGACTTCCATCTTTTTCTTTGCCCTAAATTTCTTAAACGCAGATAATGGCTATTGGGGATGGGGAAAATGATGTTGAGATGGTTGAGCTGGCTTCTCTAGGCATCGCACTAAGTAATGGAGCAGAGAAGACCAAAGCTGTGGCTAACGTAATTGGTTTAAGCAATGATGAAGATGGCGTAGCAGATGCCATCTACCGGTATGCATTTTGAGGAGCTGAAGGCTACAATAAACATTTCATTCTAATTCTATAGGGGTTTAAATTATTACCCCTGATTAATTTTTTTTCCCCATTTATTTTTCCTTCACCAAAAGGTTGAAGCAAAAGAAAGCATATCATGTCGTCATTCATCACAATCATCAGAAGACTTTGTAACTAATCCTTTATAATGGTTGCATAGGGTTTATGCCTAAAGGCATATGTCATCTATGCTTCCCCTTCTACTATATGAGTTATGAAAAGTCCAGGCTGTTACCCTGAATAATTTGATGAATTTGTTTTGGCTCTATGCCTTTGCCTTGTTGATCTTAGGCATTTTTGTTGAAAGGTTTTGGGACCACAAAACTAGTGGTGTTGGAGTAATGTAGCCATGCCGACGTGCCAGTTGACCTAAACCCAAAGTATCCAATTATTCTTATTTGTTTAGTTAGAGTTTTTCTAATCTTATTACCTTTCAATTTGATTGTCAAATTTTTGTAGAAATTACTATGATTTATTTTAACACAAATTAATGTTAGTACTCTCTAGAAAATGAAAGTCCTTGTTTACTTTTATTTGATTCAAAGAGGCGCATAGTCAAGTCTTATAGATAAAGCGAATCGGGGATACCAAAAGAAAGGGGTAGATTGCGGGAAATTGAATTTATGTACCCATAACTCATGTTTTATAGTTCAATCAATTGAGCTGACTTGAGGGAAGGTTAGTTACTTTAAACCATTAGAAAAATGAAAAAAAAAGGGAGAGACTCCATGCCAACAAAGAGGACAGACTAGATAAGTAACCAACTCATTATATGTGTGGTTTCTGAAGAATTTGGTATTTGCGCTATTCTCAACCTTGAAAAACAGACTTATAATAAAATATGGTACGAATAAGATAATGAGTGTAAGGAAGAACTACTTATAGTACCCTAATTATGTCTAATAATTTAAAATTTTACTATCGTAGAAAGATTTAGATGCAATATATTTATAAAATAGAAGATATTTGTGTAATTGGTCATAATCTGTAATAAGTTGACATAATTTTTATACAAAAATAAAGGTTTCATTTGAAGTATAACACGAAAATAAGAGTTTTGTGTAAAAAATATATAAACATTGATTTCTATCCTTGTTTCAAGCAATTCTTTTTCTATGCAAGCCTGGGCATAAGATAATAGGACTTGGATCCCCTGCAGCAAAATCTCAGCCTTTCGATTTTCATCTAAAGGTTATAAAATGTTATAATATTTTATGATTAATTAATCATACATTTAACTTTAGGTAAGTTTTTGGCTGGAGGGAACTGCATTCTGCAAAGGATCCATTTTATAAGATAATATCATAATTTTCATAAAAATCTTAAAAAAACTCTTTTGTTGCGTGATACATACGTTATCGTTACAGAAGATAACCAAAATCTGAAGCACGAGATTGTCAATATTGAGCGTTGTCTATATGGCAAATGTTAATATTAGCATTATTTCAAATGAATTATCCTGAATATAATATAAAATTATACTACGGATTTTCCTTAAGTATTGAGCCTTGCTCTTTATGGCAAATGTTAATATAACATCATTTATAATGAATTCTCCTGAAACTATTTCCATTTAGACAAGGAAGACTTGAAACAGCTCCTTCCAGTCTTCTTTGATATATTTGACTTGGAACAGTGTAATGGTTTATGTGCTTTCTTTTTTTGAGGAATCTCTCTCTTTGATAAGTCTTCCACACACCTTACGTTTGAGAGGGATGTGAAGGTTCTGGATTTTCCATTATAGTAGTTGGAAAGCCCCCTCCTGCAGATAACAGTAGAAAGCCATTCATTTGAGCCAACAAATCAATGTAACAAAAACAAACGTTAGGCTAGGATCAATTTCCTCAAGACACTTACTTAATAGGAAGTTGGGCCAAAAGCTCAGAAAAATCACTTAGAGGCTCAACAGATGATGAGAATGAAAATGTTGATGCATCTGATAAGTGTGGTGAAGATGCAGATTCAACTGACTCCTTAGACACAAGAAGGTTACTATAGCTGTTTCCTTCTTCAACATTCAAGTAACCATTTGCTACGAAAGATACGTTAGTACTATTTTTGGTTCTCTTGTTTGTTTCCATTGAGGTTGTCAAAGCATCAAAGAGCAAGCAACTTGGCAATCTTCATTTACTTATGAACCTTAAAACAGAATGAAGTGGGATGTTTATATACACGTAATGTGGATTCCAAGGATAAGATGGGCCATTACTGTATATCCAATTCCATGTCTTGTCATATTTTTTGTGGGTATCTAAAAACAAACGAAATTTAGTAGAATGGGATCTTGGAAGTTCAATGAATTGACCACAGTTGGTTGGTGTGTTGGGTCTTAGTCTTACCAAACTAAGTGGCGAAGCTTAGGTTAGAACAAGACAAATAAAATCCAAAGGCATTTTGCGAAGCACTATCCACTTCGTGAATATAGATATTTGGTCTTCCACTAAATGTGCACACCAAGTTTCTTGAATTTATAGAAGCCCCCACCCATCTAATTTGAAACCAAGCTGTACAGAATATTCCTCTAGACGGCCATTTTAGCAAGCAAGACACAAATGTCCATATTTGAAGAAGCACTATTTGTTGCTATTTGCATGTCAAATAAAAGTCATCAATTTTTCTCAGCCAAATGTTGTGGTGTGGGTATTATTGAAGGCATAGCAACAGTCATTTTCTTTAAGAAAGACCCATAGTTTTGCCAAAATAGATTGCAAATGTGGTGGATCATTAGTTATTTGGATTGTAGATGAACAAAGGAGTTCTACGCACGTCATGATAGCTAAAGGTTGAAGCTTGCTTACATTGTAGCTATATTTTTTGTTTTAATCCTTTTTAAACAATTTTTTTTAATTTTTGGTTCTTATATTTAAAAAATCATATATTATTAATCTCTTTAACCGTCTTAATCTAACTAAAAGCTAACATTTGGTGGCATTTTAGTGAACCAAATTAGCAATAATAATTAAAAATAAAAATTTGGGAAAATTAAAAGCAAAACAAAAAATATTCACTTAAAGAAACTAAAACAAAATGTTTGTTAAAATATGAAGAACAAAAAGCATATTTAATCCTTAGATTAATGAATTGGCATATTTACCATTCTATTGCCATTTTTTTTCCTAATGTGTTTTGAAGTTTTTTTTTATATATTGTTATTACATTAATCATTATCATTTTCTTTATCTAATATTTTCGTAAAGAATTTATTTTGTAAATGCAATTTAACCAACATTTTATGTTAGAAAATATTATAAAAATAAGAGTATATATTGAAAATTAAAATTATATAAGTGACCGACAGTAATAAATAAAATTATTTTTTAAATATATTTACTTATTATTAAGTAAATGCAATAAATAAATTATTAACTACCAATTTTCTTGTTTAACTTATAACTTCTGTAATCAAATAAATTTTAATCATTAGATGTTATATGAATTGTTAAATTTAAAATGTAAAGTCATAAATCAGCTTTGATTAGTAAAATTAATTAAAATTTTATAACATGTAGCTTATAATTGATTAGTTGTTTGGAAAAACTAGTTGTATAATTAACTAAAATATATTAAATAACTAAAAAAGATGTTTTAAAGTCATTTGTGCAATTGTAAATTATTTAAAAGTCATAAGCTTCCTTATTTTATTTTATTTTATTTTTGTTTACCAAACATTGTTATTACCTTATTGACTTAAAAAAAAGCTATAAGCTTATATTACTAAACATACTCAATAATGGTTTTAGAAAGAAGTGACTAAAACAATAATTTCCAAACATGCTTTTTAATTTGGTTTCACTCTGGTGAGCTCAATAGGATTGAGTCCAATGAGGTTCGGGAGAGAATTGCAACTGCACCTGTGCAAGAACAAGTGAGGGTCACGAGGTAGTGTACATGCAAACAACTTCAAAGTTCAAGTCAGTATTTGAGCCACCAAAGTAATAGCAAGAAATAGATTGCATAGCATACGTTATGTGATGACCTTTTGCTAGTTATATAAAACTTAGGCGTAGGTATAGAATGCTTAGTGTGCAGACGTCTGCTACTTAATAGGCCGCGAAATATGATCTTTCACCCAGTTTGGATATCAGGCTGTGAAAAGGCTGGAAGCACCACTAGAATATTAAGCCTTCTTGGGTGTCCCCATATCACTATTAGTACAATTACACAATCGAGTTTAAATTCAAGGTCAAACCTGATTTTGGTAAGCAATGTGTTTTATTGAGCTATTGACAAATAAAAATAATTTATAGATAACTCAACTCATTCCATTAGACCCTTGTTCTGTTAATGTTGGGCCATAGGAGTGTAGGAGTAAAATAACATGCAATTAGAATGAATTAGTTGTGAAACTGCTCATGGCAATTAAAGTCAAGCGAAGATTAGATTTACAACCTCTGAAATCACAGGGAGCGGCAATTTCAAATGTCTCTAACACAAGACAAAAGCATTTTATTTAAGGGTAAACACATTCAAAACCATCTGAAACAGGCCCATAAACCAAACTTTGCAATAGGCCTGCTGAGTGAGTTACAAGAAGTAGCACCATCATGCACCAAGACCAACGATGGTACTTACTGCAGTTTCTAAGATATAACTGTATAATTATTGACTGTGTCTCAAAGAGTCTTCAAGCTGGGCATTTCTTCTTGCACACTCCAAGATAGTTTTATCAGCAGTTATGAAGTATGCAGCAATGGATGCTGTTCACCAACCAGGACCCAGTGTTAAACTTAATATGTATTCAAACACAGCAACTATAGTCAAACTGAAGGATAAAAGTCAGCATTTCATTTACGAGTGGATCAATAGCAAAAAGATGAGCTCTGTTCCTTCATAGAATTATGGAAAAGAGGCAAGCCTTTTCATCATTAAGTGCATAAATCATGAATATGTTTATGTTAATAAGCTCACATTAAGAGTTATTTCTTCTTGCTTTGAAGCCAATTTCAGATGATGCAGACCTTAATGAAAAAATATATTTTTCTACATACAAAATAGGATAGCATTATCTCAAATAGATCTTTGGTTCTTTTAGGTTGGGATCATACCAGCAGATATGATAAGTGCCTGAGCAGTATAATTCAGGTTTGCCTTTGCCCATGGAATCATACGAACTGCAGCCAACTGAAAATTCGGAAAATGCAACATTAAATAAAGAAAGAAACTTTAGTAGGCCAGCCTTCATTAATAAAGTGGCATAGAATGGTATAATAGAGAAATCAAACAATATTTAGGGTTGTCTTTCAGCATAACTGGTATCATCTTCAACAAAAGGTTTTGAACATATAAGAGAGCTGCAGAGTGCCAGATTTCTTAATCATATTTTTAATCAGGTTTCAGATTTTGGTAACCCAAAAACAAAATGTTTCGAAAGGTAATTGGTTTTGAAGTCAAATCAGTCATATGAAAGTTTAATCAATCAACAATATTTTTGAGGCATTAAAACTAGTATATTAGGGTGAGGGACAAAAAGATTCCTATTCTTACATTATACAAGTAGCCAGAGAGATAAATGATAGAGAAAGGCAGAATGTTCTATGCCATTAGATTCAAACTGTTCAATACTTGTTTTACAGCTGTTAGTTAAAATATTTAAGTACAAAAAGCATCCTTGAGTTACTGATGTCATAACTCAACTGCGCAGAGAGCTCAATTGATAGCAATACATGGTAGGAAAATCAAGAAAAGGGGTTAAACATGGTCAACTTTAAAATTCAGTGGTAATTTGCACGTAATGCCAACTGGTGGGGTAAAACTGTGTGCAGTATAAAAAACGGTGGAATCTTAACTTTTGACACTAAGATTTTCTTTCACTTTCACCAATTTAAGCAGACATAAACCATAAGCAGGCAAAATACAGAACATTATTATAAGAAACAGTTGCAAGCAGAAGACCATGTGTATGTTTGGACTTTGGACTTAGTTTTGAAGGGTCATGAATTCACGTTTACTTTAATACTCTTGGTGGTAGCTTCTCTGTTGGATCCATGTTTACATGGTTTCAAACGTATTTCAAAACATGCACTATATAAATATTGCTCGATAGAAATTTTCTTTATAATTAAAAATTAAAATCATAGCAGAGCATCTTTATTTGCTGGAGTTCAAAATGAAAAATCACATACCGTAGGCACAGCACTGGCAACACAAGCAATGGAAGCTGCCTTGAATCCAGCACGCACACCTTCTGCATAATAAGAAAAAGACCCAAAGACACAAAATTCATATTTCTCAAGATCTGCACCCTTTGACAAGATATCATACTAATCTTAGAAAATATGTAGCCTACACATGCTCTACTTTGATGATGAAAATCTTGGAGATAGAGGAATATAGACATTAGTGCTTGTTTTGTTTAAAGGAAAGTAGAATTGATTTTGATAAATTTGATTTTAAACTGTGGAATATGATTCAGATACATGCATAAATTAATTTGAATCATGTTTTTATTGGGATGTAACTCCACCTATGGCCCCATAGCCTATCCCAAGCTCAGGTAAAAGATAAGGGTTGTGTTAGGCCTTCGGCAGCCAATGTAAACCTTGTCAAAACATTTTATATGAATTACACACAACAATATTGTGCTAGTACTAAGTTGTTACCCAAAAGTAACGCGCTGTATGGCTTGAGTATAATGTTAAATGAGCTAGAGCCACTACATTAGTGGTTGGATGTAGTGTTAAATGAGCAAGGGTCTTCACATTTGGCAGGACAAATGTAGATAAAAAGGTTAATCCAGAACACGTGTTTAGGTTTGGTTCATGGACCTTTTAATTAACTAAAACAAACAAGGACTTATTTGATGTATGAACAGCGAAACATGCATTATCAATTTCAAAAAAATAATTTAACATTCATTCTCCGAATCAGCAAAAACATAAAAACAAGTAATAGTTCTTGACTTCGTGATCACCTCTCAATATTATTTTCCTAAGCTTTCCTTTTAACTACCAATTAATTAAGGACACCCCTCCGCTTTTATGTTACCCTTATTTCGAAATTAAATTTAAGTAAAAGAAATGAAAGTCATTTCCCTTATGCAATTTAAAAGAAACCTTTTCCTCAAATGTTTAGATTTTGAAACAGAAGATCCACAAACTAAATTACCCAGTTGAAATGATTTTCAACACTCCAGCGTAACCAAGAGAATTCCGAAAAATCAGAAATTCCCAAACAACACCACCAATACCATGCAAAAGAGCAACCAATGTCTCATTTGCAACGATCCACCAATAATAAATAATCTAAATATTAGATCAAATAATTCTAAAGCAAAAAATAAAGTGTGAAACGAATAAAATAAAAAGGAAAATAGAGAATACCACTAGTACATTGCTTAGTCCGCAAAATTTTCCTCTTCTCTGCGGGAGAAGCAATGAGGAAAGAATTTTTGTTGTTGGAGATGAACATGTCCCTCAGTTCCGATGGAATACCCATTGTGTCTGTGTTGCGGTTCACTTTAACAGAGATTGTCTTCTATTTGTTGCACGTTCTTTGAATCGAAGCAAACCATAGGCAAAACAAAATTGAATTAAGATTATTTGTTCTTTATTAATATTTAGTTTTCACATTTCAGATTCTTTGTTTCTGGTCGTGGTTGACATTGGACCTGTTAGTCCATTGTGGTCGGCCAGGTTAGGCTAGCTTTGGGTCCAAAGCCCAAATGGACTTCACATGGACGTCAGCGTTCGTGTGTGCGAGAGTGAGAAATTGGGTTTTGCTTTTTTCACTTCATTTTTTTTTTACCTATTTGTAACCTCATAATAATTTTTTACAATTTGTATTTTTTTAAAAGTAATTTATTCGATAACTCATAAATTAAGGTCCTTTGACTCGTAAAATAATTATTAATAGATAATAAAATTAATAATTTATTTTAAAAATGTAAATATTTTTTAATATATAAAATATTAAAAAAAAAACTATTAATATAAAGAGAATATACAATAATTTTTCAAGTTTGCAAAGTAACAAATACTTTTTTAAAGAAGTGCTTGCTACAGTGTTAGAAAACAATTTCCTTGATCCTCTCCGATTCTCTCTAAGTAACAAAAATAGATCAATTCTTCATTAGAGCTATGCACTTTCTAACCTGATTTTCTATTAAGATTTTTTTTAAAAAAATTGTTGCAGCAGTGTCCACTGTAATGTTGATCTGTGAATGTGATTCAAATTTTGACATATCTCTTTTCTTTTTTTTCATGATATAAACTGCATCTCAAAAATACCCCACAAAAATAAAGAGACATAAAAAACTCTCACTTTAGATGTATAAAAAATATCTTCATTCCCTAAAATCTTAATTTCTTTGTAGCACAAATAATTACTACAAATTTTTACAAATATATCATTATATTGAATATACATAATGGACTACCACAAATCTTACAAGAATTCAGATCAGTTGCCAAAGAAACACACAGCTAGTGTTGGAAGCCTCCTACCAGTTCGAAAAACAAAAATTACTTCAGAGGAAGCTACGTCATTCATTCCCTAGGCCAAATCAAGAGCATTGATATTAAGCATTATTACATGATTTCATGGATGACCAGCAAAGAAACTGGAGAGATCATTAACATCACAGAGTTTGAGGTTCTCTTCTATGTAGTCAAAACATCCTTGTCATGTGAAATGCTGTACTGGCAACAACTGATAATACTTTTCCATGAAACTAGTCACGAGGATGACAACCGTTAAGGAACTTTGATACATAATGCATCAAACCAATTCAGGACCAAGAGTTTTTACACATCCTTCATATGCAGATGAAATGAAGGAACTATTGAAGCTCACCAAAGACCAACGATATACTACGGATCCAAATAATAATTTAACTTTGAGTTGGTTGCTTCATTCCGTAACTTTGTTAGAGCTTTTTTCTCTATCTTCCTTATCCGCTCTTTGCTCACTTTGAAAACCTTCCCTGTGTCCTGAAGTGACCTGGGCTGATTATCATTAAGGCCAAAGCGTAGCATTAATATTTGCCTTTCCCTAGAGTTCAAGCCTTTCAGCAGATCATGTACGTCCTTTTTCATGTGCTGCTTCATGACAACTTCTTCCGGATTCTCTATTAACGTATCAGCAATAAGTTCCTGCACCATTAACGCCAGAAAAAGTTTATTTCTGATAATAATATTTATAGGATAATTCTTCGTGTAGTAGCAGACACCTAACAAACAGACATCTAACATTTTTCTGCATGGGTTATAAAGTCACCACATCATATTACTGGGTGCATAATAAGAACTATACGATGGAGACCTATTAGCCAGCTACCCCAATAGGAATATGGTATACTTTATGATTATCAATGGATATGAAAAACTAAAAGAAAAACCTGGTTGAGTTACTAGAGTGATGCAAGGTGGACGACTAGAAACCACAGATCTCAAAAAGTGATTTCAGCAAAAGCATTCTCAAAACATGAAGATACCAACATACATGAACAATTAAGTTCCATAAGGAGGAAAAAAAACAATAAGAGGAAAGAAAATGTTGTTTTCCCATTGGATGCTCCTTAGGAGTTTATTAATGAAATGAACTCGGCGGGAGTAATTTATCTTCTATGTTCTTTTCCTCTTCCTAAAAGCACAGGCCTTTGTCATACTCCCACTCATGTACAGGGGATCAAAGACAAAGATAGGCAAAGATTGGGAGAATCATAGTCTTACCATATATTCTACACTAATGCAATCCCCCACCTTCTGATCAATTGAAGCGACTATTCTCAGACAATTGCTAGCTGATCTAATTTTATCAAGTGAAAGACCTGTCATCTTTGCAATTTGATAATCATCTGGGCATTTCATGGAGGTACTTTTCATGGATTTTCGAGCTTTCTGGATCTCATTTATTGCCCTGTTCAATGACCACTAAAAAGATAATGAAGAGGAAAAGAAGACAAGGATCAACTTCAAGGTTAGTCTTGGATGAGACAGGTACAAAGAAACAATTTCCTAAACAAAAGAGGAACATACAGGAATTACAATTCCTCGTGCATATAGTGCCACCATTCTTGAAATTGATTTCCTTATCCAGTACTGCACATAAGTTGAGAATTTGTACCCCCTTGTACTGTCAAATCTCTCTGCTCCTTGGAGAACCCCTACATATCCAGCCTATGAAATATGATTAAGAACATGTAGGTTAATAAGAAGGTAGTTGAAAGAGGATTCATGTATGTGTGGACAGTTACAGTTTAGTATACATTTCTACTTTAGTCAACATCATGAAAACATTGATGGATACTTTTCTTCACTAAAAATTCTAAGTTTCAATACTCTTTTTTCCCACTAATAATTTTCTATTTGCAGTTAATCCACAGAACACAATCTTTTCCATGGATATATTTTATCTAGTTGAGAATACAAATTCAAGAGCATAAATTGTGGGTGCACTGAAATTGATTTAGAACTAGTTTAGATAAACTCTTCAACAAACACTTATAGGAGAAAAAATTAAAAATGAATCAAACTTCTCAAATAAGTTAAAATCAACTTATATACCGCAACATTTTCAAAAGCTCACTCTTCTAGCTTCTATAAGTTGAGGTACATGTGTTGATTTTAACCTATGTGAAAAAAATTTCATTTTATTTTCTTCTCCTATACGTGATTGTTGAGAAGTTTATCCACATTGACTTTGTAATGAAAAACTTCATGAAGGGAAAAGTGAAATTTAACCTATGCATATCTGCATGAAAGAACTGATATGATCAATCCAATGTCCATCCCACCCTCATATTACACACATATCTTGAATGATTTGCAGTAATTTTAATTCTCACAAGTTGTTCATTTTTAGCTCTATAAAATATCAGTTCTTAATTAGGAAACTCAGATTCTTGTAATATAATTCACAACTATATATGATAAGTGAACAAATAGGTAAAAGCCAAATAGTAATTTGTCCTAGACAATAACAAATTATAAACAAAACCAGGAAACGACATTTGGAACAAACCTGAAGCAAATCATCCAATGCTATTCCCATACCCCTGTATTTTCTGGCAAGGTATAGAACTAAGGTACGAGTACTCCTTATGAGCTCATCTTGACAATAATGGCCATGATGCAATAGCTGTTGTAGCACCTTTTCATCAACTCCAGATGCTTCTGCCCAGCTATTCAAACTTGCTGCTCGCTTGGTATCCTCTTCTATAGCTATTTTAATTTTCTCTAATTCTGCTAGCACCTAGAGTAGTACAAAATTTCAATGTTCACATAAATAATTTACAATATATAACTATCTTTCCGACAATAAACTAACCTTTACTCCTTTTGACATCTCTGCCTCCCTTTTAGCAACCATTATTCTTTTATTTTTAGTATTTGATGCTGTTTTAACAAATGAAGCTGAGAAACGTGATAGATCTTCCTGACTAGCTTTCAAAGGCAATGACTGAGAGGAAACAGCTGTGGGAACAAATGCCCTCTTCTTTGTTTTAGTTTCCTTTTTCCTGCTAGACTGAACAAAAACTTTCCCCTTGTAGTCATCTACTTTGCAGTTTCTCTCATTCTCTTCAACTTGCTCAGCAAGTCCATCAGTGTAGTCTGATACAAGTGAGGTTCCAAGAGATTTTGACAGGCAAAAATTGAACAACTCAAGAGCACCAAGCTTTTCTAGTTGCAATATAATATCCTTTTCCAGCCTCAGTGCTTCAGAATCAGCAAAAGTTTCCTCTAAAACACCTAGGTTCTCCATTAACAAACGAAAATGTGTATCCCTGAATGACTGAAACTTCGTAGAGATGGTAGATACCTCTCCAAAACGCATTTGGGAATTATCAATCATTTCATGTACACTACTCAGTGACCTCTTTCCTTTGTTTACCTAGGAAACAAACATTTTGTAAGACTTTTATTTTAGCTATCAAAATAGTGATCTAACTCTTCTAAGGTGAGAATATAAGGATATATTCATCATCAGTTTAAATTTAAAGTTTTGTTAGTCTCAGCCTTAAGAGTTACGTCTAAGTATCCAAAAGTAGGAAGTTTTTATTAAGAAAAAACACATTTATTATATTAAAGTTATAAAAATATAACAAGTGCTTCTCTTTCCAATAAAATAATACTGTTATTGGTTACTTAAACTCAACCACAAAAGACTGAGATTAAAATTTACCTAAATTTAATTAATTTTACGAGACAGTTTATTTCAAATCAAATATATTCATATTTTCTAAAGAATGAAGAGTCAAATCCCAAAATAATAACGCCAGAAGCACGATTAATACCAAATTAAAAAAAAAATAAAAATTGTAAGGCTTGTCCCAAAGGAATATGGTGAACCTTGGTTTCTTCTCTTCCTAATGAATCATGTTGCAGGGTTTCTAAGCCTGACGCCGAAAATGCAAATACCCTTCCAAAATCTTTCAGCAAAGTTTCTCCTTCCTCAAAAATTGTGGAGGGCAGAGATAGCCTGACTCCAGCTGCATAAAAATTCAACAGAAAAGTTAGGAAAAGAGAAGAAAGGATTAATAATAATGAGAATTGGTAAAACAAAAAGGAAAGAAAAGAAAAGAAGTGACCAGAAGAAGTGGTAAAGGAATGAGGAGAGTGAAGAGGAAGGTTATATCTGAGCCTGGGATTCAAACTGAAACCGAAACCGAAACCCATAGTGTTACGTTGCGTTGTTGAGTAAGGGATAGAGGAAAAGAGTCCATCAAAGTTGAAATGTTCGATGAAATTGAGAAAAGAGAATGAATTAAAATGTGGATATGGCGCTGCTGTCACTCCCACCACCAGTCCTTCATCTCCCTCGCAATGCTTCCAATATTTTCCATCTTTTTTTTTTTTCCAAAACGGTTCCATGGGCTCCTTTATGCTCAAACAATTGTTAGGCCCAATAACACGTTTTTTTTATTGAAAAAATAAAAGCCGAATTCGTCTAAAAGTGTTGTATCACTGTATTGGTCCTTAATATCGCAAAAAACGAGTTTAATGTAATTATAAGTTAAATTTTTGTTAAAAGTATAAAATTTTACAAAATCAAACTTGATGAGAATTAACATAGTAACGAAAGATTGGTGATAGAAACTTTAAAATTTGGCGTGATAATGATTTAAATTTTAAAGGGTCAATTTAATAACCCAATTTATAAAAAAAATTCTTGATGATGTATTTATCTTTAAAATATTAAATTAAAGAGTATATATATTATAAATGGTAATTTCTTCAGAAAGTTTTGTGTTATTCATATTTTTAATTTAATAAAACTATTTTTATATACTTTTTTTTAATCAACCCAACTATTTTATTGCATATTTATTTTTATCTTATATTATATTCTAAAAATATTTATTTCTAGTTAGTCATCAATGTAAATAAGTGTGTATACGAGTATGTATAAAATTATTTGTTGTTGGTAATTAGAAATGATATTATTAAATAATTAGAATAATTTGTTTTCTTTACATTATGAAATATTGATAAACATAGGTTATTTTGTAGATCCCATACATAGAATTAATTAATATCAATAGAAAATTAAAAAGAGTTTGCTTCTTTCATTTAAAAAGTATTCAAACAAATCATGATATTATTTTTCACTTAGCAATTAAAATATTTAGGTTATGCTTGAATGGTATACTTAAAGTGATTTATTCAATTTTAGAAGAAATTAAAATTTTATGAATTAAATTTTTTCATTTTGACAATAAAATAAAAAAATCAAATTCCATAAAAATAGGGAGAATTTAGAATTTTGTTCATGTTGTGTTCATTGTTTGTCACAAAGATTCTTGATTTTCTCTCTCCTTTCATCTTAACTTTGTGTTTCTTTTCTCTCTTTTGTACTAAATAATTCACATAAAAAAAATATCTTTATCAATCATCTCTCATATCTTTATTAGAATTAGAATTTTATCTCTCTCTCTCTCTCCTCTCATCTTCATGTTAGCTTTGAACTTCACAAGTCCAATGACTCTTAAAGTTAAAGCTTCAAAATTTAAGGTGCAAGACTTCTCAAAGATTGAAGCAAAGTATTTCAAAATTTTCAAGATTTGAAACTATTAAGAATACTTAAGAAAATTTTCAAGAAAATCTCAAAGGTTCATAACCTTGCCAAGAGCCCAGTTTTAAGTAAGAAAGAAAATAATTGTTTAAAGTTTTTGGTGCAAGTTTTGAATTTAGTTATAAGCTTTTATTTATAGTTAAAAAAGGTGACCAAATCATGATTATTCAGTTAATAGAATAAAATAGAATCAACTCAATTTGGTTCGAATCAAATTTATTTACATAACTCTTAACTTCTATTGAATCCTAACTAATTCTCATCCAACCATGAAAAATGTCGTCTTCTTGATCTTCATGGTAGTTGTCTATGCTTAAGAAGGATGTTAATTGGTGTTCCTTCATTTCCCTTCATTGTTTTCCACTTCCAAAGCTTCCAAGTAGTTGTCCCTTCATTTTTCTTCCATTATTTTCCACCTTCAAAGCTTCCAATTATTCATTGGTTCCATGGTTAGGTTGTTACTTCCTTATTCCCTTATCCAACCAAATTTGCAAGTTTATTTCTTACAGAGTCTTGGATATTTTATTAAGTTTCAATGACAATCCTAAATAGAAAAGAAAATAGGATGTAAAACTTAGTTAGTTAAGGATGAAATCCTAATGATTTTCTAAGGATATACTTAAGGATAAATTGCAATATTTTAATCCAAAATCCTATATTCTTGCTGCCTTTAGAGGTCCTTCAACTCGAAGAAAGGTGGCTGTCATTGCCTCCTAAAAATTTGCTTTGCAAGTTACTCATAGTTATAAGCAAATGTTTTGGATATTTCTTATTTTAGAGAAAATTTCATAATTTTACTTCTGTAAGTGAAGGTATTTTAAATATTTTACTTACAATTTTATTAATTGATCTAGCTTCTCCTAAATTAAGATTATTAAGTCTTAATCCAAATAGTTAATCCTTATCAAAACATTAATTTAAGGTTTTGTAAATCGAGCATTTTAATCTTCTCACTTGAAATTTTAAAATTTTTAAGAATTTTTTTATTTTATAATTATGAGAAATAATAGAAATTATTACATAAGAAATTTTAGCATGTAATAGTTTGATTTAAAATTTAAATAGTTATAAATATTATTGTCAACTTTGTCAAATTTGATTTTATAAAAATTTATATATAAAATTGATAACTAATACATTTATTTTAAAAAATATATGTATATTTTGAAATGAACATGTTTTAAAATAAAATTAAATAAAAAATAAATTATATTTGTTATATATATAGGAATAAAAAAAAATTTACAGTAGTTATAAGTTTAAAAAATTTTACATTTAATTTGAGTCTTTTATTTAATTTATATTTAATAGATTATAATTTATTATTTTATTGACTGTTAAATATAAATTAAATAAAAGACTCAAATCAAGTATAAATTTTTTTATATTTACACTAGTGTAAAAAATTATATTATATATATATATAAGTGAAATAATAATTAAAAATTTAATGATCAATTATAAATTATTAGCTTATTTGTAAAGTGGCATGACATGGGAGTGATTTGTGAATTTATGCTATTGCTTGTGAAGGTGCACATGATGTATACTCCTGCTAAAAGATGTATTCTCTCTATTCATAAGCACTTAACATTACATGGCAACTTTCTACTAATTTATTAAGACAAGAAAAACTAACGAAAAAGAGAGAGAAAAAACATATAAAATTACAAACTGGGTATTATTAATTAATAGTCTTGAGTTTGAATCTTGAAATTATAACAATATTAAGATGGAGTAGGAAAATTTTTCCATCTTTACTAGTCTCTCTCAAGATGGATCAAACAAAAGAAAAGGATTAGTATCATTGTTGTGTTTGGAAGGGCTTGTACTTTTTGAGATGTTGAGCAAGGCCCTGAATGGAGCCCACAGCTGAGATAATAGAAATGATTAGGCAAACCCAACTCAGTATCTTGAGCCAAGTCCAGGTGAATGAAAACTTTTGCATCTTGGACCGCTTAATGTACATCTCGATGGGAAAATACACCGTCAATGGCCAAAAGGATAAGGAACCAATCAGTCCCAAAAAGTCATTGAAGAATGGAAATATCATAGCTAAAACAGCTGTGATAATCACATACGCAGTTCTCCACACTATTCTGAAGAAGTTTACGTTATAGCTTCCACACAGAGGAATGTTCAAAGGATGCTCTCCATTTATAAATTGGCTTTCTGACCATTTTTCTTTACTCCATTTCTCCACAAATCCAAATATTGGTTGGACAAAAACCTGAAATCCCATGCATGAAATGATGAACAACTATTACCAATACCGTACAATGCGGTAGAAAATGCTTTAATTCTAATTATAAACTTGTCGAATATTTATGACATGAAATTATTTACCTGGTACGCCCCAATTAGATGTACTGCTATGCAGACATTAGCAAAGTCAATTAGCCAAAAGGGCTCGTAGAAGCCGAATCCTGTGAGAAAATTTCCTGGTGCATCATTTCCAAATGCAGCATAACCAAAGCACCCACATAGTACATAAAACAATGTTGTAGTCAGAATCCCAATCAAGCTTGCTCTCCTCATTGTCTTGTTCTCAGGTGGGCTTGACTTTAGGGTATCCTGCAACAGTATGGACCACATTTCTATTTTAGTGAGCTTGCAAACTATACACCTTTAGATGCCATTGATAATAATACAAATTTTATAAGTTTCTTAAACCAACGTGACAAGGAAGTCACTCTTCCAATACGGTTTCAAATTCAAATTCTAGTAAATAAGGAATCTTAACTATCCACTAGCCATAGATAGGTGGAAATAGGATTGACCTTGGCACCATTTACAAGATAGACGAGCTCATACGCAAGCTTAAAGTCCAAGCAAATTTAATTTTATAAAATTAATTTTATTCAAAAGTAAGTTCATAGTGACGTGATTTATGTTCAGAATCTCAACTTTTTATAAGAATGAATTCCTTCGTTATGATGGAAAAACAATTAAATTAGATTAACTAATAACAAAAATTTCCCATCCCACAAAAGAAATTAATTTGATTATGCTAAGACTTTAGATGGGAGCGTCTATGCTTAGACTCATAATGACATGCTTCTAATTTGGGAGGTTGAACAAAACAAAAGCTTCTAATTTGAGAGAAGGTGTGCATCCTCTGCAGTCCTTGTCATGACAAGGCAGACAGCCTTAGCAAATCATTGGGCTTCGTTAATTGGAAAAGTCTAATATTCAATGTATCCAAACTACGTCATGGTTCTTATTAATTGATCTATGCAGTCCTAAATAATAAATGTATTTAGATAAGAATGCAATGCATCGCACGTAACATAAGTCAACGACACAAGGAGAAAAAGAAAAGAAAACAGTGGTCAAAAATAGCAGTTGGTTTATGCGTACCAGTTGACTATATATAGCGTTATGAAGCTATCAATTTTAAGTCAGGCACACATTTCATAAATATATTATTAATAAATATAATACTACTATTATTGGTGTTGAAATAAAAATCCTTCAATTATATGAGTTGTATCATTCCTAAATATAATTAATGACATGCACACAAATTTATATTCACCCACTTTTAAAATTCATAAAACTCTAGAATTATTTGAGTAATAATTATGCAAAAATTACTGAATATATATTAGCAAAGAATAAATAAAACATAAATATTACTTGCCTGGATCTCAATGAGCACATTAGAAAAAGCATAAGCAAAGGCAATGTCACCAATAGCTTGAAACATCCTCCAAACCTTCTCTGATCCTGATACGTCCACCCCAACTTGCACCCCTGTTAAGGATGTTCGTACATGGCTCCCACCTTCAAGTATGATGTTTGCATCTTATTATTACACTCAGTTAATGTAACTTAATTTAAGATCTTAATTAATTAGTGCATAAGAATGAGTCTTAGTTTACCTGAGACTTTGGCTAGGGAGAGGCCAAGGCCAATGGAAGAATAAGCGAAAGACATAACGGCTGCAACGATTGAGAGCCAAGAGAGCTTGTGGAAGTTTGGTATTTGACTTAGAAAGATTTGGATGCAGGCAAATATGATCATGGATGGGTTGTTTGATATATAACACTTGTCTTGATGCCCATGTTTGTGGAAACAGTTCGACCTTTTCACCGCCCTAATCAATTATCATCATATAATAAATAAAATGAACATGTTATGTCAAAGCACACACTTTAGTCAGAAGTTCTTGCAGAAACTTACACCATACTAATCGATGCAGTTATTGTGTAGCCGATGGTTACACCAACAAGATTTATATACTGAGCTAATCCACACAGCTGAAATTTCCTGCCTCCTATGAACACAAGGTCATAAATTAGAGGCGCATCAAGTTTAATTTTATCTTACTAATCAGTATCTTAGAGACTCATTCAGGAATCAATAATAATTTTTTATTCAAAATAAAGTTGGGATTGCATAAAAATCATGATAAGAGTGAATTAATAATTTTTTTGCAAAAAAAATCACTTTTAATTACTTAACAAGTGTCCTTATAACAATAAGCATTTAAATTCATTAATGAGTTTTGAAGGTAAATTTTCATGTAACGTGGCATATCTAGTGAACAATTTGGTACAAAACCATGGGAAATGAGTATTCCTAGTAACGTGGCATATCTATCAAGAACAAAACAAACTACGACTTATAATTGGCATCGGCAATAAATAGAAACAGCATATAAAAAGCCCCAAGTCCCGACAACTTTTAACCATACAACATAATCAATCACATTCAAATGGTGAACTCATCTAGTGACGGTAGATATATAGAAATTAGCAAAGAATCATAGAGTTAAATAGATGTATCATATTAAAATATAAGAACAGAAGATAACCATCACTTCTTAAAATTTATTTTTACCTAAGTTAGCTTTGACAACCTCAGAATATGTATAGTTTCGCTTGCCATGGACAGGGTCAGGTGAACGGTAACAATCAGCGAGAAGAGTGGAAGTGAAATAGGTGATAAAAGAGAAGGCAAAGAGTACTGCAGGGCCAGCCACCCAACCCATCTGCGCAATTGCCCATGCAAGAGACAGAACTCCAGAACCAATCACAGCGGTTATAATATGAGCACTTGCAGTCACCCATGTCCCTTCAATTAATCAACCAAAACAAAAACCATATTATATATCATATATTCATATTACAACCCTTAAGTAACAGTTTAAAGAAAAAATCAATAAAAGTTTGGGTATGATAGTATTAATACACCATATTTTTAGTATGCGATTGCGACTAATGACATGTAATAAAAATTTATGTATATTAAAACGTGATAATCAACAATAACATTAAATGTCTTTGAACAAATGTTTAAAAAAATAAACTAATATATATGTAAAAAGTATACCAGTTCTTTTAACTCGTCCATCATCGTCAAAGTTTTTGCCACCATCGGCAAGTGTTTCCGGGGTTTCTATATGCATGCTGTTCATCTCTGAAACCGACCAAAAGACTCTGACACTCTGTTTCTATTAGTGAGTGCAAATGTGTTCAGTGAGTGGCCAACACACAAAGAGAATGAAAAGGAGTAGATAGATATATAAAAACAAGTGTGTGTATAGTATATTGGCCTGTTGTTGGTGTTTAGATATTGAAAGGGTCTTTATAGTAGTTAATGGTGAAAGGAGCAGAGATATTGGAATGAGAGAAAAGAGCAAAGAATGGCATTGTCTGGGAGAAAGATATGACATGGATTAAATAGAGAAAGAAGAGACGAGAAGTCAAGGGTTTGTTGCGTGGCAACATGTAATTCAACGATGGCTCAGGAACAGGAATTTACTGAACAAAAAGTGGCTCACTTTACATAAAAGGTAAAGTGCCAAAGAAAAATAAAAAGTAAATTTTAATTTTAAAATTAAATGTAAATAATTAATAATAGTAAAAATTATTAAAATAAATAATTCTTATATTTTTATATTATTCAATTTAAAGTTTAAATATTGAAGTTCCTGGAATATTTATTAAATAAATAAGTTATTAAATGTTTTTTATCTTTTAATCATAATAAATGTATATATTTTGAATTAAACGGTTTTTTAATACATATTTAAGAGTATGATTAAAAATAATAATAAATTTTATTCACAATTTTATTATTTAATATTATCAATGCATATTATTATATAATATCATATAATTTTTTTAACAAAAATCATTTATCTATCCGATTTCTTTCATTTTTTTATTACTTATCTTTTTAGTAATTTTCTACTACTTAACAAAGTAAGTATTAAATTAAAAAAGTCTATATTTTTCATTTAAAAATATATTTAATATGTTTTTATTTAGTATATTAAAAGAATTTATAAGAATAAAAGATTAAAAAATTAAAATATTTTGTATCAAATACTTACCGTATAAAATAGTAAAAAAATATAATAAAGCTCGATTACTTATCTAAAGCTTTTTATTTTGTATGTCTATAAATTTTTTAATTACTAAACTAAAAAATTATAAACTCTTTTATATTTTGAAGATATTGTATATATAATATAATATTCTCTTTAAGAAATGAAAATAATAATTAAAAAGATAGAAAAAGATAGAGAAATGTGAATTTAAATGGTTGAAAGAAAGATCGAATTTTTTACAGGCATAGGCATAGGCATGTGGACCATCAAAGGTGGTCTGGCTGGTCACTCTGTGTTTTTGTTTATGTCCATCCATTTGGACACTGTTTTTTCTTATCACCACTAGTCATGCCTCTCTGATTAAGACACCTTTATTCCTTTCCCTAACTTCATCTTCTCACTATTTTTTCATTTTAATATTGTTTAAGTCGTCAAAATTGACCTCTCTTCTCTGTTTTTCTTCCTATAATTGAGGTCAGAGAAACAAAATACTAGTGCTACGCTGATCTTCACTTTTCACATTCTTATATGATTAAGAAGCGTGGTAGCACACACTTCTAAACACTAATACTTTTTAATACTTGTGTTTACGTTAAATATTGTATAAATACCTTTTAATGCAGTTTTATAATTTTTTAACTAATTTTACACTCCCTTTAATTCTATTTGTAAGATTTTTTAATTAAATCAAACTCTGTTATTAAATTAATTATTAAAAAAATACCTTTGATTATTACAGTACCATATTCTGTAATTTATATTTCATATCATATTGGTGCTTTATAGTCACAAGAGCTCCATATATTAGGATGAATTTGATACGCTGTGCCTAGCATCGCTGAAAGAATTATGTAAATATAATTGAGATATAATGATGGTATTATTAACATGTGCACGTCTCTGCTATGGTATGATGTCTGCTAAACACCCTGCAATTTCATGATATAATCTCCATTACGCTGATTAAAAGTTTCGGAATCGATTTCCTCCACTTGATGCCCCAAATGGGTGGTTTCTGTTGACGCCGTGACAACAGCAATGACTTCCAAAATATGACAATTCAAATTATTGCAAGGACAGATCCATCACTATCTTCTTGCTCTAGTTTCTGCGTATATGTGCTTATCTGTATCACTTTTTTTTTTTGCAGAGAAAATCATAGAATTCAAAGAGTCTTATAAGAAATTTATATTTATTCTCTTTAATATGATAATAAAATTGATTTCACCCAACTAACGCTTTGAAGTAATCTGTAAGACTTGAATTGATGACATATCTTGGTATTGACAAATTTAAAAGACAGAGTGGTCCATACTCAGTTGTCTTCTTTCAAACCCAATCCCGTGTATCTGTAGACACTCGTCAAAGAGGGCAACGTTTTCCATATTCTATTAAAAAGTTTTGAGTATAAATCCCCCCATACACGTGGGTGAGGACAGCTGAGAAAAGGACTCAACAACTGAACTTTTTCGAAATTATTTTTTTATAGTTTTATTTCAATTTTTAAAATAATATTTATCAAAGAAGATAACCAATGACTTTTTGGAAATAAGATAATTCTAATTCTATTTATTTTTATATTGATTTTTTTATCAGAATTTTATTGAAAGTTTATCTAAAATTCAAACAAGTTTGAAAGAATACATTTAGTTCTTCACATGAACCAAAAGCACATAGTAATGAATATTTAATAATGAATAAAGACAAATATAAAAAATATTAAATACTTTTAAATTTTTATAAGCTTTCTTATAAATCAAAACTTTTCTAACACTACTTACACTACTAAAACTCAAACTCAAAAACAGAGCCGATGGAATAATTATCAATTACAAGCTTAGTCGCTCGTAATTTCAAAACCGGAGATACGATTTCTTGTCCTTTTTTACGTTGTGGTCCTCGAGGATCAGGTTCAGAACAAGTCCCACCCAAGTCAATTTTCAAAATAACAACAAAACATAAAAAGTAAGCAAACAAAACATAAAAGGTAATTACTGTAACTGAAAACTGTCCATCGGAGGAAATCCCAAAGCCATACATAACATTCACACGAGACTTAGTAGTCTTTTAGGCAAAGATTAGTGTGTTCGGATTTGAATTCAAAACACTTTTTAATTGATCAATAATTCAAAAGGCTAAAATAAATTTATAAAACAAAAAATTTGACCCATTTTATATGTATAAAGAATGTATACAAACAAAAGAATGTATTGTTAGATTTTTCCTTTCTTTAGACTCAATTTTCTAATAATTTCAAGAACAAGAAAGGAGAGAATATTTGTGTAAGAGATGAAAATGTCCCTCTCCCATCTAAATTGGGAATTGTGAAATATGTAAGAAAGAAGAGGCATGACGATGAGTCAAATGCGTAGAGAAGAGGTTGAGCCACGCCAAATAGAAGGAGGACACGTGGGTAGGAGAGGGGGAAAACGTGGTTTGACCAAGTGACACTACAAAGGTCAAAAGTCAATAATTTGGACTTCCGTGCAAATTGAACGTGGACATATATGTTAAGGGTCAGCAATATTTTCTTTTCTAGTGAATTGCTCTTTAATTTTGAAAGGTGTACTTCTAATATCAGTTGTTAGATTTTTCTGTCACATTATACCATATTTATCATATTTTTTTCAAAATTATTTTATCCCATATGGTATAGACAGCCCAATTGTTTTCGTCTGAACAATAATAAAACTTTGTTTTCAAACACTTGCATTTAACTGCTATCCACACCTTGAAGAACTTACAATGAAAATATATACAAAACCACCGCGAACTTGCGTACACATTATCCATCAAAGACATATAGAAAAGAACCATGAGAGTACTTATGGCCATAACACACAAAAAAGAATGCTTACGAATTTATCCTTATGCTTTAAATTATATTTTGAAAACGTGCGACATCAGCATTATTATTATTATCATTGGAAGGACAGCACCATCATTTTTTTCCACTTTATTGATACTATTGTTAGTTAGTATACAGATAGAAAAGGATAAACAGGTACACACAAAAAATGGAAGGAAAAGCATCGCTTTTTTGTATACATACGGAGGGTATAAATTCACTGAAGCCACCAACATCGATCTCCTTCAAGTAGGTATGACCATAATAATAACCCTCTAAGGTGGAGTTGAGTCTTTGAGAGTCTCACCAGCATGCCACTAGCATATGCCATAGGTTTGGGATGCTATTCTCTTCCTACCACCCACATCGATCTCCTTCAATTTGGTTCCTTTTGTTAATCAATGAATGAACAAAAACGAATGGTGAAATTCTTACAAGATGGTTAAATGCATTTTGACAAATCTGATTCTGCGGAATATTTTATGATTGTTTGATGATCATTCACTTCACGGACAGAACTACAACCCGTGTGTGCAATGTAAAAGGAGTGTTCCTTGAAAAGAATCTTTGTGGCTCTATAATCTATACTCTACACTGATACTTAATTATTTTCGATGGCAATTTGGCAAAAGCATAGTCATTAATCCGTTCTTTTCCTCTGTATTAGGTAAGCCAACTAATAGACACGTTTCTTTTTGTTTTCTATATGGATACGTGTAATGGCCGCAATAGCCAATGCATTTCAAACAATAATTTTTATGCGTTCACAACTATCCAATTAATTTTAGGTTTTTTTAATCTTAACCTTTAGGTTTAGGGTTTAGTTATTGTATTAAATTATAAAAATATAATAAATATAAATTTTACTATTATTAGTTACTTATTTTCAATCTTAAGCGTTGAGGTTAACAAAACCTTTAATTTTAGTATAGAATTAAAAAATATTATATATTAAAATATAAATTTTAAAATTAACTAACTAATTTCAATTATTGAATTTTCATAAATTTTTCTAAAATTTTACATTTTGGTATATATTATCTTTAAATATTATATACAAGAATTTTTTCCATCGTTGCTAATTTTTAGTTACTATTATCTATCAAAAAAATATAACCAATACATTACTTAAATATTAAAAGAAAAAAGTATTTAAAACTTCTTAAATGTATACTCATTATAATTTTTAATGCAATTTTTACTTTAATCTCCAATAAGAATTTTAGTTTTTATTTCTTAATGAATTTTCTTAAAGAACTTGTTAGTAAGACATTTTATCGAATATGTGTAAAGCCTTGCAAAGCATCTATTAGCCAATAAAATATTTAGGCAACCAAAGAACTAGGTACTTAAACTTCATTTACACATCTATCGTGAACAGATAGAAATGGAATATAATAAAGTGAAATACAATATAATAATATAATGATATGAGTTTTTTTTTTTCCTTTCAGTTTTATCCTTGTTTTAAATATATTAATTTTTAAATATTTGTAAGTAACAAGAAAACTTTATACCTTCTCTTTCTCTTACATAAAATATAAAGAAAGAAAAAACATAGTATTGTGTTTACATATTTCTCATGTGTGTATAAGTAAGCTTTTATTTTCATTTGATATTGAAAAATTAATATCCAATTTTAACTTTAATTTTGACTATTATTTCATATAATTTTTATTTACATGTTTTGCTCACTTCAACTATAATATATATTGTTGAATTATTATACATATATATAAATATAATTATTATAATATTACTATAAACTATAATATTAAAAACAATAAAACATTTTACTATATATTTTTTTGTATAAATTTAGCTATAACCAATCAGTTATTATTATCTTATTATTTTTTATTTATATTTATTATGATAATTATATTATAAAATAATAAAAATACAAATGATAAAATATTGTTTTATTATCATAATAATAAAATATCTTGAAATATATAATAAGAAAATAATAACCAATCAGTTATCTATAAGTTTATAAAACCATAAATTATATATTTTTTATAATAGAATAATTATAACATTGTAATATATAGAATACAATATTTTATTTTTATTATTTTGATGAAACATTTTATTATATTAAATTAAAAGCTTAAATTTTTATATTATGAATAAATATTTTGTATTATTATTATTATTATTATTATTATTATTAGATTTATTATTATTATTATTTCATAATAGTATTGTAACAATGATATTTATTTATATGCATAATAATTAAATATATATATATATATATATATTATAATTGAAGAAAGAAAAATATAAAAAAAATTGAACAAAATAAGAGTCAAAATTAAAGTTAAAATTACATATCAGTTTTATAATTTTAAATTAAAGATAAAAATTTGCTTTATATATATATATATATATATATCAATAAAAATTTTAATATTAAAAATATTTTATTATATCATTTTTCAATTCAATCTAAAATTTTAAAATTTGAATTATACCGCCATAAACTATATTTCTAATATCTCTATTTAATATACTGATAACCTCTTATTTGCATTAATTATTAGCAAATTTCCAAGGTCAAGATATACTATAAAAAATACAAATATTATGATGTTTATTAAGCTATGCCTTATGTATTATATGTTGTCTGTTGTTACTCATTTCACTTACTTTTTGGTCTCATGATAATGAACTTGGTGGAAAAAGATGGAAACTGAAATAACTATAAAATTAATGGAGGAAAATGGACGTTCGGTTACTTAACATCTTCTTAAGCATTCATAGTCACTATTCAAAAAGAGACACTTATCCAAGTTAGCATGTCATCTAGTTTGAATTTCAATAGGAGGTTAGTAAATTAGTTAATATTTAATGGAAAGTTGGCTATCCAGGTTCAATACAATTAGACGAAACCAATTTAGTTCAATTAGTCTCACTTAATAACTCTGAGATTGCCACCCATCAACCCTACATATATGATAGGAACTCATATTTTTTGTACTAAACTCTCATACTTCTTTCTTGACCTTGTGAGATTTTAAATTTTTAAGTTTTCTTGAAGCTTAAGTAAGATTTTGAAACACCTTATTTTTAATATATGAGAAACCTTACATTTTAAATTTTTGGACTTTTCAAGTTTGAGTCCTTGGACTTGTTAAAAATTTATTTATTCTTCTTCAACTTACCTCATAATCATGATTAAGGTAAGAAAAAAATAGACTTATATTATGTTAATAATCTTAATGGAACAAGAATGAAAAAAAAAGATAAATTTTCCTCAAATTTCAAAGCTAAAATAAAATTTAAATTTAAATTCTTTGATTTTATTGATTCGTGTTTGTTTGATTAAAATTGAATGTTCTTGTGTTTAATTGAATGCGTTCTTAATGTTTATCTTGAGTTTATTTGAAGTTCTTGTCAAAATTATTTCATGAATCTTTTGATTTTTATTCATTTACCTTGCTTAATTTTAAACCACATTGCATTATTTAGAAATTTTCTTATTTATATTTGTTTCATGAATCCATAAATTATTTCTTCTACATTTACTTGATTCTTAGTTCTTATCTCTATATATTACAATTTTGTATTAAGTTCGTATTAAATCACTTGAATTCATGTCTTGCATGGATTTAATTTCTTTCTCATGACTTTATGGTTTCGTGATTCAAAACTTTCAAACTCTATATATATTTTTAAAATAATTTTTTGACTCAATTGAAAGGAAAACATTTTTCAAAGTAAAAGATATTTTCTAATCCTAATTAAAAATCATTTTTGATTGATTTGAAAGATTCATTAAATTATTGGAAGATTGTCCTTTAGAAGTTTGTTGAAAAGAAGCTTCTTGTCAATGGTGTGATTCTAAAAAATGTAAAAAGATATTGATATGGTAATATTTTAATCAAGAATATTTTGTTTTGAGACTGAAACATGCTTGTGAGCATGGTTATACCTTGACTTAAAATGAAAAAGTAACAAGAGTAGGCCTAGACTTTAAAATAGGAGGCAGTGAGAGGTTACGTACAATTAGCAATGTATGTAGTATTCATAATTTATGGCGAAATATACAAATAATAAAAAACGTTAACATTTTAATTATTAATTAAATTTTATTAAAAATTATCAAAATTATGTGTGTTTTATTTTTTTTATCATTAATTTAACTATATTTTTTAAAATATTTATAATTTTTAATATATTTAATTGAAATATTATTTTTTATAATATTTTAGAGTATGTATTCCTATCGCTCTTATATTAATAAAATAATTACCAATTAAAATGTATATGTATGATAATTTAATTTTAAAAACTAATTTTAATTATAATAACTAAATAATATTATTTTTAGTGAAAAATAATATTATTTCTAATCACTTATTAATATTAAAATCAAACATAGAAAATGCGCACACTAATTATGTATTTAATTTTATATCATGGCTTAATTTTTTAAATATCTAATATAAATCTTGCAATTAAAATTAAATAGAAAATCATTATAACACATATTTAAAAATCCTCGTTTGTCATTAATATATTGTAATTCAAATTAAATGTATTTTCATAAAAAATAATTATTTCTTTCATTATTTTGTTCAAATTTTATTATATTTAGAAAGTCATTAAAAAATATTAAGAAAGTATGAAAAGTCTGTACGTCTAAAAAAAAATTCAAAAAATAAGATTTTGAACATTTATATTATAAATGATTTTTGTAACGAGTACTTAAAGCTATAGGTTAAAATAATATATTATAAGTTTTTATTAAAAATAAAATATTTAATATTTCTAATTTACTAAATTTTTTAATAATTTTTTATAAAGAAATAATATATATAAATTCATCGTGTGTCATTGAAGGAATTATAAATTATAATTCATCACTGATTTTAATAGCAGACTCGAAATTGAAAGTGCAACAATAACAAAAGGAGTTGAATAGCCACCGTTCAAATAACAAACCAGATTACCCCGCCGTGCGGTTCGTCCTCTACAAATGGATCCCCTACAGTTCAAAACTAAACCGCACCGCATGCAGTTATAATCCAATGGTGATTACCTTTTAGCAATAGTTTTAAAAAATAATTTAGAAAAATGAAGGGTCAGATTGTGAACTGCACCATGTACAGCTAACTTTTGAACCAGAGGATTTTAATCCTCGTCCTCTTTTATCCCTTCTCTCTTTCTTTCTACCTCCTTTCCGAGCAACCAAACCATCCTTCACAGAGCACGAACCATGGCAATTCACATATATTCCCAATCTCAGGTTTCTCTTACATTTCCTATTTATATATTCTTACTTTCATTTTCTTTTTCCCGAAGCCTCGTTATCAGAATTTCCAGTGCTTGCCAATTCGTTAAGGACCTTATTTGATATGCATGTTATTTTGCGCGTGAAAACGTGGTTAACTACGCACAATCAATCACCATATTAGTTTTTTCTGTGCCTTTTACAAACTTAATTCTTATAATCTCGAATCATTTGTTGCTACGATATATCTATGTATGGAAACATTTATAACGTATGGTGACCTTGTTTTCTGTTCATATTATGTGAATTGAACTTAGTTCCACGATTATGCGTTGCAGACACTTCTCACTTTTTAGGGTGCGTTTGGTAAGCAGGTTAATTAAGCGCTTAATCAATAGGTTCTTTTCATGAGAGTTTATGGTATGAATTTGATCATGGAATTTACTAGAATAAGCAAAAAAGAGCTTATTTTAATAAGATATACTAAGAAGTTAATTAAATGAGCTAAAAAAGCTTATTATAATCATAAGTTATTTTCATAAGCCCTCCGTAAGCTCCTCTAAACACGCCGTTAGTCATATTGAGGTGACCGCATAATAAAAGTTTGTTCACCACCTTAGAAGAAAGTAACTACAATTTTTAATTTTGAAATTATGGAAATGACTGTGGAGAAGAACATATATTCATAGTTTTTTTTAACTATTAATCAATTTAATATTACTAAATATACGGTCTATGCTGATTGTTTATGCTGATTGTTTGTGTAACATTGCCTTTATCGTGTCTTTAATGTATCTCACTTAGGATGTGTCCCATAATTATTCTTATTTGCACTGCAGCATTTGTTGACCATGGAGGGTGCTAAGAGCCTAAGAGTGAATGTTACACATTACAATCAAATGTTTCTTTTCAAAATATGCTTAATTTGGTCAAGAATTAGTGATATGTGATTGATATGATATGATAAGAACTGAAAGGGGGTGCTTGGATTTACTGATTATGATTAAGATAATGACAAATATATGTGTGGTGTTACAGGTTATCGTAGTGCATATCTAGGATTGTTTGTTGCGGTGAAAGATAGAAGCTAGGCCAGTAGAGAGGCTACCTGATGTAATGCAACACTTTTAAGATCAGGGCAGTGGCTATGTTGGAAGCTGTACAAGAGATTGCAATATACATTCATAGGTTTCACAATCTTGACCTTTTTCATCAAGGGTATGCATCCATTTCTATTTTATTCTTTTGTAACTTTTGTTTGGAAATCTGACTAGGTTACATAGCTGAATGCATGTTTTGTTTTACATAGATGGTATCAGATTAAAATTACTATGAGATGGGAGGACGATGAAACAATATCTTTTGGAATTCCAGCTAGAGTTGTTCAATATGAAGGTAATTTGTCACAATATTGCTCTATATTACTTTTGTATTTGTGTTTGAGGAAACTTGTTATCATTATTTATCCTATGTAGCCATGTATTCAATTAAGTTTTGCCAATTATTTAACCAGCAGTTGAGTAGTGTAATTGGCCTATCAATGGAAATGTTGAAATCATTTGGTTTGACACTATCATATTGTTTGACTTTTTCTTTTAATTGTGTTATTAACTTGTAGGCATAGTATTTTATCATTTGGTTGGACATTACAATATTAATTTGAGGCCCTAAGTAGTTGAAAAGGTGGAACTAGTGGCTATTAATTTCTAATTGTTACACCATTAATCATGATGTGTTGTTGTTTGCCAAGGACCTTTCTCAGCCACTTGTTTTGTTATTCATGAAACTACTTTCCACACTTTTATGTTTCTCTTTGCGCACCTACATATTTCTTCATGAGAAAACTTTTACAGAAGCTGTTTTGTATGTGCTGAATTAATAATAACTGATGAGATAGTAAATGTTCTTAATTGCAGCTCCTGATCTGGGTCCTAGCAATTTATTTGGTATTTGGAGGATTGATGATACAGACAATAGTTTCTCAACACAGCCCTTTGGGATAAAATATGCTAGGCAGGACATTCATTTATGTATGATGATCTCATTCAATTTATCACTTAGTAGATTTGAGGTGATGATCTCTCTCTCATTTTCTTTTTCTGGAGGGTATTGTGGGGAAAGGAAATATGGTTAGAATCCAATAGTGGGTATTGAATTCAATACCTCACTAATGAGAAGGTTAGGATCAAATTTCCCATAAATTGTTTATACACTCCAGCACAAATGCAGCTAGTATGTAGTGGTTCTGAACTTTTGATAATGAAAAAATCCACAACTCATTGGCTATGAATTAGTTGATATGCAAACTAGTTGTAATATATAACAGGTTTAGGGCTATTTGAGATTTATGTTTTCAAGTTTAACAGCTGTGGGTACCATATTTTTTTCTTTCTTTGCTACTGCCAATTATACTTGCTAACAAGAGTTGATTGGGTTCCTATTCATAATGACAATTGATTAACATGTGTAAAATTGGTTAAACTTTTAAAGCCACTTTGTAATCTTGATATTTGTGAATCAAAATATTTCCTAAACCTCTAAGACAAGCATATAATCAGTCTAGACATGGCAAAGAAATGCAAGAATTGCACATAAAGGAACAAGCATATTTGTATTTTTCCTCACCCTTGCACATCATAAGGAGATTATATTTCTATATTCTGTCTATCCTTGTCAAGGACAAACTCAAAATACTTTAGTTGTCAGGTGAAGACGTGAAGGCTCATGGTCAGTTTTATATCTCTAGCATGCCCTCATATGCAAGAGCCCCTTTGGCTTTAAGCATGGTTTATGCGCAAAACAACTCTACCATATTCTAGAAGGCAATTTTAATATTGGATGGAACCCATGACCTCTTGATCATATTGGCTCTGATACAATGTCAATGACTAACTCTCACAAAAGTTTAAGTTGCTATGTGCAGACAAATCACAAATGATTGGTTTTATGTCTCCAACAAAAATGCTCCCAAAATCAACATCCAAAACAACCAACCTAATTTTCAAGTTCATTAACTTATTCAAATGTTATGTTTATGTCAACAAATGCATCAAAGAAACTTATTTTATTTTTTCTACATGATGTCAGCTAGAACTTGCTTGTCAAATTGAGATTTGCATGTGGTCAAATTTATATTGATTCTAAATAGTAATCAAGCATTGGTCAAATGCAAAAAAGAATTTTCAAATTGCTCAGAGTAGAGTCACAAAGCTGAGATCCAAAGTTAGCAAATCCAATGCTTTGTTACAATTCATTGCTAGGTGCAAGTTGCAAAGCACCATGGACATAGGTTGAAGACCACTATCACAAGGAGTGTTGGATGTTTGAATGGACAGGATAGGTGAAATTAGGTTTGAATTTGTGTGAAACTAGTTCTCAGGATGCAATTAAAATCGTTTAAGTTTGGGTCAGCATTTGTGATGTAATTGTAATATAATATAAAACCACTAATGTATCTTTATCTAACAACTTAACTTTTAGGGATTATTAGTTCATGATAGTATTGCAGCCTATATGATCAGGTATCTATAATTTGATCCTTTCCCCCTTGTTCTAATAAAAAAGTTGAATTTGAGCACAAGGTAGGTGGGGTGCTGCATTGTCCATGCTTTGTGTGAGAGTGCATCTTGGAAATGTAATGTAAAACTATTTGTGGGTCTTCACCTAATAGTTTGAAATCTTTGAATTGTTGGATCAGGACAGAGTTTTTGTTGGTCTGTGTTTTATTTGATCTGCCCCGCACACCAACATGGCTTTGTTGGAGTTTAAAACTGTCATGATACAAGTCTCAACACAATTTCAGTTTGATCCTATTAGATCATGTTCTGAATTCTTATGCTGGAACAGGATCCCTATAGCAAGAGGAACATAGAATGATTTGATTCTATGCTTACCTTGCTGTTTTGCTCAATATTATCTAATTTAACTTTTTTGTTGTGGTTCTTATTTGCAGGTTTTACCTACAACAGCTGTAATTTTGAAGTTTGAGCTTATGTTTGCTCCTACATTTGAAAATGGGTGAGTGATAATAGTATATTCATTAGCTTATTAATATGGAGCAAAACAATTGTTCCTTCTTGGTTGATATCTCCTTGGGCTATGTATGCAAGTTCAATTTAGGGGGGAAGGGAAGGCTTCTAAGAGACCTCTTATTTGAGAGTTATAGAGAGAAAGCATTGTAGCAGAGATCAGAGAAAAACCTAAACTGTTGATACTGTGTAGAGAGAAAGTGTATGAATGGTGTGGGCCATATGTTCACACATGAATCGTATTTATAATCACATAGTATAGTACAACATAATTAATCATAAATAGGAAGGAATAAAAATGAATCCCTAATTTACAGTTACATATAATGGGATATCTAATCATGTCCCTTATTTTCTTATTTTGTGATGATTGTTTTCTAACCATAGCTTTTAAAAATAAGAAGGGGTTTAAGGATCTTTAAATTCCCCCCAAAACCCCTTTTATATTTTTTGAGTGCTCTCATTTTAGGGGGTTCTTAACATCCAAACAAGAAAGGAGTCTAACCTCCCTTCCCCTCCCCTCCCTTACCTCTCAAACACTTTATTGTCCTCTTTCTTCAAACTTCCAAACAAGGCCTTAGTGAAACACTGACTGGAATGCACCATCTGCAGTGCTGATTTGCAAGCTTCTCTGGATGCTTACCCTGCTGCTGTCCATGAATTCCGAATTCCTCCTAAAGCTCTTTTAGGGTTACATTCATATTGTCCTGTACATTTTGATGCTTTACATGCAGTGCTGGTTGATGTCAGCGTACATGTCAGTTTACTGAAATCTGCTTCTTACCAGTCCACATCGAAGGTACCCAGGTTTGTCCCGTTGGCTTCATTATGAATCAATTAGACCTTCAGTTTAGAATTTTTATTTCTTTTGAGAAGTTTACTTAAGAGCATATTTGATTGCAACTTTCTTTTTATGTTTGATTACACAGAGTAACCTGATCACATGCTTTATTTCAGCAATTCTCGCAATTCTGAATTTGTTGCTGATAAAAGCAATGACACATTGAACCAAGTATGTTTTAAACATTAGATGTCTCTTTCGAAATCATTGTTGAAGAGCAAATCAATTTGGCTTTATTGAAAATACTTATTACAAATCTGTTGGAAATATGTAAATACAGTAATAGGACAGTTTTAATCTTGTAAATATGTTTGTATAATCTTGCTTTTAATTATACTTATTCTTGTATTAATGACAAAAAAAAAAATTCTCTGGGGTGTAAACCACGACGCAGATTCATCCTGTGTTTCTTGTTCCTCTTTCTTCTTTCTCAACACAGTATCTAGAGCTTGACAAGAAGCAACCTAAATCTGTGCACTGCTTATTGATGTAGATTTTTCCCCTCGAAAACCATGCTTCACATCCTAAATTTGGACTTCTCCTGTCTGGGTCACTCTTTTATGCTGACAACTTCTCTGAACCTATTTTCTACGCAGATGATAGATAGTACAGCTTTGGTCCTTGTAGTTTGGACTCTACAATTTTGGCCCCCTTAGTTTCTTTTGAGCTAATTAAGTCCCTCTACTCTTAAAATTAAGCAAATATGCTCCCTAATCTCTTATTTCATAAAATCTTTCAATTCTTATTAAATTCCCATGAAACTTTTAACTTCTAAATATTTAGAATTATTTTATATCATAAATATATAAAAGAAATCTGCCAAAAAAATACAATAATTTTAGGATTTTAAGTAGAAAAAACTAATGAAGAGATCAAATTTACTTAATTTGAAAAGTAGATGGACTAATTAGCTAAAAAAAAGCTAGAGGGATCAAAATTGCATATGATTCAAACTAAAGGGACCAAAAGTGAAATTAAGAATTTTACTTTTTATGTAATCTATTGTTTAAATCAGGGAATAATAACATTTCATGTGAAATATTGTCATGTTCAAAATATAGATTTAGAGAGTTATGTGGAAAATAAAAAATAAGATGACAATGTTGAAAGGCAGTACCACAAATGGAATGAAATTTAAAAAATGTTTTTATTGGAAGTATGAAAATGTTTGTTTTTGTATTGTTGTAATCAGGGATCAAATCGATATTTATATATTTGTTCTATTGGTTTTATTCTTTGGATGTTATTATTCAGGCATTAACAGAATGCTTTTTTATGTCACTAACCAGGGTTTAGAAGTTGCCTCGCCCTCTATACAGTTGAGAAATGTCAAGCTTGTTAGAGCATTATTAACAGCTCGTGATATATTACTTGAAGAATTACAAAAACTTGGCAAAGCAGTTGATCAAGCTATTGATATTTCAGAGTTTGTATCAAAAAGGAATAATATGAAATTATTAAATTCTATTCTGCAAGCTAATCAGTTCACAACTGATGTTGAAATTTCAGGACAAGGCAAGCAACAAAATAGTCTTGAGGTCCTTGCTTTTGTTCATTCTGCAAAATATTTCTATTTTGTTTTTCCTTTCATGTTGTTCTTTATTATTTTATTTATTATATTGCTTCTTCCTGTACAGGGAGGAAATGGTGCTCTAGATATTTTGAAAGCTAAAAAGCTTCGTTCCTGGTCAAAGAAAGAGGTCCTGTACTGTTATCATGCAGTGGGAAATCAATTGTCATATTTATGGAACATATTTCTAAAGTTCCATAGGTTTGCTTTTTACTTCAATCTTTTTTATGAAAAACAACTATCAGCATTTTTTTTCTTAAAGCATAGACCCATTTTCAAATGTATTAATTGCAAAGGCTGGGAAAATAATATGCATAATGACATATTACAAGAAAAAGGGAAATAGGGGAGATCCTATCACAATATCAGCACAATAAATACTAATATCCTAATTTCCAGAATATTTACCCCATAATTTAATCAGACTATGGACAGCAATAAAATCAAATATTTATTGATAGATTATAACAAATATTCTGAGATTCTAACAGTAAATATATCCATTCATTGAATATATAAGTTATTAATTTGATTGTTTAATACTATGTGTATTTATTGAATATAGTATAAATTTATAATATATAACTACTTTACTTTGGTTTTGATAAATTAGTTATTTATATATTATAAAAAGGACTATAGAGAGTATTATGTATCATTAAAATTAACCAAAATGCATGCTGCAATAAATTTCACGTTTGAATCTGATTCGATGATCTATTTTTTCTTTCTGTAACTTTTTAACAATTTTGATACAAGTATAATTAATAATAATGTGGTTTGGAGCTCTAGATTGTTTTTTGAGCAAATACTCATTTTAGTCCTTGAAATTGTTAGCATAGACAATTTAATCCTTAACTTCATATAATTCTCACTTTATTCTTTAATGTTTTGAAAATCACCCATTTTAGTCTTTTTCTTATTTCATTTTTTAATGTTTTATATATATAAAAAAATTAAAGTGAATGTCGTTTTGTAAAATCAGGAATTAAAGTGCAGGACCTCTTTTTAACTCATTTTATCCCCTTTTTACTTCAAGAACTAAAATGCTAAACACTTGCAATTTGAGGGAATAAAATGGGTATTTAATCATTTTTTTTTTGTTTCTTTCAAGCATATATAATTAGGTTTCAATTGCTCATTTGATCTATTATGGAATATTTTCTGGGGAAAGCTTAATGGCATCGTTAGCTTCTGTTTCCTTCATTACTTGGTTTCAAATGATATTTCTGCATGCAAATCCACGTTCAGTATTTCACATGTTGACATGCTTATAACATGAGAATGCTCCAGTTAACTATCTCACAATCATAATTTGTGTCATTTGTCATTACCAGTCCATTAGTATATATCATGAATTGCTCATTTGATCTATTATGGAACAGTGTCTGGGAGCAGCTTAATGTCATCATTAGCTTCTGTTTCACTCGTTCATTGTTTTCTATACTTGGTTTCAAATGATATTTCTGCACACAAATCTACATTCAGTATTTCACATGTTGACATGCATATAACACGAGAATGCTCCAATTAACTATCTGACAATTATAATGTGTTATTTTTCATTCCCCATGCATTAGTATATATAAAAAAAATGTAACGTTGTTTACTCAACTATAATATTCATGTTTCTAGGGAGAACAAAACAAAGATTCTAGAATTTTTGCATGATACATGGGCTAAGGATCGGAAAGCTGAATGGTCAATATGGATGGTGTACTCTAAGGTTGAGATGCCTCATCATTATATAAACAGTGGGAGTGATGAGTCTTCCCATCGTGGGGTACACAGAAGAGTTTCCAGTTTGTGGAAACTATCTGACGATGTAAGTACTTGTGCCTCCTATGTATTCTTAATAATAGAAAAGTTGCTTAGAAAAGAAGGAGCTTGGTGAACATAATTTTGGTGCAAATAACTAAAAGCGATATCTTTTTTTTGGTCTGATAAATCATACAGCCTCTTCAGACTGCAACTACTCGTGCAGAACTTCATCGAAGGAGCATTGCACAAATGAGGGTAGTTATCAATTCATGTGGACCACCTGCTCCTCTTTTTAATATACATATGGCCTATTAATGGATTATATTTATGCAGATAAACAACCGTTCAATTCAAGACATGCATATATTTGGAGATCCGTCACGTATACCAATTGTGAGTGTGGAACGTGTGATGAATGCACCTCGACGTACTATCAGTGAAAATTCATACTTGAGACATGTAGCACTTATAAACAGTCTCAACTTGGACACTGCAAGCAAGACATCTGCACCACAAAGTAGTACTCGTGTGTTGAAGATTGTTGTCTTTGTGCATGGATTTCAGGCAAGTCATACACTAATGGAATTTTGTCAAAACAATACCATTTATTTTATTTAGGTCTCGAGTTTGTTGGATATACCCAACCTATTATATTAAGATTGGGTCAAGTAAACGTAAATCACTGGTTGGTTGTTGTTAGAAACACAGTGAGAGAAAGGAAAGAGAGAAGAAAGGGAAAAATTCAATTTCTAACTAACTTGAAAGAGTACAAACTTTTTTTATATAGACTAGACAGTCCTAGCTTGAACTGTCAGCAACAATAGTTTGACATCACAGAGTTTGTTACAACAGAATATTCTAAAATGATTACAGTTAAAATGACAATTCTAAGTTTACAACATTGTCCCTTCAAACTCAATTAGGCTGAGTAATTGAAAATTGGTCAACTACTTGAAGTTTGCGTCTTAATTAGTAGAATATTGTACTCCCCAATGCCTTTGTTTGAATATGAACGATTTAATCATCAGCAGGAATGTGAGACAATAAGGCTTTTGTTGATAACATTTTTCATGTGCAAAAAAGGTCCAACTCTAAATGTTTTGACTTCTATTCCTACAAAGTAGTCTATGTTACCTAAATGCTTCAGGGCAAAGATAGAATTTAACTTTGCTGTAAGCTACTGAATTTGGTTAGGAGAGTTTCCTGTGATGAGAAAGTCATCTACATAAACCAGAATGTAGATACAGTAGTTTGCAATGGAAAGTATGAATAGAAATGAGTCACACTTGCATGTTTTAAACCCAAAGCTGCGAAGAGAATTGTCTGTCTCTTTTTCCCTATTTCTACAAGGGTCCCACTTTCTAAAGCATAACAATTGACTGTCTCTTTTCCCCTTAACTAGAAATGCAAGCAATAGTAGCATAAGTTTCCCCATGAAGCACCAAAACAAGCCGTTGCCCAACATCTAGTGAAGTGGCCACCTTTTGGACAATAGCATCAATGATACTGCCAAACATAGCAACTGTATTGTACTTCCTCCCCACTCTTGCTGCTGCTATACTAATTCAACCTTCACTCTGCTTCTTTATTTCATCTACCAGTTCTGCACATCCCAACAAGAACACAACATAGGCAAGGTTTGTTAAATTCTTGATCTGGATTTCAGTAGTGATATGCCCACTAACCCTCAACCTCATGAATTCCACCTGGGTCAAATAAGAAACTCTTAAGACATTCTTTCTTCCAAATTCGACTAAAGCATCATCCACAATAATGTGGGAAATTTGCAATACTAGCACCTTCTTGTGCACTGTACTCACTACTACCAAAAATTTGAAATTTGGGAGAGTTCATGAGCTCCAAGACAGCCCTTTTTTCTTGATACTCAACCACATCAGTGAGTTGGGCTTGCTTATTTCGATGATCCTCAATACCGAACGCAGAGTTCAGGAATTACAAAATATAGGACTATAGGAATAAATTCCATTTTTAAAAAAGAGGATTTTTAAATTGAGTATCAAGGAGTTAAAGAATTTAAGCCAAAATACCAAATCAAAGTAGATCGATTTTTTTTCATTCCCGAGGAAGTGCATATTTTACCCGAATCTTCTTCCATAATGATACGGACCAATAGTATCGTTGGAGTAGATACACCAATAACTTTAAATATAAGAAGTTGAGTAGGTGGATTGGTCCAAATGGAGAAGAAAAAAAAAAAGATTGAATTAAAAATATTATAAAAAATTGCCTTATCCTAGGAACTTCCCATCTTGTCCATGCTCCCTTCTCACCAGTTATGCTTTGGTGTTGAAATTGTTGAACGATGACTTGTTCTGCTTTCATCACCATCTCTGATGTAGCCGTGGCCACCACACATGCACCATAGTCTGGTTGTTCAGGTAGGAGCAGGCTGGCTGTCTCACTTGAGAGGCAAAATTTTGTTACAGCTGTTGACCCACTCAACTTCATGGGAGAAATCAAATCAAGTGGGTTGTTCATAAAACCGAAACCCTAACCCTCCATTATTGTTATCAAATCAGTCCTAGGCTCTCTGCTCATGCCAAATATAGGACCTCCCTGAATCTTTTCAACCCAGAAAAGATCCATTTCTTCGTCATCTCTGCCATTGTGATTCTTGATTTTAATAAATTCATTTTTGCTTCTATTTTCTTATTAGAGCTTGATACCAGTTAATAGAAACTGATTCAGATATTGAAGAAAAACTCTCTTTATTAACAGAAAGTTCAGTACAATCTAAGTATTCAAGAGATCTAGTTCTCTCCCAATGCCCAAAGGCTCCACCCAATCCTCTCTCAATTCAACTGCTATCCTTATCTTAACCTTCCCTTTTATTTATAGGCAACATGTGTTATTCAAACTATCTCACCAAACTAACTATCTCACTAATGTAACTAATTAATGGATAACTAAGTAATCTACTTTAACTAAATACTTATTCTAACACCTAACATTAAAACAATAACATGGTTTATCCTTGTCATAAAGTTTTATGTTGGTTGTCAACTTCCTAACACAACCATGCTCTTTTATCCAGGCTTAGGGCTGGCTATATAAAGAATTGCATCAAAGCATGACATTGGCAGATTTATTGTATGTTTGTATCATTTTTTATTTTGGTTTAATGTTTATTCTACATCACCTAAAATGTTGTAGGGGCATCATCTGGATTTACGACTTATTCGAAATCAATGGCTTTTGATAGATCCTGAGGTAAAATTTCTTATGTCTGAGGCTAATGAAGATAGAACATCAGGAGACTTCAGAGAAATGGGACAACGACTAGCTCAGGAAGTTATTTCTTTCGTTAAAAAGAAAATGGACAAAGCCTCAAGATATAGAAATTTGGGAGATATTAGGTTAAGTTTTGTTGGACATTCTATTGGTAACCTCATTATAAGAGCAGCGATAGCAGGTAGGTCATAATTTTTGAAGTGATGGGTGGGGTTCATCTGTTTGACATTATGGGCTAAACTCTGTTCTATTTTCGCAGAAAGCATGATGGAGCCATTTCTAAGATATCTATATACATATGTTTCAGTATCTGGTCCACATTTAGGGTATCTTTACAGTTCAAACTCTTTGTTTAATTCTGGATTATGGCTTTTGAAGAAACTTAAAGGCATGCAGTGTATTCGTCAGCTCACCTTCACTGATGATCCAGATATCCAAAATACATTTCTCTATAAGTTGTGTAAGGTGAGGAAATTGTTCTACCAAGGTTGGAATCAAATGACACATATAAGCTCAAAGTAACTTTTATCAGCCAGAAGCTTAAAATATTGTTCTCTTGAATAACTTATTTTGATATGTAATCACTGTTAGTTGTTACCAACAACACTATTATATTATAAGCATCTGTTATGCTTAATCTTTAATAACTATTTGGATATGAAATCCAAGTTGTTGATCTAGTAATCTTTCCTTGTATGTGAAAATGATGCATAACATTGATGTGATTTGAAAAATCTGGCTATGATCGGCATAATGACTTTTTCTAAACCCAATGCTAATTTTCTTTGAAATTATATCCTACAATAAGTTAATCAATACTTCATAAGTACATATACTGTAAATACACTGTTATGTAAAGGATACATTTAAGTGTTATGTGTGTGTTTGTGGGTGTTCCCACGCATGTTTCTGACCCTGCACTTTCAATTTTGGCTACCAGAACCATGTTTTGTATAATATGTTAGAAGTTATTGTGTTAATGTTGAATTACTAATTTTTGTACCAATAATTCTACCAAAAAATTGATCCATACATTGTTGGCTGTAAAACATGAGCAGGGGTTGTAGTGAAGATGCATTGGCATAAAAAATAGATGACAACGGCTAATTCAATGTTCATATTAGTAATTTTTTTTAAAGTGAAAATGAGTGGTCTCCTTGAGAAATCCCTAAAACTGAACAGGAGTATTAGTTTTTTGCGTCAGCGGCCTTGATCATCCTTATGTTTATGTATTTAATTACTTTGATGAGGTTCTAATATTACTTTACGTTTCTCTGTTTCTTCTTTTTCAGCAAAAGACCTTGGATCATTTTAGGAATACTGTGTTGCTATCTTCCCCTCAGGTTTTCCCTTGTCTTGTGACCCCTAAAATCATTTCTAGAAATGCTCTGTACTGTCACACTTAGCAGTGAATATATATTGTGGATATGAGATTTTTAAAATTGGACTTAATTGATGGATTTATAAATGCATGCGAAGCTTGATCTTCTATTACATAATTAATTTTACGAAGTGTCTTATGATCATGGTGCACCTGAGATGAATCCAAAATAGAAACCAAAATGCTGGCTGTGGAACTCAATCTATATTCAAAACTAGAAAGATTTTGAAATGTCTGAAGTATTTTATCTTTCCTAATTGACGTCAAATGAAATACTACGGGTCATTTGGTTTGAGAAAAAAAATTTGTTTTCCCTTTTTAAAATACAAAAATTCCACTTTATTGTCAATTTTTTTTTTGTTTTCAAATATTTGTCTAAGAAACAGTAAAAAAATATAAGTTTATTGTTTCATCAACAAATCTTTGAAAGCAAGAAAACATACATGAGAATAAGCCCTCACAATTTTTATGGAAGAGTTTGTACAACAAGGTATTTATTTTTAAGTTATTCAAGTAAATCCTCTTTCCCTTTTCCAGTTTTTGTTTTCTGCTATATCTTATGCTTGCTTTTTAGGAATTTAATTGGTTTGCTGCCAACTGATTATGTATTTTTTCAGGATGGTTATGTACCCTACCATTCTGCTAGAATTGAATCATGCCAAGCTGCTTCACATGACAATTCCAAGAAGAGTAGATTGTTCCTAGAGATGCTGAATGATTGTTTGGACCAAATTCGTGCCAATCCCTCTGAACATCGAGTTTTCATGCGTTGTGATGTCAATTTTGATGCCACTACCTATGGCAAGAATTTAAACTCATTCATTGGTCGAGCTGCACATATTGAGTTTCTGGAATCTGACATTTTTGCAAGGTTCATAATGTGGTCATTCCCAGAACTATTTCGATAGAGGTTCCTATCATTTGCCTTATTTGCATTAAGGTTTTCTAAAGTATTCAGACTGACATAAGCTTGGCCCCACTTATCAGCATCAGATATCAGTTGTGGCCAGATTTTAGTCACAAGTCATTCAAAGAATTGCAATCACCTTGGTATGTGTAAATTGGCAGGAGGATGAAGACATCTAAGCTGCATATTTGGTTGGCTTCAAGATGTTTATTTGCAACACATATATACATATAGCTATAGGAATGGTTCCAGAAGTAATAGTGTGTAATTATTTTAGGTTAGGTAAATCACTGTTAATGTCATGCTTTTACAATGTTACTTCCGAAGCCATTAACATACTGAGGGAAGGGAATCAGGTTGCAGTGGAATTGTTTATAGCAAGGAGAGATTCACACTTTTAGGTTTAATTTTAACAAATATTTAGATCAAGATTTTATCCTTTAAACCAAGCAACATGACAGCCTTATATTCATATATGATTAGGTCAAATTTTAACGTTATTTTTTTGCTCCTTTTCTTAATATTTTATGTTTAGCTACAAGTTAGTAGGTCGTAACCTAGTATGTACCTTCTGTGCCTCTCTAATCTAACTTTGTCTCCTTTGCTTAATATATTATTGTGTTGCTTTTGTTGCATTTGCGGATGTAAATGCTAAAATTAGTGCTACACATTTTCCTTTCCCATTCTCTTGTTAAGTATTAACCATATTTTATGAGTAATTTTAAATTTTATAAAGTTATAAATATAAATATTATTTTTCTTTAAAATAAGATTTAACATATGAAATATTAAAATTAAAATACATATTTAATTATTACTTATTCAACTATAGTTAAATTTGAGCCGTGAACAAATATCTATGACACTTGACCAACTAGTTTGATTTAAAAAATATTGATTAAAACTTAAAGTAATAAAACATTTTTTAAGTAATCATGTTACTTTTTAACAACTTTTAATATTGATTCATGTATGATTTATTATCAAGATCTACTTTTCTCACTCATAAAAGTTTTGCCTTAGTCTCAAATAGGAAACACATTTGCAAAGCCATGTCCTCCACATGCAACCATATATTTGAAGGTTTGTCCACACCTTGAGTAATTTTGTTCTCCTTAATCATTTTACTTTCAACTTTATCAATTGACCCTTTTGTGGTCATTCCATGTGATTTTTAATATCATCCATAATAACAAGCTAGAGGATGTTAAAACTCATTTATAATTATTCTATAATTCTTTCAATCTTAAGTACCAAAAGAAAATTGTACAGCCTTGTACTACCATGGTCCCGACTAATAACAAAATGACACATGCATTTAAAAGTGAAAATTTGGACACAAAAATAAGATACAAGTGACAAGAACCATGTGGTTCCGGATCACCTAAAATTTCTTCGAGTATAGAAATCAACCTACTCATACTTTAAGGTGCTCACTTACACGAATCAACCCCTAGTACTAATGGCTGAGCATTTGATATTTTATTGCTTTCAACAATCACGTTAGTGTTATAGGTTCAGGTTGTGTGATAAGCCTATAGATGAAACAGGTAAAGGCAATCACGTAGTACAATGACGAGATGATTTGAAGATTGGAAGCTTAAGTTTGAAAGATGATTATTTGAAGTTGTTGCTATGGCATAACTATTATTGTAATGAACATTATTTCTAACAGTTGATTTAATACCCAATAATATAATAATTATAATAAATTAATATATAAAATAAAATACTTTATTTTATAATTGATTTAAAGAAATTCTTTTATAGTAAAAAGTTTATTGTATCTTGAATAAATATTTGATTATGTGTGATAATTGAATAATATATTATGAAAATAAAATTAGAACTTTTCTTATACATACACACACACACACACACACATATATATATATATATAATATTAAACCTCATTATTATTCACAACTTAGTCTAAATTACAAATTAAAAGTCACATAAAGTCATTTTTAAAAAAATATATATACAAATATACTCAATAGAATATATTCCAAATTAGTATTTATATAAAGATAAATTAAAAAAAACTAATATGTTTGCACTGTAGTTTGATTTTGAATACAAAAACTGAATAAAAAAATCAAAATTTTTAGTCCTTAATTTTCTTTTAGTTAACAATTCATTTAATATTTTGTTATCTTTATATTGGTTTAGCATTGTGAAAAAATTTATATTGATTCTTAAACACCCCTAATAACACGGTACACTTAGGCCCAATTTAAATAAAGTTTAAACAAGCCCTTACAAAAGAAAATATAAAAAATAAATTTATTTTCATATGTAAAAAATAACTTATATTCTTTAAGTTTTAACGAAAACAAATGAGAAATTCTCAAAAAATAAAAAAATATAAATTAACTTTAACTTGTAAAAGTTTTATTCATTTTACTAATTTTTTACTCCTATAAATATTTATTGATAAATTTATCTAAATTAGACCTAATTTAGTATTGGTGAAAAAAGACGATGATGGAAAACAAAGGTAATGAGTTTTGTAAAGTGTTAAAAAGGTTGAGGAGACGATGAGTTACCTCAAACAAAAATGAAAGATAACCATCCCAAATAAAACAATCATTTTATGATATAATGTTGAACTTAATGTGCGGTCATATCTCTGTCACTAGATTGACATCAACTAACGTAAGGGACAAAAGTGATTGATGTGCTCCAATGTTAACTACTAACATTTTAATTTACAAATCCTAAAGACTAAAATTATCGAGCCCTGTAGTTTTAGGAACAAATTGAGGGTTTACACTTGTATTTAATCCCAATTCACATATTAAGATGTTGAGGCATATATTCATCGTTAATGAAAATGGTTAATAATGAGATATCTAACTACAATCAAATAGTATCATTTAGGGTTTAACAATGGAAAAAGAAAGAATAAATTATTTCCACTAGTGTTACAACTATAAAAAGTACTCGCAATCGCTAGTCATTAAGGATAAAAAGAAGAAAAGATCAACATAATTAAATAAACATGAACTCATCATCAAATATAAATTAGCTCTCTGATAATAGAAAATTACACGTTGAATATATGGAAGCAGCAGCTGCATTAACAGCTAACTCTTTCTCTGAGCTATCTAATACCAATGCTCTGCACATTATAGAATATCAAAACTGTCAAAATTTATGGTCATAGGCTTTGTGCTACTTATACATCAGTAGAAAACTGAGCAATTTATAATGTGTCTAAGGCAAATACAAACATGAATTCAAACTATTAAAATCTTGAACCAAAATTTCATGATTAAACACAAGGAAAATCAGTTATTTCATTACTTCAACCAAGAAAATGAAGTAACAAAAATAATAGAGCAACAAACTTATATGTAATTCTTAACCACAAATCACAATGATAAGTTGCACAAGAGCAGAAATTGCAGTCCATTACAAGAATCTATGAGAGAAAACAGAACTGGTAGTCTCTTGAAAATGCATGAAGTTGTTTCAGTTCAGTAGCAATGATTACACAATCTTTTAGAGTAATTCAGTTGTCATCAAGAAGCAATTACATGCAAACATTGATCAGCAGCATCAGCTTGCTTAATACTACTCTAAATTGCAGTCCAATTCAAGACACTATGGAAAGGAAGGCATCAGTTATTTAAACTTGTATCCATTAGTAACATAGCAAAGCATTACTAATAATGCACAAGATGAAACTAGAGTATCAGAACCTATGCGAATAAGAGACTGTTTAATGAATATGATAAAAGAACAGAAATAGATAATTTTCCTCTTAGCTTATTTCCAGTGTTTGTTGAATGAAAAGGTATGATAAGTCTTATCTAATCGACTAATCATATCCAACTCTAGTGTAATTTTTATTCTGTGGGAGGTCTAGGTTAAAAATAGACAAAATAGACAAGGTAGGATAACATAATATATCTTGTTTGTTATTTTGACATGCATCAATTGTAAAATAAGACGAGTCTATCCTACTCTTATCATGTTTTTATCCAACTATCATCTTATTCTTTCTTATCCTATTTTGTCTACCAAACGAAGCATAACTGTAACTTCTGAGACATTTATCCTCATTAACAAGCTATGGCTATAATCAAACAGAAAACTTTTATTTTGCAGCCAACGGATGACTTTCTTTAAGATGAAGTAAAGTAGCATAAGCATATAAACAATCATAAACAATAACTGAGTATATCGTCCAGTTAAATGTAGATTTTGTCCAATCAGTTATCAAGATTGTTGCTAAGCTCCAAGTTCACAGACCTGAAAGTTGCACATTCTTTTCACATACTGTGTCCAAACAATCTGCTTTAATTATATTTTTTATGTTGGAATGGTTAAAAACTGAATAAATTTCTTCAAGAAACTTCTAGAAATCAGCCTGTCACCTCTTACTATTTAAGACTGTTGAGTACTTTCGATTATTTTTCCTATTCCATTAAAATATTATTAAAATTTGATTGTCATTATAATGTAAATACACAAGGCTACAAGCAAATCAAATTGGGTTTAATTGGCATGAGTCTTGTTCTCTACAAAAATCCAAATACAGCTTAAATTCTCGTCATAGAATCATTATTAGAAGATTTTTTCTTCTATATTATATGTACAGAGAAATCAAGTTGTGCAGGTTTAAAGACTTAAAATTTAAGCAAAAGTACCAAGTCCACAATGATCATACAATTTTATATCAGGTGATCAACACATTTACCTGGAGTTGTTTTCGGAATGTCCCAGCTGTTGTAAACCAAAAGCCGTACTCCAGTTTACATTTTGCAGGCCCTGATCACATAGCAGTTGCTTTTCTTTTACTTGAGTCAACCAACTTTCCTGAAATTATGAACCAGGAAAGTTAAGATCTAGATAAAAAGAGGTACAAACTTCTTTGTTAGTAATTTTATCTCAAATCATTGAAAGGAACCAAGCAACTTGGCATCTTCCAAGGTATCCATTCAAATTCACCATGGCCACAGATATCTTTGGTACCAACAATTACATAACCTAAGGAGAAAACAGAGATATAAAAAATCAAAATCAACTGGATCCTAATTTTGCAGATACAGTATTCCGATAAAAATATACCTTCTATGAGTGTTTTAAATTATGATCTACAACCATAATTACAGCCACATCTACCCGCAATTTTTCAAAACTTAATCAATATTATTGTGAACACAATTAAAATCACCCCTTCTGCATTTCTGAGCAATTCCTGGCAAGATGGTTGACTGTTGCCACCAGAATCATTAGGAAGCATTTAGTTCATTTTTTGTTTTTATTTTAGTTGATATGTTTTCTCATTTATATAACAGAGATGCTATTTATTTTTCATGCTACTTCCTCTAAGTTTTGTAAAGTAAATGGTGAAAAACAAGAAAATGCTTATATCGTTTCCCTCACAAAACTTTGACCACATAAAATAGAATGAAAAATAAGGGTAGTAATTTTTTAACTAATATTGAAAACATATTGAATGAAAATAGACAACAAACAAAACACTACTTTTGGTGAGTTTAGAAACGATGTCATCTCGCCCGAAACGAGCAACTTTGATCCAATGTTCTTCTTCACAATTCCCAGCCTCCATTTTGGTACCAAATCGAATAGCAACCACTTTCATGCTTCGAATCCGTTGGGGCTGAAAGTGTAAAAGTTTTCGGAAGTGAAATAAGTTGAAACTAGCCCATTCTCGTGCGAATACCTTTTCTGTCAGAAGTGTCATCGCTTCCAACACGTTATATTTGTTTATCTATTCAACCCTTCTGATTTAGTGTTTAATTAAAAAATAATTTTTTTTTTAACTCGAACATTTGACTGACTTCGCATGAATCCACACACGTAAGTATTATTAGAAAAACTCATTTTAACTTTTAAAAATTCTAATTAAAATAGAATATAAAATATTGATTTAAAAAAGTGAATATCCTTCTTTTAAAAGATATTATTTAATTTTGTTCTAAAATATTTTTATAAAGAGACTGAACACTAATATTATAAATTAATATTTTTAATATGATTTTTAAGAGCTGTGTCTATGCGGTGTCTATTACATTATTTATGTCGTGTCTAAAGTCTGATAAAAACCGAGCTTCATAAATTAAGTTTTAGAAAATTATAAAAATAATAACTATTTTCATAATTTTTTTGTAACCTGTTCCCCACCCATTTATTCTTTATCGTATATTATAGTGTTGCAAGACCGAAAATAAGTCGAAAATTAACGTAGAAAGCATATAAAGAAAAACTTGTGCCAATTTTGCACTCACAAGTTGTTTTTCCTCTTCTGACAGTGCTTTATCCATGTGATCAAATAAAGCAGTCCATCTCGCCCGATGCAAATCTGCTATTTTGCATGTTGGAAGTCCCGCAAACACTTTGGTAATGTAAGGATCAGACTCTTCGTTATTTGCAAATTCCTTCGATAAAAGGAAAGGCAACTCTGTACTTATCACAGATCGAACTCTCCTCCTACTACGACGCAAAGCTGAGAATTGTAGGGATAAGGACACAAATCACATGTAAGCAGTTCCACCCAAAACCTCGTTAATTGAAATCAATATGGCATTACCTGAAAGGCGTCCTTTGATGTCTTGATGTAGAAGCTCCAACCATTGGGAAGCAACAGTTGCAGCTGAAAAGCATACAAGTCTCCATATTAGCAAAGGCTCAAAGGAGCACCTGTTTAGCTCAGGCTTTTTTCCTTCTTTGTAAAATAAAGCATAAGCATGAGGGTAATAATGGGTACGAGCCTTTTAGGGAAAGAGATGAAACCATGGTGACATTTGATGATTCCTCATTTGACAAAACGGTCGAACTCATTGACGCCTTTGTTTCAGACGACAATTTAAGAGCCAAGAGATCATCTTCCACGACAAGGGTTGATTGTGATGCACAACTTTTAAGCCTATCTTTCTCTACAATGCTTCTGTCACGATCACAAACATTACCCTCCAAAATCCAGGACGACGAGTCATTCGTTGTCACAGGACACTTTCTCGCTTGTCTACTCCCTGAAGAGCTATGAAGGGTACCCTCCCCATGATGATGCTTACCCACTTCAGCCACGTATTCTTGGTCCCTCTTACTACTTTCATGCTTTTCAGACCTCACAAGAGCCTCAATAATTGAATGCACCTGTTTTCTATTCCTCACATGATTTATAATTCCTGGGTTCAACTCATTCAATAGTCCACTTGGAGCAGCAATCTTTGTGAACCGGTTAACCTGTTCTCTCTTCGCGAGTTCCATCTTTTTCTTTAGCATTTCTTCCTTACTTTTCCTCCCACGTTTAGGTTTTGGAGCCCCTCCAAGAGAGGGTGACATAAAACCACGTTGCTTCATCATTTGCCATATTCTCATGGGATCTTTTTCTTCTGAAGGTCCAACACAGCTTCCACTCTCCGACACATCCTTTGACTTAAAACCATCACTTCCTTTAGTGGAATTCGCCGGTTCCAAATTCACAGAGCTACTTACATCTTCTGCATTCAGATCCAAATTAATTCCTCTTAAGTTAACAAAACTACCATGTTGTCTTTTTTCTTGCTTCTTAGAAGTGAATTTTTTTGTGAAATTCTCACCACACCCACCACTTTTGCAAGCTTCGGTGTTAAGATCCAAAGGCCTAGGAATACGATTTACCTCTTCCGGCAACGTGTCCCTTCCCGTTCTCTCTTCTTGAGGAGCATCCGTGTCATCAAACGATAACTGAATTTTGCTTTCTTTGTCGTTTTTAAACTCCGAGCAACTGCTATTAGTTTCTGCAATTGCAAATTATTGTTGAGACTGATGTCATTCACGAGATGACTGGCTCTCCACGGATAGAAAACGCAAGAAAAAAAATGTATACACAAAATATAAAAATATGATATTTACATTAAAATAAATAAAAGTTCAATTCTTTGGAGAACAAGATGGATGCTTTAGCAATTGAAAACAACGTAGTTATACTAAAAAGTGAAATATACCCGCCGAGTGAACAACGGAATCGAGATCTCTCATCTTGACGCGCTTTCGAGCGCTGTGTTGTTTCTCTCCAAGATGAGTGCTTCCTCGCTTCTCACCCACGATCTAAAACACAAAACCGGAATGAGGAACCAGAAAGGGCGTAGTTTTGAGAGCAAAGAGGCAAGAAGAGTGGAAAAAACAAACCTTGGAGTGTGATTGGAATTTCAACGGAGATTGCTCGGAAGCTGTTCCGGAATTGCAATCCTAGTCCATGAAAAGCCAACGTGAAGTCAAAGCCCAGGTGGGGCCATTAGTGTTTGAATTGAGAGAGGAGAAAGAGAAAAGGAAGGATTTTTGGTGGGTTAGGGTTCCTGAGACATGGATCTAAGTGGTGATTGTGGGAGAGGGAAAGAGAAAGAAGAATTTTTGAATTTGCAGAGGATTGAGCGCGGTTTCAAATGTGTCTAGTCCCACCCTCACATGCCAAACCAAATATAAACAACAACGTCTACGTTTTCATTTATCGATTCGAAAATGGAATTAAAAAAAAAACACACTTTTTCAATGAAAAGTATATATTTTAATAAAAATTATAATAAATATTAATTCTAGCTCAAGTCTCACTATGTTTAGCAATTTATAATTAATTTTATTGAATTTAATTATACTCACTTTTAAAACACAAATCGCACAACAAAGTACTAATAAGCAATAGGTATATGGATATTGGCTCCATTATGTAAAGCAAGCGCTCACAAATTCATTAACTAAATCACAAAAATTTAATCAAAAATTAATTAACCAAAAAATTTGAATATTTTTTGTTCTATTGAATTAGATTTTTCAAAATTTGAAAAATGTTTGCTCTATTGATAAAATTAATTTCTGACTTATATTTTTATAATTATATATTCATAAAATTATAATATTTTTTCATAATTTTATTTTTTGTATTACATCTCATTAATCATTTTTAGAAACATATTTTTTATTTGAAGATATTTATAAGTATATTTATTTTATATTATTTTAAAAAAATTGTGTGTCATATTTTTTATATTAATTTTATATTTTTTTATTAAAATTACTTTTAATTAAAATTACTAAAAGAGACAATAAACTAATTTATCTATTGTCTTTTACCTAAATTATAAAAAATATAGCATTCAATATAATCTAAATTGTTTTTAATTAGATCAAAATGATTTTAAAATTTAATATGACTCGATTCAAATTAAATTACATTTTATTTTATAATTGGATTAAATATTTAAAAAAATGATCAATTTAACTCATTAAGCACTATATTTTGTAACTTAGGAATTTTTAAAATCTTAATTTGTCTTATCGTGTCTTAAAAAATAATTTGTGTAATTTAAAGGTTAAATAAGTTTATTTCATGAATTTAATTTTGTGACAAAGATACATGTTATGTTTATGATAAACAATGCATGAAAGAAGCAATGTTTTTGAAGGTGACAAAAATTATACCAAATGCAAGCCAACCCTATTAGAAGTAGTAGGAGACCCTTTGAGGAGTCTTGCTTCATTGGACATTTGGTGTTAGAACATAGGAGAATACGAGATACGATAGTAGGATCAATCAAGCATAAGAAGTATAAATGATTCCTTTATTTAATACATTCATTCAATCAGATGGTTAATGAATATTATGACAGAGTAAAAATAGAATTATCAAGAAAGAAAGGTGAAAGGGGAAAGGTAAGTTTAAAATGTATCAAGAAGAATATAATATATGTTTTTCAATTTGTTCCAAAATAGAACAAATATCTCACAAATTATACAAAGTTTGTAACTTAGTTACCAAAGAATAAAGAGAAAAGTAGAGGTTATGAAACAACATTATAAATGAGACTTGTCCTTCTATTACGATGTCACAATAAAGTTTCTCAACCATTTTTCTTTTTATTTTAAAGATAATAAATTTACATTCTATGATTAGATTTTTATAAATAACACTTTCATTAAAAAGAAAATTCACCTATAAAACTTATCTTACCGTTATCTAAAACTCAAATTACATTTAAAAAAAACCTTTTAACATAACAAGAAATTTAAAATAATCGTCAACATTGATCTATGCTACCTTCAAAGTATTTTAAAGACAACTTGCATTTCAATATTTATCACTTGGTTTATAAATAAAAATGACATAATCTACTAACAAAATTATACTCCTTTGTATCTCATCCCATCATATGTTAATCTTATGTGTTAAAACTAGGTTGATTCTTTTGAGACAGAAAATTTTAAATAAAATATTAATTAGTATCTAAGAGAATTACTTTCTTCATTTGATAAGAGAATCAGTAAGATGTTTTATAAAATATTTTAAATACATAAAATTTTAGAGAAAAATAATATATTAATTTAAAATAGGAAAAATGTTTAAACTCAAAGAATATTTGAGAAAAAAAAAACTTATATTTACATCATCCTAAAAAGACAAAAAGGCTACAGCATGCAGTTGTTTCACCAAGATTTAAATTTATTTTACAATTTTTAATTTAAATAAAAATGATCACACTATATTTTATTTATTTATTTATAAATTTAATCAAGATACATGATACCATTTTTTATTTTAATCTATTCATAAAAAAACTTATATTTTGGTCTTTATATGAAAAGCAGTTTATAAATAAATTATTATATTTTATGAAAATTATAGTGATATTAAATTTAATACTTAACATAATATTTTATTTTAATTCATATGTTATAAAATTATATTTTTAGTTCCCATATATAAAAAAATATTTTAATCTTTACACATAATTCATAAATTTTGTTTTGGTTACTAAAAATAAATACTCTTATTTGGTTAAAATTTTAAAAAATAATACGGACTAATTTATAACTTTTCTATATATAAAAGGACTTAAACAAAAGTGAACCACGTATGCAATGTGATTGTTATAAGAGTCATAAGAATAGTTTTGAGAGTTTCTAAGTTCAAAAAAAAATTGTGAAGGCGAAGAAAGGTATTTACATAAATCACCTGTCCTAACAATGTTCTAACATTTTGATACTTATTCTTCCCTAGCCACCTAAACTAACTCGTTACTACCTATGAGTGATGCTCGCAATTACTATGACACAATTTGACTACATCTCTGCATGTTAACTTCTTCTAGTTGGTTGCAAGGAATCTCATACAGATTGGGGGATGAACCTTAAACAATGCAAGAATAGATGAAGGGAGAATCCACAGTCCATCTCCACAAATCAAACCAGAAGCAACTGCTGGAACCATCAAACTTGCCTCCTTGCTTTTTAGTATGTGCCACAAATACACAATCAAACTACCCACACACATGTCAATTGCAAAGTATCCACCTACAACAAAAGGGACAGCCATTGCCATTGGAAGTGGAACCCATCTCCCAATGCTTTTGGGGTTCAAATCTCTCACCAAGTTGGCTGCTACAGCAAATGCAAAGAACCCACAGCAAAGCTGCAAGCAGTGGTGAGGGAGTGCAGAAAATCCTTCAACACCAAGAATTGCCATGTTTCTATATATGATGGCATATGGTGCTTTGTATTCACCATTTGGATTTCCCACATCAAAAGCCTTATAGAAAAGGAAGAATGTGAGTGGAGCAATAACGCAACCTATTGCTGTCCCTATAGCTTGAGTTAGAAGCATTGATTTTGGAGAAGTGAAGGTGAGGTGGCCAGTCTTAAAATCTTGCATCAAGTCAGATGAGGTGGAAACAAGAGATTTGATCACGCCACACCCGACAAGTCCGGCGACTATGCCGTCACTTTTCCCACCTAAGGCAGCAAGCACAAAAAGAGCCACTTTCCCATAATTATAGGCCATGTTCATATCAGTTAAGCCAGAACCATAAGCATTGCAGAAGCTAAGTGCTGGTGCAAGCAGATAGGCAACCACCACATAGTACCATTTCACCTCAGGGAAAATAAAAGGGATAACGATGATAGAAATGGAAGACAATAGTATGTACCCTGTACATGCTAACCATATGGGAATGCTTTCTCTTACAAAAGCTTCGTCACGTTTAACATCATCTAGAGGCTGGTGCTTCTCGTTATCTGAAATTGAAACTGCAGTGAAAAATATATATATTAGATTTCACATAGACATGTGACTCACTGATATTATGAATCACTCTTCAGCCTAGACCACTTTTGCTTGTCTTAAAACCAAATGAATTTAGTAATTATAGTATATAACAAAAAAAAAGTTTGAATTAGCTTAATTTACGTTCATAAAAAATGTTGCGGAGAGAATGTCTGGCTGAAAAGCAGTTTTGATTGAACATTAAACATAACCAAACATGTACTTAAGCTTAGTTTGGATAAGCTTCTAGAAAGGTACTTGCTGGAGAAGAAAATAAGGAGATAAAACAAATAAAATAATTTTCATAAGTTAAATCAACTTATGCACCTCATGTTTTGGAAAAGTTAATTGAGATAACTTCTAAAAAATTGAAGAGCATAAGTTAATTTTAACTTATGAGATTAATTTTATTTGTTTTATCTTTTTAATTTCTTCTACAAGTACTTGTGCATAAGCTTACTCAAATTGAGTCATAGTTGATTATATAAAAACAAAAAGGGATATCAGAATTAGAGTAGAATACAGAGGACAACCTCATTATAGACAGATGCATGTAGTATCCCAACCCACCCTAAATATTTCCACAATACTCTATTACTGTCTACGTCTCCCAGATCCTTCCCTCCCATTTTATCTTTATCTAACCAAGCCCCTCATTTTCCCACACTCTTTTTCCATCTGTCCAAGCTTATCACAGTTCAAATTCTCTTCTGCCCTTTACATTGTCTTCGAAGTAGTAGCTGTATGAGGCCTATCATAGAACAAATTCTCATACTCATTTTATTGGTAATATATCAATTGTTCCTTTGATATGGCATCGTCTTTTACATTTGGCGTAGGACTTTTATGATAAGAGCAAGTTAATTACCTGTTTTGTGATTCCTCCTTTCCATGCTAGCATGGATATTTGTTGCTGTAAAATAAACAATTTTGACAAAATTGTAGAACCCATCACCAAGGATTAAGGCAATGGAAATAAAAACCTGCATCAAGAAAATATGGGAAAGTTAAAGCTTGAAATGGAAGAACTTAAGTCAGATTAGTTCTGATATAGTCCTTCAATTGTAACTCATTTTAGACCTTATAACCATTAAGACTCTTCATACTACTTTCTTGTAAACTCTCAGGGAACCATTGTCCTTTCAGTCCCCTGATCAATGGCCACATAATACCCCATGAGAGCACAGCACCAAGAAGCAAGGAGAAGTTGACAAGATGGGAACAAATCATTCCTGCTCCAACATAAGTCATGCTGAAGTCAAAGTAAAATCTGCAAATTCAAACATTTTAATCAGTGATGGACAATTATTTCATGGTTCAACTCATAGTAGTAGAACAAGGATGAGATCAGAGCACACACGAGTTTTTCCATGCTTTCAAACCAAATGTAGGAAACTGAACGAATCCACATTGATCTCCACCAGCATAGAACCATTGGAAGAATGACCAAAGGAAACTGAATGAGAACAATTTCATGAAACCATTGACCTGCTTCCTGTGAAAGATGTAATTTAGTTTTATATTGTATACAGATTCACCACGTTTAATAAATAACAAAATAAAAGCCGATTCATACTTGGCCATGTCATCTCCTTTATGAGTATGGAACCCGTTAATAAGAACAGCTGTAGCAGTTCCACTTGGATAAGTCAATTTGTAGTCTATGATCATCATCTATTAAAAAACATTAATTGCATCAGCAACAAAATCCAAGTTACTCCAAACCAAATTCATCTGAAATTTTCATCACTTCTACATTAATACATTAAACTAACAAACTTCAAGAGTAGCAAACCTTTGATTACCCAAAAATATATTCATTTCAATTAATCAAGTAAAAATCATAGAAGGTTACTCCCAGAAAAACACCTTCCTAAGGGGAACCAATGCCGCTAGCCCGACGAAGTAGGTCACAAAGAGAAAGGCTGTCATCCAGCCAATTCCAGGTTCCTTGGTGTTAGGAGTATTCCCCTGTGTATCAACCCCTACTTGTTCATATGTCTTCCTGTTCAAACCCAAGAGGTGAGACCCAAAACCACCTACAAATAAACAAGTAAAATTTCAAAACCTACATACACAAACACCCTGAGTTATTCATTTGTATGTCCAAAATCAAATTAAAGAGTGCAATTTAAATTGTATTACACAAAAATTTAAGAAAAGCTCGACCTCCAAAAGCTGTGCTATAGCATGCAACAGCACAAGTCTGAATTAGGGTATTCTCCTGTCGAGTGAAAGGTGTTGAAACAATCTTTGCTTTCTCAAGCAACATAGTCCAAGCTCGAATGAACACAAAGCCAAGGAGAGCAGCTGAAACATTGAGATTGGGAACAAGCCCAGTTGAGAGGTTCAGCTTCATCACAATCACACTATAAATGATACCAATAAGGAAGCTAGTTATTATTCCTCGAATTGTGATCTGTTTTGTCCATGATACTATGCTACTTTGGTCCTCAGGCTCCTCTAGTTCAGCCTTTTCAATGTCATCACTGTCAAAATTCTGAATCTCTTTCAGTTCATCACTGTTTGTAGTGTCCATTGAATCAATCTTGAAAGAAAATAAAACGAGGAAAGTGACACTGTTAGAAATGAAACAATTGTACTCAAGGATAGCTAAAACTTCCCATTGCTACATGTATTTAAAGAGTATCCAAATTGCAAAAGCGAACTTGTAATCCAAGTTGAATAACAAGTTATAATTTGTAAATGCAGAGTTGAGTCGCCCTTTATAACAAGGATTACTAATACAATTCTTCATCTAATGTGTGGAAACAAATAAAGTTAAAAAATCATCATTTTTTTATAAAAGAAAAATTCGATTTTTAATTCCTTAATGAGTATAATAGCAACAGCTGTTAATCTTCTGCCCAAAAACTATAATTATTTCTAAAAGAAAAGTAAAATAAAACAAGAAATGGAACCCCATCAAATACCATACCTTAAATTTCCTTTTTGATTTGTTAGAAGAATGGAGCTCAACGACAGGGGATATTCAAACTCCAATGGTTCAGAAAAGACAAAAAAAAGTGGCATGCATCAACATAAACTTCCACAACTGAAGAATCTGACACCTCCAAATGCATTTGAAGACCCACAAACAAATTAGGATTTTGGGCCACATTCAGGTTTGGATGCAAACCACCTGATGAGTCGTAACATGAAAATCTCACAAACCCACCAGAGGCTTCGAAATTCTTGTCGGAATTGAACCCCAAAAAAGAGACTGCAGGGCGAAGATTTGCAGTAGTACCATCCGATATTTATGCTACCCATTACTAAAAGAAAAAAAGTACATGCCAAATCAAAACATTAAACACCTCAGCAACTTGCATTGTAGTACAATACCAAAATTGTTGTGTGCGGTACTACAAAGTGCTAAAAAAGAAAGAAAAAACTGTAATTGTTGTACTACACTACTAAACCAACCTACTTTTTTATTTTTGGACAAATACTCTATGATTTGAACAGCCACGTTTGGCTGGGAATTCGGAATCAAAACTCTAATTTTGAGCAATAGATAGAGAGAGAAAGAGAGAGAGAGAGAGAGAGAGGGGTCATTCGTTAATGTTGTTTGCGTTTGGCGTGTGGCTTCCACACGAAATGTGGAAGGAGAGACTCATGACAGATCAACCACCGATACACACGCGGGAGACATTGACACTGCATACTTAAGGAAACAGTAACTGAAAGTCAATGTTAATGACAAATTATTAATTATTAATTTTATTCAATGGATACAAATATTTTTTAAATATTGCAATTGACCACTGTTAGTAACAAATAAATGCTAGCAATATATTATTTACACATTTTTAATCTATTTTGTATTAATTCAAATTATTAAAAATTAAAAAAGTATCAGAGCAAAGACAGTAAAGAATAAAATAAAAAGAGTATTTTAAAACAATTTAAAACGAAAATAAGGCTTATGTAAAGTTATAGATTAAAATAATAGATGCTAATTTAAGAGAATAAAATGTGTATTTATTAAAAAATATAAATAAAAAGAGCATTTATTGTTACTCTTTATTTAATATTTTTAATTTAAATATTATTATTAATAATTTAATTAATCAATAAAAAGAGTATTTTAAATACAATTTATTTAAAAAGAGTGACAATAGATATTTTAGAATGATAATAGACTCATTAAAAAAAGAAATTTTTAAGGTTGATTCTTTAATTTAAATGAGTCAAATATAAAAATTAGCTTAACTTATTAAAATTTTGAAGTTTAGGTTTGATTTATTAACAAGTTTATAACTTATTTACATATTTTTTTAACAAACTTTGAATTATATTTATTTATTAATTTAGTATTTAATAAAAAATTTATACAGAAAATTAAAACAAAATAATGATAAAATAAAAATTTATCTACGTGATATTGTCATAAGATAAAAATAAAATATTTTATTATAAAAATGATATGTTTTTAAAAAAATTATGTCTATTTCTTTAAAATACATCTCTTGAAAATTAATATGAGATAAATATTTTTACATACATGTAGGAAAATAACAATCAAAATTATAGTTTTGAAGTAAAAATAATAAATAAAAATATAATTATAATTATTTAAGTATACATAAACACATGTGTCAATAATTCATGAGTTATTAATATAAATATTACAAAATTTGAACTTAGTTCGCTGAAATAATTAAGCATAATTTTTATTATCACATCAATATTTTTAAATAAATAAGTTTTAAAATATATAAAAATTATTTATTTTTAAATATTTTATAAAAATAGAAGTTGTATTTTATTTAATAAAATTATTAAACATATTTTATTTTTAAAAATTAGAAAACATTACAAAATTTTAAATTCAAAAGTTACTCAAACCCACTTCTAAAAAAATATTTAGATTTGATTTTTTATAAAATAAAATTTAAAAAATTTAAAATAAAATTACTTTTTCAATAAAAATATTGATCCAAAATAAACACTTATAATTTTGTAACATAAATTTAAAAGAATAATGTAATAATTATGTATTTTGGAAGAGTTAATTTGATAAATAAATTTAAAAAAATACTATAATGACACATGAAGTTATTGAACCAAGTTTGGTAAAACAAACTTAAAATTGAGAGCTTTTAAATGTGAAGTTATTTGAAAGCTATACACTAGTAGCTAGAAATTTATTGCTTATATATATCTGTAAGAATTGATTTAATAACTAAAATTTATAAGACTTAATTAAGCATTTGGTCACTACAAAAATTGCATCATTTGAATTTATTCTCTGCAAAAAAATTTGTTAAGATGTAAACTAATTTTGTGAACATGTTAAATATCAGTGTCTAGTGTCATGTGAATTTTGTTAAGTTCAAGAGTTAAAAAGACATTGTGTGTTGTTGACAAGGATAAACATCTCTTTGTACTTGTATTTAATGCAATATTTTATGTTTTGAATTTTGACAACTATAAATTAAATTTGTAAAATAATCCTTAGAGGACATTTATGTTATTTTGAAAACTTGGTTTTTAACCCCTAAAACTGACAATCCACACACTCCATCTAACAAGCATTCATGGCAACTAATGAATAAGAAGAATCACTAAAAAAGGTGCAATAGTAGTTAGACCCATTGCAAAAGCTCATTGATAATTCATCGTCCACTGTGATATGTGGGTTTTCATGTCACCATGACGAGCAATCATGGCTAAGATGAAACTCTCACATCTGTGGCCCCATCCTAAGTCCTTTAACCTCATAACACCATTTTCCACAAATTGTCGATAGTAAACTCTTATTCATGGAGATGTCGAAGGCTTAAATCCTTACCCACACCTTTCCACAATGCCATCAACATGCACATTAAGAAAGAGGCAGGGGTCATCAAACGCAAGGTTGATGATAATCAAAATCAAAATAAAAACAGTTGATGATAATGATAGGGACTTGAAAATAAAAAATCCTTTTCAATAACCAAGAGCAGTAAGGATAGTACTATCCTTCTCAAATGACACTCAACTTTAGAGTCTATCAAAGTCCCAAAATATAAAATGCTCTGAATTAAAAGTATGTAGCTCTCTCTATAGGCTTTTTTATTTAAATAATACTATTTTAAAAACAAATTCTTAAAATAAGATTTATTCGAAACTAATTCCGTGTCTGGGGCTGATGTAGGCCAGTATCGCACATGCATAGACGATAGCAAATTTTTATTATTATTTTAATAAAGTATCGTTCTAATATTACCGATACTATAACAAAAATCGACACTTGTCAAAATCGCATGAGTATCGGACAAAATGAAACGATAACATATTTTTATTATTATTTTAATATATTATCGTCGTCCAGCATTCGAAACTCATGTTTTTTTAATCAATTTTAATACTATCGCTGCAGATTAACCGATACTTATGCTAAATATGACTTCTTAGAGCAGTTACTTTAAAACTGCTCTCATAACACTATTTTAGAGAGCGGTTAAAAATGAACCGATCTCATAACTCTAGTTTAGAGAGTGGTTAAAAATGAACCGCTCTCATAACACTATTTTAGAGAGCGGTTTAAAATGAACCGCTCTCATAATTCTATTTTAGAGAGCAGTTCCTTTTGAACCGCTCTCATAAGTCTATTTAAGAGAGCAGTTCCTTTTGAACCGCTCTCATAAGTCTATAATAGATAGCGATTCCTTTTGACCCGCTCTCAAAATTCATTTTTTTTACTTAAATAATACTTTTCTAAGGAACCGCTCTAGTTTAAGATTCGACACGTGGCAGTAGTATCGGACTTTAGTGGACAATAGTATTGTCGCTAGTCAATCAGCGTCAGCTGTATCGGTTTGACTGGAGCGATACTATTGCTACACCAACACGTGGCACGGTGCATGTAAAAATCCATTGGTTGGACTATATATATAAGGAAACGATGGCTTCAATTTCACTTTGTACATTTGTGTTGGAGGAGTGGAAACAGAAAGCAAGAAGCAGGAGAAGAAGTATCAAGGTTAGTAAATTTTGGTATTAATTATATAAAATTTTTGTATTAATAATGTTAAAATTTTAGTATGAAATTTAAATTAATTTATTAATTAAAATTAGTAAAATAATGGAAGGATTTAAATATATTTAATATCATGTTTATGTAGATTTGTTGGAGAGTATGTATTTATATATTTTATTCTAATAAATTTATGGACAAAAATTAGGAAAAAATTATGGTACACATGTAAAGTGTAAATTTTGTAATGAAAAATTTACTATATTGTAAATTTAGTTATTGTTGTAATTTTTAATTAAATTAAGAAATATTAATTTCATATTTAATAGGATTTGAGAAGAATAAGTGTTAAAATTATGTAAATTAGGATGCACAAATAGGTAATAAGTCAATAAATATTATGTAGATTATATAAATATGAAAGTTTTAAAAATTTAAAAAGATGATTAATACAATAAAATGAAGTATAAGTGAATTATTAAAATATAGGAAAAAGTGTGAAATTTTGTAATTATAATTAGAATATGAATGAGGTTATTTACAATTAACATTTAAATTAATATATATATTCTAATTTTGTAGTATAATTTGTTGATGTAGGATGACTGATTTTGTAATAATTGTATATTGAAACGGTTGAATGTTTTCAAGTAACGAAGGTGTTACGTTTGAAGGAAATAATAAAATGATTAAGATTGAATGTGGAATAAATTTAGAGACATTGAAAAGAAAAATTCATGCAAAACTGAAATTGTCTACTAGTCAAGTTATATCTAGGTTGATTTCACGATTTTTAGTAGACCCGATTGTTAGACAATACACAATGTTAGATATATGTGATAATGAAGATATTGATTGCATGTTAAGTGCTTTTCTTCAACATTTTTTATTTCATTATTTTTTATATATCTATATATTAAATTTTAACGAAAATTTTGTAAATAATTATTATGCATCAAAGTTTGAACAATAACTTTTCATGGTATATTTATTATATACATTGTAATTATAGTGTTGTTAATTTTAGTTTTATTAAAATTTCATTTTATATTCTATTTTACTCTACAACAATTTAAAAAATTATGCAGTACTTACATTATTACTTTATTTAAATTTTTAATTTTATTTTACTTCTCCTATTTTATTTATATTAAATCAAAAACAATTTTTTAATTTCACTTTATTACAACCTAATATATTTAATTTAATTTATTCCCATTTTTTAATCATTTTTAAAATATATCATTTTTTAATTATTTCTTTTTACTAATCAACACTAATAATATAATTTCTCATACCTTTTACGTAATACATATTTATTTCTAAATATAATTATCTTATTATCTTCTAAATATTACTAATTATGTATTTGTATTTTAATATGTATTTGTATTTTAATATTTTATGATTTAACTAAAATTCTATATTTGAATGTATTTTATCTATCATAACGTTTGTAATTTTTTTTCTCTAAACATAATATTACATATATCAACCAATAACAAAATAGCACTACTTATATATCTATTTTTTTTTATATCAATCAATTTTTATATATAATTTATTTATCACAAATTAATAAATATATCAATTACACTCAACAAATTAATATATATCTATAAATTACACTTTAGAAACAAATTTGGAAAATTAAATTACAATAAATAATAAGAAAAATCATTTTTTCCCGGTTCTAAGTCAAATGCACAGTTTTTACATATACAAACTTTCAGATTTTTCATTTCATACATGTAATTACTAAAATCTGATAAAAAATTTATAAAAAAAAAGCAACTGCATTTGATATAGATTTCTAACCTTTAATGCCGACAGCAACAACGACTATTCCAGTTCACCAATATGGGGTCCTAAATTACAGATTGAAATTGGTTATTATTTTTCAAATGAAACTCAATAAAATATCACCAATTCAACAAAATAATTTTTACCTTCCAATATTTCAGAGAATAATGCAAACGAAATGAACTTTTTACACAAAAATTTTGCAAACTTGCATAAAAAACCTTCAACGCCGGCGTTAATGGAGATTATAATGGAGGGGAAGAGAAGAAGAAGCTTGAGCGACGTCAGTTCCAATATTCCAGGTGTGGCAGGCACAACTAGTATCGCCCATAAAGCAACGATAAGCTAGTCGACGTCTCAGAGTCGATACACGTACGATCTCGACACGTGGCGCAATTTATCCCTGACTGTCCATTTTGAATGGTTATCGTCTCTCTTTCGCCGATACTCCTTACGAACCGCTCTCATAACTCTATTTAAGAGAGTGGTTCCTTAAGAACCGCTCTCTTAACTCTATTTTATAGAGCGGTTCATAAGGAACCGCTCTAAGAAGTCATATTTCGTACTTCTGCGGCAAAATATCAAAATAATAATAAAAAATAAGTATCGGTTAATCTGCAACGATAGTATTAAAATTGATTAAAAAAATATGAGTTTTGAATGCTAGACGACGATAATATATTAAAATAATAATAAAAATATGTTATCGTTTTATTTTATCCGATACTCATGATTTTTGGTGTAGTATCGGTAATATTTGAACGATACTCTGTTAAAATAATAATAAAAATTTGCTATCGTCTATGCATGTGCGATACTGCTGCTGATCTAACAAAAAAAAGGTTCAGACACGGAATTAGTTTCGAATAAATCTTATTTTAAGAATTTATTTTTAAAAAAGTATTATTTAAATAAAAAGCCCTCTCTATATATATATACTTAGACGCGAGACTTACTAGTTATAATTTATATAATATAAATATTTGAAATAAATTATTTTGATTTTATAATATTCCTGTCAAGAAACTTACTAATTTAATAATATTACCTATTAAAAAGTAACATAATAGCATAGCACAATAACAAACGAAATTGTAAAAAGAATAAATTTTAAAATAAAAAATGAAAAAAATAAACCGACTCATGAAATAGGTGGAATTTGATCAAATAAAAATGGTAAGGATACCAAAAAGTGGGGAACGGTAGAGAGTTTTTGGTCTGAGGAGGAGAAGCGACGATAGAAGAAAATCAGAAGACTAAAGGGAGGCGTAATGGGGGGTTTATCAGAGTCGAAGATCCTCCAAGAACTGGTTCTGTACGCTGCAAGCGCAGCACTGAGTTGCTTGGTCTTGTTCGCTGGTCTCCGTCAATTTGACCCAACCCGCGAAGCATCGAAGAAGGCCCTTCAACACAAGAAGGAGATTGCCAAACGCCTTGGTCGCCCCCTCGTTCAAACTAACCCTTACGAGGTACGTTCCCTTTTCTATGGCATCTACGGAATAATATTAATATCAATTCAATTAGTTAACAGTATCTTATAAGGTTTTGCACAAGCATTAGGATTTGTTATAACTTGGCAAATCAGGAAGGAGCGCTTAATGAGAATATTAAGTGCCAGAGCACAACTTTGACAACAATGAACGGAATTGAATTACGTGCTGTTATGTTGCTAAGCTCTAGTTTTGACTTTAAATATAACTGATGGTGCTGATATTATCTTTTTACTTCTATTATCGCTGCGTGTTACGCGCAATTCCAAGTTGGATTTCTAGGTTTATGTGCCACAGTGCAAGTATTCTGAAAGTGTTACGGTATAATCTTTAACTATTGTTGACCAATTTCTGGTGAAAGAAGAAATTCATTTATAAACAGAATTATATTAAAATAATTAATGGCCTTCTTTAATTTCAAAAGAGACATTTTCTGGTTTTCTGTAAAATGGAGGGACCAGAGTTGAGAATCGAGTATTTCAAATTGGTGCCTTTATCTTGTACAGGATGTCATAGCGTGCGATGTTATTAATCCTGACAACATTGATGTGGAGTTCAACTCTATTGGGGGACTGGAAACTATAAAGCAAGCTTTGTTTGAGCTTGTTATTCTGCCTCTAAAAAGACCTGACTTGTTTTCTTATGGTAAGCTTCTTGGACCACAAAAGGGTGTGCTGTTGTATGGACCTCCTGGCACAGGGAAGACCATGCTTGCCAAAGCTATTGCTAAGGAATCTGGAGCAGTTTTCATCAATGTGAGGATATCAAACCTGATGAGCAAGTGGTTTGGTGATGCCCAAAAACTTGGTATGTGTGTTAAGTTTATTACCTTTCATTTGCTTCCAAATGATTATTTTGCATCTTTATGAAACCTAGCCATGCAGACTATTCAAATTGTTCATGCAGAATATTCAAAATGTTGAACATGATTTCTAGAATCAAAGGATGTGATAATCTCATCATGGAGTTCATACTAGTCAATATTGTCCTCTAGATTATGGGATCACTGATTGTCTGCTTTGCACCAACTTCTTTGGTCCCATTCCCATGTTAGAACATGGTTTCGTGGAATTGCAGATCAAGCACTTGTTGAAGTGTTAAAGCACATTGAATTAGATAGAATGAGATTTACTAATCCTTCCCACACGTTTTCATCCACAAAGGCTTGGACCCTCTAGTCCAGCAAACTTTAGCCTGCTTGCAAAGTCGTCCCACAGGATTGGCTGAAAGTTTAGCAGTGCTGAAAATGAAACCTAAAATGACAACTAGCGGTTGAAGAAAATTACACTTTTTGTGGTTGTCCAGCATAATATCTTTAAACTCTTCAATTAATTGATCAAGTTCTTCAACAAGACTATAAGGAGGGGTGTCATTGAATTCCATGGTAACGTGTGTCAATGACTCAATGAATTCCATAGTAACCTCTGAATTGACTTTCTTTCTCAAACTTTGAGTAAGCAAATGTAAATTTTTGTTTGATGTATCGTTGTCGACGTGTCTTTGAGGTAGGGTGACTACCGGCAGTCTTAGGTTGGACTGCATGAAATCCCTCCATCATTAGGAAAAGATGTGTTAAACATGATAAATATCTTAACTCTAGCTGTCAATCTTAAGTGGAACCCTATAACTCTCCTTAACATCCAAACGAGTCTTATTTATTCATGCAATCTTAGATGGCTGGGGATGGTGGTCATGTGTCAATCCTAACTTGGAAACGGGCAGAAATGGCATTCATAGTACTACTTTCATCAATGACTAGCTTGCATGGATTTTTTCAATTTGGACAATGGTACAGAAAAAAGCTAGTATGCTTCCAAGCCTCGTGCAATGCGATGTGGATAAAATGCAATGCATGATGGATAATGTTGTCCTCTTGACAACGTATACATCAGAAGCATAAATGAACAACTCAATTATCTCATCCTCAAAATCTCCTGACTCATCGTCTTTTGGTGGATCTCTTATAACGGTGGGGTTTCTGTGTGGACACTGATTTTTCCTATGTCCTCGGTCATGAGTCATGACAATGGAAACACTTGATGCTAAAGAAATTGGTTTGTGGATCAGTCTGATATATGCCTTTCCATAATCATTGGTGTTTGAGGTGATAGTCACAAAGGCACTCATGGGTAAATGGAACAAGTGAGACACTCCACTACCTTGGGAAGTAATGATAGGTGGATGAGATGAATGAGTTATGGAGCAAATAGTTCCTCACCGCAGGTACTAACAAAAATTGCTCAATTTCTCTGACCTTGTGAAAATGCCTCATAAGGATGCATGAAGATAGAAGGCAAACCTCTCTCTTGATAGAATCGCACAATCCATTAACAAAATTTTTATCAGTCACCCAACCTTCCTACTAGTTATCACACTTAAGCTGCTTAAGTTTATCAAAATTAGTCATATATTCAATCACACTCCCAGTTGATTGTCTTAAGGTTTAACCATTGATCCATGAGATGGTTGCTATGGTAAGTGGGAGGCATTTCTTTTTTGCAACTTTTGTTTCTTAATGGCCCAATTTTCTATGGGTGTTAGCCCTATATGTTGCTTCTCTTATTCAACCATTCCCCAAAATAACCTTGCAGATTCAGTAAGCCTAATGATGACTAACTTAACCTTAGAGGGATCAAAACAAGGGTAGCAGGAAAAGTAATAAAACACCTGTACAATAATCAAAACATTTTTTTTATACAAGGACTAACTTGTGAATGAGTGTTAATTATAAGAACCAAATCCCCATTTAACCAAAATTTCTTATTATACCTTATCATGTGTATTTATTATGAATATAATTTTCTGTAGAGGTAGTAGGACCTTGTGTTAGGATTTGATTCTGACATCTTTGGTGGATGTCATTGTACAATTTCATGCATATAATTAATACTACCTCTAATCCCAGATATAAGTTCCTTTTCAAGGAGTTTTCATGGTCCTTTTATAAGATTATTTCTTACATTAATTATTATTATTTTTTTTATAAAAATACCCTTAATTAAGTCAAAGTAATTAATTACATAGGAAATGGGACCCAATAATCTTAAGGGTAATTTTGAAAAAATTATACAAATTGTTGATAAATTTAATGTCATTAATGATACTAATTGCCTTTTCTTAATTGTTTGCTGTAGTTAAAATGGTCTTATATTTTGAACCAGAGATAGTAATGTTGAGAACCGTACTGATGTAAAATCAAGTAATCAACCACAATCTGAATTATCCTTTGAAGTCTTTGGTTTGGATGAACATTGATGTTCTGCTGTTCTTTTTCAGTGGCTGCTGTATTTAGCCTAGCTCATAAGCTCCAGCCTGCAATCATATTCATTGATGAAGTTGACAGTTTTTTGGGTCAGCGTCGCACAACAGATCACGAGGCTTTGTTAAACATGAAAACTGAATTCATGGCTTTATGGGATGGCTTTACAACTGATCGTAAGTTTTAAACATGTTATATAATTTTCTTTTGAGGGTCAAATATTTAAAATATTTGCAAATAGGATACTATCAATTGATGCAGCTTTATTTAGCATTCTTATGTTATCTGTACTTGGACCAGGTTTTTAACTGTGATGACTTTCGTGCTTTTAATGTGTGTGTGTGTAGAGAATGCTCAGGTTATGGTCCTTGCTGCAACTAATCGTCCTTCAGAACTTGATGAAGCAATACTTCGACGTCTTCCTCAAGCGTTTGAAATCGGCATGCCACATCAAAAGGAGAGGGCTGACATATTGAAGGTTATCTTGAAGGGTGAGAGGGTTGAAGAAAACATTGACTTTGACCACATAGCTTACTTATGTGAGGGTTACACTGGTTCAGATATATTTGACCTATGCAAGAAAGCTGCTTATTTTCCAATTAGAGAACTGCTGGATGAAGAAAAGAAAGGGAAAAGTTCTTCTGTAAGTGATTCATTCCACTACTTTCCCCTCTACCTTGATGTTTAATATTCATATCAGTGTTTCGTTTTCTAACTAAAAAACAAATATTTTCTGAGTATGACTATTTTAAAGCTATTCTTTGAACCGGAGCCCGGAGTTATATTTGCTTGCACGGAGTCATGTATCTGGTCAATGAAAACAACTAGTTAATTGTGCAAAGATGAATTGATGTCAGATATGACTTACTTCTGCTTGTCTTGCATCAAGCCTTTTCATAGACATGCTTTTTTTTGAAAAAATATTCTGATGATATCCTATTAGAGTAGAAGCTGCAATGTTTTTTTTTTTTTTTTTTGTCTTTTTATATGTAACTTGTTTTTAATATTTTGTCTGCATTACTTTTATTTTTATAATTTAAGTAACTGATGGATGGAAGTGGAAAATGAAACAAGGAGTAGCATAGTGTCATCCAGAAAAGGAAATTGAATAGTCATGTTGATAGCTTCTGAAAATGTCTAATTTTCATGGTTCAGGCACCTAGACCATTGTCACAGACAGATTTAGAGAAGGTCCTTGCCACTTCACGGAACACAAAGGTTGCTGCAAGTGAATACAGTGGATTAAGTGCAGATGCACTAAGATGGACAGGGCACAGGGAACCAGGTGACTATCAGGTTCAAGCTGCAATTAGTGAACTCTCTAAGTTTGTTTCTCACATGATTAACCGTCAGCCAGATGCCAAGGATCTTTAAAATGCTACCTTTCTTAGTTTCTTTAGAGCATTATTTGACTGTCAATGCAGATTAGCCCCAAGTTTGTAAACGCACCGATCCCATACTTATATTAATTCCAGTAAATGTTATTAAGCATCTTACGATGAGTATAAAAATGCGTGGTGGCCATTGCATTTTGTTGACACTGATGTAATTATCCTTAGTGGATTACTACTTAATATTTGTTTTAAGAAATTTATTGTTGCTGATTAAAATTTCGCTAATGCAAAGATAATTTTGTTTCTTCCACGATACTGTGTTTGTGTCTATATACATTTTTGTTGGTGACTTGGTTCCACTATCCATTTTGTTTTTAATGAAATTTAATTTCCGGAAGCATATTTATACTTTTTTGAAAATAAAATTTTAAAATTATTTATGAACTATTTTTAAAATTTAATTTTAGAAGTGATTATATATTTTTGAAAATTAAATTTTATAAGTTATTTGTAATTCACTTTCAAAATTTAATATTTAGAAATGCATTTGATACATTCTGAAAAATTAAAATTTAAAAGTGATTTACAAATAAATTTTGAAATTTAATTTTAAATAGTATTTCATACCCTTTGAAAATTATGTTTTGAAAGTAACAAAAAGAAAAAAGGATAACACGTAGTAACACGATGGTATAAATTGCAATATTTTATAATTAAAAAATGAAAAAAATAATCCTGACCTTTGGTGTCATGTTCAAATCTTGGCTTTCATGAATTATAAAATTTCATATAAAATAAAATAAATAAATATTTTATAACATTATTTTATTTTAACATATAATATATTTTTAAAATACAAAAATATAAATCTGAATAACATATTTACAAGTGTTTAAACTATATGAATTTTTATATACGTAATTATGGAGATAATGAAATGATTTAAGTCTGTTTAGTAAATATAATATAATAAAAAAATGATAGTATTGAGAAATTGATAAAAATAAAATATGATAAGAGAATAATAAATTCTTGTCCTATGATATGTTTGATGAACATTAAAATAGTAAGTGTTATTATTTTTAATATTTAAGATAAATAAAAAATAATAGAATAAATTATATTAAGTGATATAAGTCTTAACAAATTATGACTGTATTGCTCTCTCTATATTATCAAACTTATTTTAAGTATTTTTCTTTTTACATCATTATGTGACTTATTAAAAATATAAATATAAAAATTGAAAATATCATATATTAATCTTTTGAATGAAAAAATTAAGATAATAATGTAAGGTGTATTGATTTGATTAAAGACACATTTATTCTAAAAATTTGGATGATTTATATATGCTTTGCAATTCATGATATTTTAGGTAAAAGTTATTATCTATCTATTAATTGATTTTTGTGAATTAAAATGAAGAAAAATTATTATTTTTAATGAAATAGAATTATTATTGTGATAATATATGACAGAAAATCTAAATACAAAATAAAATTATATTTAAAAAGATCAAATAATAAGAAAAGTGTCATATAAAAATAATGATCGTATATATCCATATTTTATTTTGGGATGTGAAATATAATAAAATGAAAAAATAATAATTATAAGGTTGCTTTTGCATCATAATATGACTTTGCTTTTTTTTTTTTGAAGTCATACTTAATCCTTTTAGATTATTTTAATAACTTTTTCTAATATCATCATCTACCGGGAGCCTTCAATATCATAACAAAGATAGAAATAGTCAGCACTTTCTGATACTATAGCATAATCCTTATGCATTTTTTTCATACTCGTGTTTATTTTCTCTATCAAAGTCATAATAAGAAAGATCATAACAACTGAACCATTGCCTAAAAGTTTTCTGATACACAAGATCCTCATAAAAAGGCAAGTGTAGAGCATACTTACTTTTAGTCATGGACTAGAGGATAATCATCATAAATAAAATTTTCAGAGAGAAACTGAAAAGAAACACATGATATAATAGAAACATAGATTTTATTTCAATTCGATTTGCCCTCGTAAGAACAAAAGATTCTCCTTATATAGACGATGAAAGACATACATTCTGATTACAAGATAACAAGTTCAGATAAGAATTTGACTTTTCTAAAGAAACTTTAAAAAAACAAATAAACTAAAATAACTTTTCTTACATGATAAAATATAAAGATATATGATAAAACACACTAATAAGACAAAAAGATATTTTTGTCAGCTTTTTTAGTCCTTTAAGATAGGTTCATGACTAAGAGAGAGGTTTGAATTTTCATCTGATTCTCATTCACAAATGTCTAACAGTTCTTCATTTAGATCTTGTGAATCAATCATCATGTCGGCTAGTGATGATCTGTCTTCATTATTTAGGATTATTTGTCCTTTTCTGTCTCACTGATCCATAATTTGATTAGAGAATGCCTTTACAGGTGGGAGTACTTGTTGAACTTTATTCCACATCTAATAATTATCAGGAATAGGAGGGTAAATAATATCCATTAGCTTAAGATTGGTACAGGTAGACAATGCCTTAACCATATCTCTATGAGTTCCATTGATAGTGTGAAGATGGATGATTAGGTCAGCTTGATTGAATAGAGGTCGATCTGGTTGAGAAACTTCTTTAATACAATTGTAGGTATTTCAGAATGAAACTTGATTTTGTGTGTATAACAATCTAGATTTGGGATGTTGAAAGTATAACCTATAGATAATGGCCACTAAGACATTTTTGGAGAACTCTGGTGGAGGCATATTTTATTCTATATGCTTCCATATTGTGACTCTCTCCATTTCAGCTTGAATATCTTTCTTTCAAGTTGAGAAATCTAGATATGGATCTTTATGATAGAAAGAATAGACAAGATTATTTTAAGATGAAATGATACTCCCTAAAGAAAAGTCATTTGGACAAGCACCATAAAAGGATGATAGAAAATTTCTCTTTTTTAATGAATACAATGATACAAGCCTTAAAAACACTTATGTTATCTCTCTCCCTCAGGAATTACAACCTGAGATTCACAAAATGATCACTACTCAAGGAAAGGATCTAACCAATTTAAATCTCGGACAGATCCATCAGATGACCATAGAAGCTCTTGACAAACTTGACAAACAACATTTACTTTTCACTGATGTGATGAATCAAAAATCAAAATTTTCAATGGCTTGCAAGAAAAATTATCTTGAAATCGGATGCAAAGACAAAAAATGTGTTTGTTCATCCAAGAAAAAGGGAAGATAAAGAAATTTTCCAAGAAAAAGCAGAAGAGGATGAAATTCTTCAAGAAAAAAAACAAAGAAGGGAAAGAATAAAAACACAAAATGTTTCATTTGTGGCAAGAAAGGGCATTTTGCAAAGAAATGTCCTAATAAAGATTCCAAAGCCCAAAATTTAGTAAATTCTCTAGATCTTGTTGAAGAAGATATTGAATCAAAATATTCAGAACAAGAAGAAGCTGACCAAGATACAGTCTCTGCTATACAAGATTCTTCTGATGAATTTTCGGATACTACTGATAAAGAGAATGATTATATTCCTCTTTATTCTATCCAAAAGATTCAAAGTATTTCCCAAACTCCTTCACAACCTTGTGTTGAAGTCCAAATTCTTAATAAAAGTCATTGTTTATATGGATACAAGAGTCCAAAGAATAATGATGAATCCATATATTCTTCCGAGAGATGTATGGAAAAAAAAAAATTCATCCTCATTTGTAGCAGTAGATGAAATTTTTTTAAAAACTGATTTAATCTCAAAGATTCCCATCGGAATCAAGTTTTTTCCTAACTGTATAGTTTAGATGAAGGTCATAGGAAGCCATCTTCTTAACAAAGATATCCTTCTTGGAATGGATGCTTACTGTATTGTAAAAAAGCTTTAAATACTATCCAAGGGAATTAAATTCAAAAGAAATTTCAAATCCTACACTGATGTTCTGAGACTCTATTCCCTCAAAAAATGTCTAGAAGAATATACAAAAATAAAAAAGAAGCTTCAGGAATTATGTGCTGACGGACATGAGAATTTTGCTCATCCAAATCCTATTTGAAAAAATTCAGAATTCTTCATCTAACTTCCTTTTAAACTCAATGAAGATATCAATCTCACCAAAGCCACTCATCTTGGAATGAGTCTCAGTGATCTTTAATTAGCCAGACAAGAGTGCAATGAACTCTTAAGACAAGGAAAAACATTCTATGTGGAAAAAAGATCAAAAAAATTAAGGGACAAAAAGAGGTTTGTGATTGGTTATAAGCCTCTAAATCATTTTCTCAAAGATGATAAGTTTCCTATCCCAAAAATCTCTTCTCTTCACACCCTCATAAAAGAAGCCATGATTTTCTCAAAATTTGATTTAAAATCTGATTTTTGGCAACTCAGTATTGATCCAGCAGACAAATATAAAACTGCTTTCTATATTCCTAATTCTTAATATCAATAGAAAGTACTTCCATTTGGTCTCAAGGTTGCACCCTCATTATTTCAGAAAGCAATGACAAGAATTTTTGAGTCTATCCTGGATAGTATCCTCATCTACATAGATGATGTTCTCTTATTCTCAAAAGATAAAGAATCTCATAAGATTCTTTTAAATAAATTATTTGACCTTGCCAATGTCCATGGAATCATGCTATTTGAAAAGAAGATACAATTGGCTCAAAACCAGATAGATTTTCTAGGAATGTATTTTTTCAAGAAAATTATCAACTCCAACCTCACATTGCTGAAGAATTACTTAATTTTTCTAATGAAAATTTTTCTGTCAAACAGATTCAACAATTTTTAGGAGTCTTGAATTATATTAGAGATTTTATTCCTAATGTTACTAAATATACAAGTCCTTTATCAAGACTCTTGAGAAAAAACCCTCCATCATAAGGTCCTGAACAAACTAAAGTTGTTCATCATTTAAAGAAAATAGCTCAAAATTCTCCACCATTGAAAATTTTTGGAAAAGGAAAGAAGATTTTATAGATAGATGCTAGTGACTATTACTGAGGAGCTGTCTTGTTAAAAGAAACAGATGGCAAAAAGGCTTACTGTGGACATGCTAGTGAACAATTCAAAGAATTAGAGAAGCATTATCATATAACTTTCAAGGAAATATTGGCAGTAAAAAATGAAATCCAAAAATTTGATTTCCATTTAAAGGACATAATTTTAACGTACAAATGGATAACTCCTATTTTCCCGCTCTTCTAGAGTTTAAAAATAAGATGTCTCTTGATTCTTAGACTAAAGAATTGGTTCTCCAAATATGATTTTACTGTCAAACACTCTTTTTGCATAACCATGGCATCAAACCAAAACCAACTTAGTTTCATCCTGATGCCCCTTTTTAAAATATTTTTACATTACTTATGGAGATCCCTTTTCTCGAAAAAGATCTCTAGTATTTATGATATGTTTCTTTGTTATATGATTATCCTATAATGTTCCCTACTTTCATGATATTTGAGTTTCTTCACAACTCTCAGAATGAATCCACCCTGCTAGGAAAGTTCCTACAATGGTATCAACCTATCTCAACTTGGAAGAAAGATATTCAAGCAGAAATGGAGAGAATCACAATCTAGAAGCATATAGAAGAAAATTTGTCTCCATCAGAGTTCTCCAAAAACGTCTTAGTGGCCATTATCTATAAACTTTACTTTCAACATCCCAGATTTAGATTGTTATACACACAAAATTAAGTTTCATTCTGGAATACCTACAATTGTATTGAAGAAGTCTCTCAACCAGATAAAACTCCATTCAATCAAGCTAACATATTCATCCATCTTCACACTATCAATGGAACTCATAGAGATATGGTCAAGGTATTGTCTACCTGTACCAATCTTAAGCCAATGAATGTTATTTGCCCTCCTGTTCCTGATGATAATCAGATGTTGAATAAAGTTCAACAAGTACTTCCACCTGTAAAGACATTCTCTGATCAAATTATGGATCAGTGGGACAGAGAAGGACAGGTAATCCTAAATAATGAAGACAGATCATCACTAGCGGACATGATGATTGATTCACAAGATTCAAATAAAGAACTTATAGACATTTGTGAATCAGAATCAGATGAAGATCTAAACCTCTCTTCTAGTTATGAACCTATCTTTAAGGACTAAAAAAGCTGGCAAAAGTAACTTTCTGTCGTATCAGTGTGTTTTATCATGTACAATTATATCTTTATGTTTTATAACTGTGTTTTATCACGTACGAAAAGTTATTTTAGTTTGTTTGCTTTCTTAAAGTTTTCTTAGAAAAGTCAGATTCTTATCCAAACTTGTTATCTTGTAATCAAAATGTATGCCTTCCATCGTCTATATAGGGAGGATCTCTAGCTTTTATGAGGGCAGACTGATCTGAAATAAAACCTGTGTTTCTATTATATCATGTCTTTCTTTTAAGTTTCTCTCTGAAAACTTTATTTATGATGATTATCCTCTAGTCCTTGACTAAAAGTGAATATGCTCTACACTTGCCTTTCTATGAAGATCTTGTGTATAAGAAAACTTTTAGGCAATGATCCAGTTGCTACGATCCTTTTTATTATGACTTTGATAGAAAAAATAAACACGAGTATGAAAAAAATGCATAAGAGTTATGCTATCGTATCAGAAAGTGCTGACTATTTCTATCTTTGTTATGATATTGAAGGCTCGTGGCAGATGATGGTATCAAAGCATTCAATATCATAATAAAGATAAAAAGACACATAATAATACAAGATGCTTAATATCCTTATCCAAATCTGGAAAGCGTGACTTTAATATATTAAAATAATCTAGATATAGCTTTTTTTTTTTTTTGGTAATATCTAGATATAGATTTTGATGATTCAACTATGACATCAAGTCATAAATCTATCTATAAAGACTAATGTCTAGAGTTTTTATCTTTGGTACAATAATTGTCTTTAAAGTAAAACATATCTTGTATCATGTTACATTGACTATAAAAATATCTATATAATAATTTAAGTAATGTAATATAATTGTCATGTATCCAACTCATTTATCTGCATAAAGAATGTGTGTTATCAGTTTAAGGCAAAGAATACCTCCTATTATCGATACATCTTTCATATTACTATCATGACTTTTTAAACTTTCTTTCATATTGTTTAAAGTTTTAGATATTTAGTTATGACATAGATCCCTGGAAGAATAGAGAAAAATAACTCTTCAAGAAATTATAAAAAAAAAAAAATGCTCTACACATGCCTTTCTAAGACGATCTTGTACATAAAAAATCTATCAAACTAGAATCTATTGTTACACTCCTCTTTTATAATTAAACTTGAGAAAAAAAGTTGTAAGTAATAAAAGGGCCCTCACAACAAATTGTACGATGAAACTTTGTTGATGATGGGAAGTTTATGCAAGCAATATCGACCAAAAAATAAAGACAGTTATTTTTTATTGCCTTTTGAATTTAACTCACCTGTTGAACGATGATGTTTTAGTTCATGAGTTCATTTCTTGAAATACGTTAATATGAAGCATTCTCATTAATTACGATGTCAATAAGGGTATACCACAACTACAAGCACACTTTAGGCACTAACTTCACTCCTCTGAAACAGTTGGTAATCCCTCTTTCAACCATTTGTAAAGACCACCTTCTAGATGGAAGACATTGCCATAACCGTTAAGGACCAGCAAGTATGCTGCTATAAGTGACCTGTGAAATATCAAATTGTTACCCTTAAAAGCACAATCAATGGTTTAAGAGCCACAAGTAGTAGCATTTCTAATCGAACAATCGCATGCCAATGAACAGCAACTTCCGCAGTGTATTTTATCTGTTGCAGAGTAATTTGGATTTGAGAGCTACTTGCTAATTATAAATGGATTTCATGCAGTTGCTATCAGCTAATCTGGCATCCCCTTGTTGGTTCACGATTAACGACATCAATCATGCCTTATCTCACTAATAACGATGATTAATAACTAATTATTTTATTATTAATTTTATTAACTACAAATAAGAAGAGTATTTTAAATAAATAAGAGTGATGATAGAGCTTAAGTAGTTAAATTTTTAATTAGAATATACTGACAGTAAATACATATTTTGTTAAATAAAAATCTTGTTTCACACGAGTTTTATATATATATGCATAAGACTGGTATTATGAGTATAATGAGAGATGTTTTTAGTTTATTTTTCATAACATAAGAAATGAATTTTGACAATTAACTATTATATGAATGTTTTAAAATTAATAAAACACAAAAGTTATACGACTTTTCAGTAATGTTAAGTTAAATTTCTGATGTATGATAAAGACTTAATTCTCAGTACAGAAAGATAGAAAGTAAATAATTGAATACCTTGATTGTTGACCTTCTGGCAGACTTTGTGATGGTCTCAGAGAACCCCCTGATGTGCAAGCCACTATTATTTTTGCATTTTTATCTATTTTAGCTTCAACAGCTGCAAGCACCAATCAAATATTTCCTTAGAGGAAAATTAAAATAACATTTGCATAATGCATGATAAGGTAAGTTTAATATCTTACTCCGAATGAACTCAGGGTTCTCTTCTGTACCAGAAAAAATACCAAAAAATGCAAATGCAGCACGTCTAGCAATGTCCCATGCTGTCCACTCTTTTATTAGCCTATAAAGTTCCACATTCATTGCTCCTTCAGGATGTGCCTACACTTTTTCCCTTTTTTCTCAATATTTCTTCCCCAAATCATAGCCACCCAATAATCCAAATGTAGTCAAATTTGAACAACACTCACCTCTTTGAACTCTGCTTCTGGCCTTACATCCAGTAGCACAAAATTATTTTCGTTCATAAGACGCAGAGCTTCCTTTACTTCCACACTCCTTACCTGCAATATTGTACACATTGAAATCAAGAATAAATTGCATTCACTCTGTCAAAGGTTTAACTAATTTCATTAGGTTATAAAAGATAAAATATCAAATAAAATTTTATTTAACTCTAAGGAATGCAATTATAGTTTAACTCAAAATTAAATATTCATTCTGCATATGATATAAGCCTGAATTCACATTCTGTTCAACTTTACACACAAGACTTTTATATACATGTAATAATTATTTATATTAACAAATATGTTTTAACATACCTTTTCAAAATACATTTTTTTATTATTAGTTAATCCCTAAAATTTGAGAATCAAGCAAGTTAAACTGATCTCATTCCTAATTTAATAACTTTTACTTATACGTTTATAATATTTAATAAATTTCCAGATGTTATAAAAAGATGTTAAACTCTGTTACTGACACTCCTTTGTAATTATTTGATTTACCCCTTTGTCGTCCCTATTGCATTATTCTAGTTTATGTGATCTCTGCTGAGAGATTACCACTGATAGTTCAGGAATCAAGATTTTTGTGTTTTATACTTACTAAGAAGCTGATAAGTTAGCATTGATCAAGCAAGACATGTCTTTATGATAGCGTTATTGAAATGTTTTCTTCGCTTGATAGATGTGAAAGAACTGTGGAACAATGCAAAAGTTGGCGTCGTTTGTGCATTCAGTATGTGTGACAAAGGAATAGAGAAGGAGATATACCCTTTTCTGAATGAGATATTCTCGCTTCACCTTCCAGTCTTCTTCAGCTAAAACCCCCAAGAAAAGTGAAAAAGGGAAGCAATTAATATTGATGAATCATGTGTTTATTGTTTAATGTGTTGTGTTGTGACAACTGAAAGTAACTTAGAACAATGATGTACCTGGTGATTTTGCTGGTTTTGTTGCTGCACTCTTAATTTTAAGTTGTGGCCCTCTTGCAGTGGTCTGCGTTGGTTGGTGTAATCTTTGTGATCTCACTCTCACCAACCATGAGTTGTAATCGTGTGCACCCTCTAAAGAAGGTACCAAGAGCGAGGAATGCAAATGGGTTTGTAACGATGAAGATGAGTACTGTAGGGGAACTGATGCAAAAGAAGCCATTTTTAGCAGAAAATTTTGCTGTGTTGTTATAAAGTTTATAACTTAATGGTCTATGGTTGAATTAATGAGTGTAAGTGGTTGCGATGAGCATATAAATCTATGCTTTATTTTTCTAATGAAAAATTGGTTAGGTAAATGGAAAATGGAGCGTGTTAGGGGTTTGTTTTAGATATTTACGACACGAAATCTGAATTTGTGGTCTCTGTTTTTAGAAGTGATTTCCTGTTTGGATATCATTTCATTTTTATGTTTTTGTTGGGTTCACTTTTTTCGCTTTTCTGGGCATTCAGTAGTAGCATGCCAAATCAACAGGACACCAAGCATTGTCCCTATCTGCAAGCAAAATAGTTAATTGATATCCTCTTTAGGATAATTATTTGGTCCAAAAAATAAAGAGAAAATATATATATTTTAATGATAAATTATATATTATTTATGATAATGAATAAATAATTAATAACTTATATTTATGTTAATTTATTAATTTATTATTTTAATTTTAAAATTATTAAATTATAATGTATTTATTTCAGATAGAAAGTGTCCTTTCTTCTTTTTTAAATTACCTTTTTCAAAAAAATTTAAATGTATAAACTTAGAGAGAGATTGAAAGAGGAAAAATTAATCATAAATGTGATAGAAAATATAAAGCCACAGAGAGAAAGCGACATAATAGAATGAGATTTAATTTTTTTAAATATGGAATTTGAAAAATATAAATATTAAATTATAGTGTTTTTGAAAAAATTATGAAAATACACAGTTTTGACAGAAACTACATCTTGCAGTTTTCTATTCGCTTAAGTGAATTTGACAAAAAGTAATTTTGGTTAAGCCAAAAAAATTTGTTTAAGCTAATTTCTAAAAAGTGACGAAAAAACTAGGCTGAGAGGGAGATAAGAGTAAGAGCATAAGGAAGAGAAAAAACAAAAGAAAGCTAACAGAGAGAAGGAAAAAAGCTGGATAAGGAGAGAAAGAGAAGAGGATGAGTGAGGGTGAAGGAGAGGGGAAGAGAGTAGAGCAAGATGAAAAGAAAGAAAGAAAGAGACTCAGTGAGACAGAAGAAAGAAAAGATGAAAGAAGGGAGGAATGTTAGGTGAGGTGAATTGGAGGAGATGAAGTGGGGTAAGGAGGAAAAGATGAAAATAGAATGCAAAAAAATAAGATCAGTGGTCGAGATGAAGAAAGAAAACACAAAAGAAAGAAAAATTGTCCAAAAAAATTGTTTTCAAAAAATATGTATTAAAAAATTATAAAAAAGTAAAATTTACCAACGATGAATTTTTTAAAATAAAAAAAAATTAAATAAAAAATTTTCAGTGATAATTTTTGAAAAACAATATTTTTTAAAAATATTCAATAAAATGCTATTAACAAATTTTTATCCAAAAAATTCTACCAATGAGTAATTTTTTTAAAAAAAAATATCATGTTTTTGTAATTTTTTTTACAAATACTATATTTTGGTAATTTTTTTATTTTTTTATATAAAAAGACCCATAGACTGACGGATGTTAATTAAATATTAACACTCTTAAAATGTTTATAAATTAAAATAGTATCTAAAATCACAACTTGCACGTTAAAAATGAGGAGGAAAATAGAATAAAGAATATGAATCATGTTTCCTCCCCCGCTCACTCGAGTACCAAAAGTTTATTACTTGTTTTCCAAAATTTAATTTAATAAATTGATAAAAACAAGCTATAAATTTTTAAATTAATATAAATCAAATATATGCTAAATATTTGAATTCAGGTAGCTTGATATCACTAAAAAATCGACCGAGTTAGGCTTTTTATAAGGCTTAAACATGATCTGTTTTTCAAATTAAAAGTTTAAATTTAGTCTTAAGCCATTTTCTGAAACATGGCCAGGTCCTTGCAAACTTTGATCTAACATGAATGTCTATTTAAAATACTTTATAATAAGGCCTGTTTAATAAAATTATAAATATATTTGTAAATAAGTCAATGGGTACACACTGATATATAGATCAGTAAATTTAAGTTTTTAAATAGATTAACAAATATATAATATCAGAATATAATGCTAAAATAATAATAATAATTCAAATAATTTTTTGACTGGCTTGAAATTTAACTTTTTTAACTAAATATATTCTTAAGAAAGTGTTAACCTGAGTTATTTAAATAATAAGTCCCTCCTATAAACAATTTGACCAATTTTCATCCTTAACTGTAAATTGCATGTGATTTTCCTTTATCGATGATCCTTTACTACTATTAATATCACATGGATATATTGATTTGATGCTTCAAATATATCCAATGGATATCCATATAAGGCCATCGCAGACCAAAAATCACCTAATACAGTTTTTTCTTTTTTAAAATCTCAAAAGTGAGGTAAAATCTAACATATGATAAGTATTAACCAGTGCGCTTAAGATATTAATGAAGAAATAAAAGTAATTGTAAAAATATTAACAATACGCCTTCATTTTCAATATATCTCAACATAACTTTCAAGAAAAAAAACATATTTTTATTATAACCAGTAGCCCACATACACTAGTTAGCAAGATCATTTCTTCATTTACCATACATACTAACTACATGAAAACTAAGTTTCATGTTATTTAGACCACCTTAGCATTGGTAATACGATGCTAATTTTTCCTCCATCTCAACAGATGAATTTACACGTTTGCAATCAACCAACTTGTGTTTCATGCAGTTATGCTTTTAACTGGTCCCAACCTAGATCAATACTATATTTGGAACCTTATCATGAGTCAACTATAAACAGGTAAGGTTCTAAAATTCCTTCTTTACAAACTGCACGATAAATCAAAATCAAATATGTACTAGTGTTTTTACTTTTTAAGTCTCTTAAGAGGTATGTTAAAGATAGCTGTTGTGTTAAGGGAATCCCCTTGATATTCAAATTGGACATCATATATAGTTTCAAGCTGTTACAATAGAATTAGTCCTCCATTATGTAGATTTGACAAATAATGAGGGGAATAGACAGTGATATTCGTGAATCATGATCTTGATAAATGTTCCAGATTCTTAATCCTTTTATGTTCTTCCTTATCTCAGAGACACCATATTGGTTTACTCATATTTATAGGGAGGAGGGTTTGTTGTTCTTTCCTAAGAATAGAAGCATTGGTAGAACAAAATGGCTTCTGCATTAGTAGACATGATGTGGTATTGGTTCGGCTCATCACCAAGCACCATGTAGCTTAAGACGAGCCGAATCAATATCACTCTTGTTTGCTTCATTGCATATGTGCCTATCCCCTTTCAAAATCAATTTTTCCTTGATGCCGTTTTCAATATCGGTTGAAGAAACTGTTGAATGCCATGAATTTTGATTCGAGATATGGAGTAGTCACTACAATGCTTGTCTTCAAAATAAAACTATGTGTGTTCATGCTGAATTGTTGATTGCATAAATAATGAAGAAACTGAATTTAGTCTTTCTATCAATGGAAGGTAAATGTCCCAATTTCCTTTGAATTCTAAGACACGCTCACTAAACAAATCTTCAAAGGTTTGAATCGTTCTTTCTATTTGTTCATCAGTTCGGGAATAGTAGACAACTTAGTCCCAAATGTTATGTGTAACATTAACCAAAATTTAAATGTGAATCTTAGGTCTCCGTCTGAAAATTGGTAGTGGGTATGTCATGTAGTCTCATAATTTTCTTGATATTAAACTAGTATTGTTTATTTAATGGACTAGTCATTCACACTCAAAGAAAATGAGTTAGTTTGGTTAATCCATCTATCATAATCCATATACCATCATTTCTTACTAATGTCTTTGGGAAGTCAATGACAAAATTTATCGAGATGTTATCCCACTTCTACTCAAGAATATCTAATGGTTGCAGGGATCCTATAGTCTTTGGTATTCTAATTTTATTTTATTTTTTGACAAGTTAGACATTAGTTTACAAACTTAACTATCTCGGCTTTCATTCATGGCCACCATAATTGTACTTTTTGGTCGATACATTTTACTAATTCTTGGACGTATGATGTATTTACTCTCGTGAGTTTTTTTTTTCTTTCCAAAATTTGTCCTTTTATGTCGTATCATTTCGTACAAAAAGTATTTTCTCATTCATGATTTTTTAATTGTCTGTTATTTCAAAATCTTTTATCTCTCCTTTGAAAATTTTATTTTTAAGATGCTTTAAAAATGGGTCTATATATTGAGCTTCCCTAACACAAGATCTTAAATTATTATATGTCCTTTAAAAAGTGTTCATAACAAAATGTTATAGAATGGTTTAAATCCCTAAACTTTTCTATCAACTTTACTTCTTTAATCATCAGGTGAGACAAATGAAAAGCCTTTCTAATAAATGTATTTACATAACATTCCCATTTTTCAGGTGATATTTTAATTTTATTAATCCTTTTTGTCTCATTTTTAATTTTTTTCATCAAATAAATTCTTGTGACTTTTTATGTTCCATGCATACTTCAAATTTTATTCTTGTTTTGGTACTCGAAAACTATTTTCATACTCCAGGAGTCCATCCATACCAAAGGAGTGAATTTTCGAGTTAACTTAGTTGAAGGCTTGGTAATGATGGAAAACACCCTTCTATAAAATGATGATAATATATAACCTACGAAACCTAAGAAATATTTTATTTCTAAGATTTAATCAATTTAGAATTATAACGTTTATAAATATCATATATATTGTATGTTAATATATATATATATATATATATAGGAAATATAATATTTATAGTGACTAATATGAAATAGGAAATAGGTTGAGAACAATTGGATATTTTTTCTTTGATACGATGATTTCGATGACGGATACATTCTATACATTTTAAAAAATGTTAATTTCAGTCCTTAAAACAAGGTTTAAGCACTCAAAAATAATAAATTTTTATAAAGAAATACTTACCATATTTTTATAACTATAATGTTTTTAATATAGTTTTATTACTTTTGAGAAGCTTAAATTCAACGCTAAAAATTGAAGTGAACAAAATTTAAATTTAATTATAGTTCATAGTTTAATTAGGTCAAATAATATATAATGGAATAAAAAAATTCTAAAAGATCGTGAAATTGTATTTTGTTCCATTTTGTTACCCACCAAACTCCTATTAAGAACTTTGCTTTGCTTTGGGCTTGTCACTAGATCTTACCCTTATTTGTTTTGACATAGAGCACTGCCAGTGCCACCTAAAGGTCACGTGAAATGCTTGTTCTTTGGTTTGGTAATTAGAGAAGCGGTGGAGCAAAATGACATTTGAAGAGCTTTTTTCTTGTTGCACTGAGAGATTCATACATGCAGAATTTTTTGTTGGGCCGTGTGTGCACGGTTTGGAACATTTTTATTTTTAAATTTGATGAAGTTTGTCATGAACAAAGCCCCTAGTTTTATTTCTCTTGAACATGACGTTAAGCCTGGTTACTGCACTATCAAAGTTCTTAACTTTGCCTTCTACAATGACTAACGAAGGGGGAAAAATGTGAAAAATTCTCTTTTTTTCACAATTATTTTCTCTCTTATAACATTCTTCCTGATAAACATTTTTTTTAATCTGAAGACCCTACTCGAGATTTTGCAAATCAGAACCAACTAGATGATTCTAAAATACAAAACTGATCAATTTATTCACAAGAATTCCATTAATGAGGGAATTCTGTGTTTCCATTTATTCTTGTAATAATGATACAGAGATATCCTAAATTTGCTCCTGCATTTTTGTTGATAAAGTACAATTCTTCGGGGTGTGGCATAAAGAAAAAAAGCAGGGTTTGAAACAAATTTTTCTCAGCTAAGAAGAAGTGAAACTGCTAAACAGCAAGGATCGACAGACGGTCAAATCAGATTTGGTGCTAGTTTACTATCAGGATCAAAGAGCTAGAAAATGGGAGCGAAAGACCCAGCAATCAACTATAATAGCATTTCCGTTGTTACTTACATTAGATATTGTACCTGGAACAACCAAATAACATCAACACACTACCAGAGACGATTTAATTATTTTTGTCAAGAAACATTTTATTTTTAAAAGATGCAAAGCAAATTTGGGCTTATTTGTAGGTGATGCCTTTTCTGAGAACTCATCAATTATCTATCTTGCCAGTCTTTATAGTCACTGAAGAGAAAAATAGATAGCTGATTTCAGTTAATACAGGAATCAATAATAAAAGTCACCCATGGGCAGCAATATGTTTCTGTGTAAACTGTAAAGAAACAGCACAGCTCATTAGACTGATAAAGAACAATAAAATTAAGATAAATAAATAAATATGCTGGTAAAACAATTTGAGGCTAGCATAAAGTACAGGTAGTTATTAAAATAGAATGACAGGATATGAAAGCTCACATCAAGCGAAAATTGTAGATAGGCTTCAATAAGAATACTCAAACAGAATGCATTATTAGTGGTGTTACTAGAAATCCTATACACTAAACCAGGAAGTTTGTCTCCAATATTTCACCAAATGACAACAAGCACTGACAAACAATGACAAAATAGTAAACAGGAAAGTTATTGAAAGACAATAAATTCTAAACAGAAGAAAAAAAGGGACTTCTAAGATTATCTTGTACAAGAGAGCAGAAATTAGTATACAACCGGTAAAATATGATTTTTGGACGTATCTCAGGAACAAAAATAAATGAATAATTTCATACTATAACCTGATTTTCTGCCTCAAATAAGAAGCTAAATAACTAAGTCTCACTTAGACACTTACCCTTGCATATTGTAACCTTAGCACGTTCATATCTTATATTTACTTGAACCTTCAGATTCAGACATTACGTTCATGCAAAAATTAACTGTCAAATCACATAATAAGAAGAGAATCTTGCGAAAATCAACTAAACCAGAAACAGAGTGAATAAGGTATAAATGAATAGTATTCTCTAACTATCCCACAATACTTCTCTATGATCAGTTGATAAAAATTGGCACTACCAATAGTCCCCACACGAGCAGAAACCATCACGAAAGTGATGGAACCGATTGGTGTCTCTCACTATGATTTCCCTATTCACCACCGATGACACATATTTTATTGCTGAGTGGCAATCACCACAAACCCTAATATTCTTCATAATGCGTATGGTGGATCCAGGAGGAGTATTTAGAAGGGCAAATGCAAGAGCCAGCTTCTCACTATGATACCGTAAATTTAATTCCTTCTCTCTTTGGTCTACAAACAGAAGCACCTGACTAGTGTCAGGAACGTACCCAATCTCCTTAATTCTCTGATTTAGCTTCTCCCACATTTTATGAATCTTATCATTCTGTGGATGAGCAACATCGTTGGCCACAAAAACGTGGACAGAATTCTCAATTTCAACCCAACTACAAGCTGGTTCCTTCTTCAACCCACTATTTTTCATTATCTTCCTGACTTTTGCAGCATCCTCCCACCTACCAGCAGAGGCAAAAATATTAGCAAGCAATGTATGTGTCCCTGGATAAGAAGGATCAAGCTCAAAAACCCGCTGAGCAGCATAAGCACCCATTTCTGTATTTTTATGCATCTTAGAGGCACCAAGCAAAGCACCCCAGATAGCTACAGTAGGTTCAATTGGCATTTCTTCTATGAAATTCTTAGCTTGATCAAGAAGACCAGCTCGACCAAGAAGATCAACAATTGTCACATAATGCGAGACCTTTGGTTCAATATTGTACTTTCTCATCAATCCAAAATAATGTTTACCCCCGTCCAGAAGTCTAGCATGGCTGCAAGCAGTAAGAACAGAAAGGAATGTAATATCATTGGGTTCAATCCCAACCCTTATCATTTCCTCAAACTGCTGCACAGCTTCCTTTCCAAGCCCATGTTGGGCATATCCTATCAGCATCGAATTGCAAGAAACCACATCCACTTTCACCAACCGATCAAAAACCTTCTTTGCATCCTGAATGCTCCCCGACTTTGCATACATGTGCAGAAGAGTGTTCCCCACATAACCAACCAACTTCCTACCCGATTTCATCATATGCCCATGAAGCCATTTCCCTTGCTCTAGAGATCCCATACTCGAAGAAGAACACAAAAGCGCCGAATAAGTAAACTCAGTCGGTCTATAACCTTCCCTTTGCATCTTCACAAACAAAGCCAAAGCTTCCTCTCCTTCACCCTTCCTCGCATAACCAGCTATCAAAGCATTCCAACAAACCTCATTCTTACGCCCCAACTCATCGAAAACCAACCGCGCCTCCCCCAAGTAGTCACACCTAGCATACATATCAACAAGAGAACTCCCCACAAACACATTGGAGTGACATCCAAACTTCCAACAAGACGCATGAATTTGCTTCCCATCATTATAACTGGCAATAAACCCACAAGACTTCACCAAACTCGACAATGTAAACTCATTGGGCTTCGCCCCATCGCGGAGCATTAAAGGAAACAACACAAGCGCATCATTGGCACGTTCATTCTGAGCATAGCCAGTAATCATGGAGGTCCAAGTAACCATGTCCTTGCAGGGCATTTCGTCGAACAAACGGCGCGCGTCTTCCAAACTGCCACACCTCGCATACATGAAGAGAACTGAGTTTTGAATAACGATGTCGTTTTTGAACTTGGAATTGAGAACGTGAGAATGCACTAGTTTTCCTTCTTTGAGCTTCCCCAGCTGGGTGCATCTCTTTAACAGCGCATTGTAAAGGGTTCGGTCCGGTTGGAGCGAACCGCGGTCGATGAGGTCCAGAACGTGAAGACCGGTTTTGGAGTTGAGAGTGGGAGCAAGAAGGTTCCGATCGTCCACAATACATGCTGAAATATCTGAGTCTGAGAAAGTGGCTGCAACGGTTGATTGCCAAAGTGTGCGACAGGGAAAGCTACCTGAATATCGTTTAATAAGCCTAACTGCAATTGGGGAGATAAATGAAAAAATAAGAGACAAACGATGATAATGAAATTCTTAGACATATATGGGGATAGGAGCAATGATTTGGAAACAGAGAGAGAAGTTTTACATTGGATCATCACCTCTTCCAATTCTTGGATCTGTTTAAGATTTATTTCAGCTACACTCACTCTTAGCTTTTATGGGTGGATCAATTAGGCTCAAATCTAATCAAGTTTGATCAATTGGATCAATACGGGTTACGAGATGACTAATTGACTATGGAATTTGAAACCCAACATCATAACCCTTCAACCACGTTACAAATATGTACATGTTACTTTTATTATAAGTCAACACCTTTGGTATACAGTTAAATAAACAGGATTAAATAAGATTTTGATCCCTATTATTTTTCTACTTACTGAATAAAACATCATTTCTAAAAGTAAAGTAATAGTTACAAGTCAGCAGAACCCGAATTACAAAGCATATTAAATGACATTAATATTTTTAAGGTTCAAATTGATTGTGCTACTTTTACAAATAGAGCCTCAGGCAGATTTGATCTGGGGAGAAGTAATTTTTTAATGACTGCTGTTGGAACTTTGAGGACACTCTCATGATACCTTACTATGCCCCTTTTAACTTTTTGTTTAGATGTTTGTATTTTAAACTTAAAAGTAATTAAGAACTTTGATTAGGACTCATCTTAACTTTTTGCTTAATCTAACTTTAGTGTATAAGTTTCGTTCTTAACTACTAGATCATCTTCATGCTTCTTATATCTACTTCAGCAAAAATAATGTGAAGGTTGTCACACATACTAAAGCATTTTACTATCCTTCATCCACCTTGCTAAGTCACCCAAGTCTTCTACTTCCTTTATAATTAATTATGCACTCAATGTGCAGAAACAAAGTTAGAGAGGCGTTAAAATAACACATTAGATGAGATATCTTTATGTGACAAACTTCAACTATTTGTTGAAATATAATGGAAATTTAGTGTTTTTCTATAACATGCAAGAAGGGAAAAGTTAAGATTTATTAAAATGATTCTTTTTAATATTATATTCTATCTTGAGCTTAGATAAATTTTGATTGGATTGTTTAATTTTAATATCGTATTATGTATGTATCTTTTTACCTTGTTTTGTTAAGTTCTATCTTTTGAAAAAAAATTAATTTGATTCTGATTAATTTACAACTCATGGTCAATATTGGTTATGTTTCATTCATCTACATTTTTGGCATTTTCAGTTAGAATATTTTTAAGTACATTTTTTGCAAGTGGAAAGAATAATATTGTTTGAAAATCTTGCTATTTTTCTTTAAATCCAAATATTAGAATAGTACACACTAACACACATGAATATATTTTTTTCTTTTCTTGATTGCTCAGATGTATGGAATTGTTGTGTCAAAAATATTATTGTCAAAACCAAGAAAAAAAGAAGCACGTGTTGGCTTAAAACTAAACTACTGGTAATTACAGGAATTAATTGGAGTTTCGAAATTAAGGGTAATTAATTAGAGTGTTTAAATGACGAGTAATTATCAAAATTACTCGCGCTTGTCTAGGACCGCAAGTTTCTAAACTTTACCATGCATAATGCCTTTAACAGTGAGTAAAACCTTTTTATAGCTACATCCTTTAAATTCATTCAACAGGAGAGAGAAAGAATAGATAAGTTAGTAACTATTAACTCTCGTTTTTAAGTTAATTAAATATAAGAAAAACTGATAAAACTCACTTTAACTTTGTGTTTTTTTTAACTTCACTCTAGAGGGCTTAACATGCTATGAGTTCTTATTTTCTCCTTGCTTTTAATTACTATTTTCTCTCTATGTAAAGAGTCAAAAAAGGGCACCTCATTTACGCCCATGCCACCAAAAATTTAAAAAACACATGCTTTTACACCCTTGTCTTAACTCTTTTTTTTTAATTCTCCTTGAAAAGTTTTAATTATTCATGTACTAAGATTTACAGTAAAAATTTATCTATAAAGATAATAGTGTTATTTACGTATTAAACTTTTCATTATTTTTTTTTCATATGAAATTTTTTTTCTCTATTCCTAAGTCATTTAAATTTTTTTTCTCCAAACTTCTGAACAAGGTGTTAGATTTTGACGAATGCCGAATAATATTTTGAAAATTTTATAATTAATTAACGTCACTTTTGGATATGACATTTCTACCTTAATGGGAGTTGAACGGCATCTGCAATTTAACCGAATGATCATGAGATTTTCCGAACGTTTATTTTTCTGGTCAAATGAAATTTTCTGAACTTTTCTCATAGTTTGATGCAATTAATATTTTTATTTTGGGTTATTATAAGCTACTTCGTACGTTTTTTTGCTCTCTCTTTGACATTTAGAGTTTTATACAAAAATAAAAAAAAAATTCAATTTTATTATTTTCTGCAAAACCAAGCATTAATTATTATAAATAAAATTAGAAAAATTATTTATTGTTTATTAATTGTATAAAATAATAATAATAAGTAAAAAAATATTATTAAAATATATATATAAAAAAGAAAAATCAGAAGGAGTAGTAGCATAATAGATATGCAGTAGAATGGTGGATGGGGCCTACGTTATGATTTGAGAGGCATCTTTCATGGAGTTAATTCGGGAAGTAGGCAATGTAATAATTATATTTCTTTTGAGGATGGAATTGAAATCAAGTTTATTAATTATTTGCCAGAAAATGAATAAGCTTACAAAAAGCAAATGCCTAACCCATTCTTCCCTGTGCCTCCCTTAAAATTTGTTCCAAAAATGGCTAAACAGATTGCAGCAAACCAATCCGAACAGTGCACATTGCCTATCATGATTCCATTACAAAAACATTGAATGATCACCTTCATGCACATATATGGTCCCGCAGCTATCTGCATAATAGCCCTTTTCTGTGATTTATGTTTAGAGCCAGCCATGTCTACTACGTACAAATCCCTATTGTAAAAGGGCCATCATTGGAGACCTGAAAATGATCGTTCATTAGGGTTTCATATATCCAATGCCCACGCACATCAATTCCATGCATCATAAATTGCTTATAAGGAATGATAAACTCTTTGCTACGTAGTAATATAAAATATGTGAGACTTTTTCCAGAACCCTAAAAATATAATTTTCTGGCACAAAAAGAAATTTTATCAAGTTCCTTGCTTATTGTATGAGTACTTTCAAATTTAGATAACATTTATATAAAAAAGTTGGAAAATAATATTTATTATTATTAATTATAAATTTTTTATTATATCAAATTTAGTTCACAAAATTATTCAAAATAAGTGATTTTATACTCTCCCATTAATCTCTTTCAAATTCATTTAATGACGTGTTTAATGTGTCAGGTTCAAGTATTGACATGGTGCATACATTGGCTATCCTTCTTATTAAATGACACAAATTTAGCAACCCATTCCTCCCCATTGTGTTTTTCTTTCTGATTTTTCCTCCATAAAATGAAAGTGAAGTGAATTATTCATTTATAATAACATTAGTAGTCGTGAAGATATCATGTCGACACTTAACTTGTCACATTTAAAATGTCATTAAATGAATTTAATAAAGAATAACTTAAGGGACTCAAATGACCAGTTGTTTTATAATTCCACGCACTATTTTTTTTTTTATATAATTTTCAGAAATAAATTGATGGATATCAATAGTATTAAGAACTAAATTATTGGTTGTGTACAATTTTAGGAGTCAAAATGATTTTTTTAATATAAATTTTTAGACTTTTTCTTTAATTTCAAAAAAGACTAAATTGATGGATTTCTATAATGTTAAGGACTAAAATGATGTATAGTGAATTAAAAAGTATTATTTTAAAGTTTAAAATAAAAATAATAAAATAAATACAATTAAATCACATTGTTGTTATTAATATGATGGGTAACAATTATTTTAATTGTTATGATAATTTATAAGATCTATGATGTATGTGACAATAACTAGTAATATATTAAGCGTGCATATACACACCATTATACACTTAAAAAACAAAAAAGCTTTGTACGGTTGGATCATGTCATTATAGAACCTCCAAATGGACGACCCCATTATGTGAATCAGTAGACCTTTATTTTATATAATTCTTAACACGTTAGACCCATCACCTATGCAATTGTGTGCCTGAAAAACGAAGGCACCACCGATTAATATTTTAATATTATTACATTATTTTTAGAAAAAATTACCAAGATTAGTTCTAAACATTAAAAAATTAAATGATAAATGTTTGTCATATTAAAAATATAAAAATTGAATAAATAATTTTCAATAAAAATGATTGTTTGTATAATTTAAAATAATGAGGACAAAAGCTTTATTATTATATATTATAAACTGCATGAGGTCTATCTATACATCATATACATGGAGGAGGATATTATTCTTACACGGTTACCAAGAGGAATGTTTGTGGGACCCTCACTGGTGGAAAAGGAAGAGACTAAAGAGTCATGCTTCAGCTTCTTTGGCTTACAATATAAGAAAAGGAAAAGAAGCCCATGTGGGGCAAAAGAGTGAGTGAAATTATAACCTACGCATTTAGAGCAAAATGTTGTTAAGTGAGCTTTCAATTTTAAAAGGGACCATCGTGTGAGGTCATGGAAGGCATGGAAACCCACTTCCAATAAAAATCTAATAAGCTTTTCAGTGTATAATTTCATTAAGAAAAGAAGAAGTATTGTAATAAGGTGTTGATAGTCATTATCATACATTAATTAACAATATATAGAGGTAGGAAAAATGCATGGCAAAGAATAAAGTAATGTTGCATATGCTTGGTTCTGTCGGTATATTGTAATTTGCTAAGCTTGCATTGGATGATCTATTGCAATTACGAAAGGTTAATTAGCAATGATTGTTACGTTGCTTCGTGAAATCTGAAGACTCCTTCATGAATGCAAAATCTGAAAGATCAAGACGGCACTGATGAATGATATCTGACTACCCTCACCTATTAGCCACCATAAAGAAAGAAAAAAGAAAAAGATAGGGAGACCACTTTTGCTGTAAAGGATTTGACAACCATCATTCGAACCCACTTTTATTTTCGAGGATTCATATTGACGAAAAAACCCAATATAATCATACCAAATTTATATTAAAGATAAATTATGCTCACATTTTTTAAGATTTAACAATATTTTATTTAATGTATATTTTTCTTACATTAATATAATACCATAATATTTTATATTTTCTTCATTCAATATGTTATGCTTAATTTTTTATGCAATTGTATGAATAAAAAAAGTCAAAATAATATAAAATAATATCAGATAAAATTATGCTAAATCTCTAGAAATATAATAAATTAGTAGCTTAACTAATGTAATTGAAACCGAACTATTATTGTACACTTCTGACTCTTAGGTATCTGACTGAAGAATCTCTCCTGGAAACTGACATGTGACAACAAGGAACAATATAGTATTGACGGCAACTCTTGCTGTGATAGAAACAAACCGTGAGCGAAGATCCTGGTTAAAAGCCCAAGAACAATTGTTGTTGTCACGTGGGAAAGCCAAAAATTAATGCAAAATGAGTTATGGGTTATGCCTAAACACCTTGCAAACGAACAAAAAATTAATACAAGGAAACTTAATTACACATGCGTATACATATATATGTATATGTACACGTTCCTCTGGATCAAAATCTGATAGGTGGAAATATCAACGAAAAAGAAAAAGTTTGAGAGGTAGAGGAAATAAAATAAATGAGCCAAAATAAAAAAATAAAGACCAAAATTTTAAATGGATATTAAATAACCAAAACAGAAGCCATGTACCCTATTTTGTTAGCGGTTCTGATCACTCGAAAAACAAAATTAAGAAAATAAAAGAACATAGGCTACAATAATGATTCACAACCCTTTGTTCTTTCCTCCTCTGAAAACTACCATGATCCTCCTCCTAACATGCCATTCCAATACCCAGTTGAATCTCCTTGACTTCTATTTGGCCCTAACTCAGCAGCACTCTTTGTGACCTGCTGTTGCTTCAAATCCTCCACAGGAAACAAGATCCTTGCCCCTGCACCCTCTTGAATCCCTTGGAGACCCCCACCACCATAACCATTTTCAAACCCTTCTAAACTGAAGCTAAGGCCAGGCTTAAAGTCTTGCAAAGGGAACCCAGTTGAGTTATAGATTGTATTGGAATCTGAAACCGACAATGGCATGAAAGAGTTTAAACCACCCCTTGATGAAGCAATCCCAGTTTTGAGAAGCTCCATTGCAGACAACTGAGAAGATGAGGAAGTGAGGTTTTGGAGGTTGTGGTGATGATGAGTTTCACCCTTGTTATCTTCAGTGTTGTAAGGAACCTCAATGAATTTAGATATGCTATTATAGTCCTCAACTGGTGGATATGCTAAGTTAAGATCTTGCCCTTGATGGATCTTTGGGTTTTGAGATGAAGATTGAGGGAAATTTGGTGGGGTTGCAAGATCAGGAAACTTCTTAGTTGACGGTGGAGCTGGTGATGATGAAGATAAAGGTGTTGGTCTTTTGTTCTTTCTTGAGCCTCCACCCACTGGAACATTTCTCAAAGAGCCTCCCTCAGTCCAATACCTTCTACAAGTCTTGCAAAAGTACCTTGGTTGAGAGAGGCTATAGTTATTGTAGTAGCAAAATTTAGTGTTTGTTGAATTGCACCTTGGGCAGTTCAAAGCTTGATCTTTCTGTGGTCTTGCCCTTTTCTCCATCATTGGAGGCTTTGAACCTTCCATAGGTTTAACCACTCCAATACCCTGAAATATAACCAAAATTGAAAATAATATAAACAAAAAGAGAGGAAAAGACCATAACTAAACTCAAAATCTTAAGGGAAAAGAAAGCACCATGAGGAGGAGTAAGGGAAACAAAAAAGACAAGGAAACATAGATTCTTCAATGCGAACAAATTTATGTAACTTTCCTTCGGGTACTTTACTCCTTTATCCAATGGTGGAAAGGGCAAAAAAAGGAGAAAAAGAAAGGTGCAGTGCTTTCGATAACAGAAAAATAAATAAAAAATAAATCAGTAAGAGATCTTTACAAGACAGCAACTAAAATTGAATTTTTGTGGAGATGTTGAACTGAACACCATCTCATGGAAGCTGAAAAGTTATGAGAGAAGTACGATTTCTCTTAAAATTTGAAATAATTAATCAAGATGGTTTACGAAATCCAAAACATAATACTCCAAATTATGTTTGAAAATCACAACCCCAGAAGAAGTTTCATGATTATATGGAAAGAAAACAAAAGAAGGCTTGTAATACCTGTGCCCACTGAGCTGTGTCCATGGAAAGAGAAAAAGGCAATAGTGTCTTTAGGAGACGAAAAACACCAACTTTAGAGGATGGTCATAAGAGGAAGCGTGGAAAGCTTAGAGAGTTTGATCATAGTGGTGGTTCCATGTGTTTGCCAACTAGCTGGCTATATTGCATATACAGGGGTAGCACAGTCTTTTGATGGCACTCAATCTAAAATATTACAGAATGGGAAAATTGCGTACATGCATGTAAGGCTACTAAGAATAAAGTATTTTACCAAAGTCAACAATATTCTTCCTTAATGTCTTTGTGTTCAATAACAGTGGAAAGTCGGTTGATTCTTTTATCACAGATGTTGTGAAACCGCTGATTATATCCTCCCTCTTATTTTCCATCAACTATTGTCTGCTCTTTTAACCTCCTCTCTTTTTAATATATGTATATATATAATGTCAAACTTATATTATAAAAGGACATGTTTACTAATTTTTTATAAAAATAATTTTATCCAACTAATCATCAAATCATGAGATATTCTCAACAAGCTATGTGAAATTTTCCAAGAAATATACATTCTTAAGTATATTATCTATCAGTATATAGTTACTTAAACATTAAATAACATATCATGCATTTAAATTAAAATAAAGTGGTACAATGATAAAATAGCATTTTATAAAGTTTGATGCTTAATATGAAATACAATGAATGTATGTTACACATAAATGATAAATTAAAATATTTTTAAAATTACACGATCACTTAAAAGGATTACGTAATCTTTTAAAAATTATAAACTTCTTGTTCATTGTTTGCTAACTGCTAATCAAGATAAAGTTAGTGAATTATAGAGCAATTATACTTGTCATTTATTTGTTTTATATTTTAACTATTTATCTGCTTATCTTTAACTTAATTTGTCCAATGTAAAATACTATGCCAATTGACAATGTAAAAACTGTCATTGTCCTTGAGATTGTTTTACTATTAACAAATTTTGTGAAACATTAAAACCCATTTTTATCATATTTAAGAGGAGTTTAGGTGATTCCGAGCTTGCAAATATGAAAACAAGTTCATAACACATATAGGTGCTGTATGAACAAAAATTTGATGAATTAAATATGTACCTTTTAAAGTGCTACCTTACTCTGAGCAACACTAGCAATAGAGTGAATTAATCTATATCTAATAAAAATTTGGAGTTTTGTTTTAGGCAAATACCCTTTAGAAGTCATAATAACTAGCTCAATGTGCAACAATTAAGACCATTTCAAGCTTCATTCCCAATTCAGCTAGGTCTTGTTCCCTTTACCCTCATCTATATCAACATATTAGAAAAATATTTGGACTCTTTCTTCTTAAACGCCTTCCTAGTATGCCCCTCATCATGATAATTCCAAGAAGTGTGTGGTCTTGCAAAAAGTAATTAATTACTCTCAACTTTTATTCAGAATAGTATATAATAAAATTACTTACTAATTAACAAATACAAATAGATAACTTACCCTAAAAATTTGGAACCAATCAAAATACGTTTTTGTGTTATCTGTCAAACCATTAGCATAAGTCAGGCTGATGCTAAACGACGTAGCATTTGCTTGATCGATGCTAACAATGACCAAATCAACCAATTATAACATATTTTTTGTTGGTGGTTTGGCCAATCCAATATGACACCATTTTTTTCATTTTTTTTATTTACTAATCAAGTGTAGATTTTTCTCAATTTGATGTTGGCTAATCCGATGCTAATTTCAAAAATAATCTAGTGTCGGATACCCTAACAAGATGAAACCAACAGCTAAATTTTAAATTAAATAAAAAATTAATTATCACATAACAATTAGGGTTAATGCTACTTTTTCCTAATTGAACAAGTCATTTCTTATTGCAATTAATAAATAAATTATGTAAAAATATTTAGTTATGCATTAATATTTAAACTATAAAATAATACTATTCTATGTCCCTAATCATATTAAAACTAAAAAAAAATTAAAATATAATTTGTACAATTTATGAGTTAAATCCTAGTTATGAAAAAAAAAAGATAATGCTTTAGATATTTTTAGCATTACTTTTTATTTCTCTAATTTTTTAAAAGATGATTTAAAATTTTTTTTAGTAGTACTTAATATCAGAGCTTTTTCAAAGTTTTAGAGTTATTTATTATTTTTTTACATTTTTACCTTTCATAAACTTGAATTTTTCTAACTACTCTACAATTGATATGATAATAAAATTTGACTTTAAAAAGAGATAAACTTGAAATGTGATTATTTTTTAAAATACTAATATTAATTATTTTAATTTTTTTTAATATGTATGATTTAATTAAGAAAAATTCTAACAAGTACCTGTAAAAATATTGTAAAATAATTAAAAGCATAATTTTATTTATTAAAACATAAAAATGCATTTACTCTTGTATTTTTCAATGCATCTTAATATTATTTGTAATAAAAATTTATTATTAATTAATTCCTCCATTATAACAAAATCCTTTAATCAAAAGGATTTTGTAAATAAAAAATGCTGATAGAACTACTTAAGAAATTAAAATTAAAAAATTCTTTAAAAGTACGTTTGTATTTTGAATGATTAGAAATTACGAAGAAAGTTTATTAATTATATTTTTTTAACAAAAAATTATATTTTTAATTCTGTAACTAGTGCTCTTAGAGAATGAATTAGCATTTATCTAAATAAAATTAAAAAATAAGTAAAATTAAAATTTTATCTTAATAAATAACATATTTAATACTACTACAAATTACAAGATATATTTTCAATTTTGATTGAATTACAATATTAACACTTTTGTTAACTTTATCTCTTAAAAGTTAAGTTTAAACATCAAAATATAATATTTTTTATTCACAATATTTATTATATTATAAATATAAAATTACAATAAACACTTATAGTTTCTAATAAAAAATTATTATTTTTAAATAGTTGAAATAAATTCTTAATATTATAGATAACAGAATCGCCTTGTTAAAAAACACACTGCGTAGTTCTTGTCACGAGCAAAAAAAATAAGGAGGCGCTTTGGCGTAAAACACAGATTGTAATACACACACAGAGAGAGAGAGAGAGAGAGAGAGAGAGGCGGTGAGGTTTTCTCGCGGAGGTTCAGTCCTTTACTGGTGAGTATAGCTATTCTTCTTCATTCGTAAAGATTTGTCTCTATTTAGTGAGAATCTTCGATGGGGTAGAGTTTTCGAATCCCAATAATTTGTTGAAATGATTATAAACTATATGTTCCTGCTGCCGTTGGTTCGACTTTTCATTTCCCCGTGTTCTGCGACTGAGACCGAAGCCAATTCCAGTTACCCCTAGTTTTGTACCTGTGATTAGAATTAGTACACATATGACCTTATTTGAAAAATGTTTAAATTTGTGCATTGCTATTCTGTAAGTTCCTTTGAGCTGGATGTGTGTGGATTGATATCATATTTTAGATAATAAAGACAAGTAACACCTACCTTAAAATTGGGCGTTACCTTTTTGGTATCTGAGTAACTCAGTCCCACTGAACTGTGAGTGTGATTTAGAAGGATAGTCCTGAGCTGAACGAGTAGTTACTTGAGTTGACACGTGTGAGTCTGTTTGGAATGAGTTGGCAAAGGTCTGCCTAGGTCATATAGGTTAATGGGACTGATCAATCCGATAGCTTGTTCATGGTTGGAGGATGTGGGACAATCTACAAGTGTAGCAGTTGACAGAACAATGCTGATGACCCAATCAGGGTAGTTGATAGGGACAGTAAAGAGCATAGACATCCTCAATGATTGACCGAGAGTCTGAGGTAGATGTCTTAAGTTCTAAAAGGATTGTTAGGTTTTTAAGGTAAGGAAAACTGATTTGAGTTCCAACTAGAGCGAGATTGCACTTGTCTGTTCTGTACTTTCAGCCGTAGAGTTGTTTATTTTAATTTTTGCAGTTTTTATCTGTGTTTTCTGAATGCTGTTGCAATTTCTTCAACTGTGAGAGTCATATTGGTAGGGATGCCACTATATATGTGGAAGTTTTTTCTGCTCTCTTTTCTGTTTGTAAAGTCAGCTGGATAATGCATGTTTATAATTGATTGGCAACTTAGTCAGAATATTCAGATGCGTTAACTAAACTGTGCATATAATTAGAGTGTGCTTCTGAAATGAAAGTTTTCCTATTTTACCCAGTAGATCACTTTCTGTGTTTGCTGCATGTGTGTATGATGTACACAGAGGAGGCCTCTTTATCATCCTTTAATTTTTGTTTGTGATGTTGTCGAATTGTATATTGGGATGATAGATTCATTATTGTGTATGATTCAGGGATATCTGCTTCCTCTTTATTCTTGGCAATACTGTTTTCAAATTCATGTGAAGAATCACTATTCAAGCTTATTACTGGGTAGGAATGCAATAATTACTGTAATTGTATTGTCTGCATAGTTACTCTTCTGTTGCAGATTCCCCTAAAATTTTGTAGTTTGTGTTGGGAATAATTATCTAATTGCTTAATATATTTTCAATTTCTAATTTTGATGAGTCAAATAGTTGTATTGTGCTCTGTTGATACCCATGGTTCTGCATGAATTCATAAGGGAGAAAAAGTTGGCTTTTTTCTTTTTCAGTTTTAAACTTTTACTCATCGAGAGCAATTCATATAACTTACATAATAATAATAAGAGTGAGTATTCACCTTGTAATTATAGAAAAGTGGAGAGGATATCAGCTTGTATTTTTTGCACTGAGATTGGAAGCTATTGGGTAGAAGGATTCCTCTTCTCAGCGGTCAATTTTCTCTTAAGCTTGAATTTGTAAGATCAATGTATCATATTTGTTATTCATTTGACATTTCTTAATTTTATTCTTGTTCTTATGTTTACTGATAGTCCACCTATCTTCCATTTGACTATTAGGAATTTGATGACACTTTGTTATAAATTCTTACAGAGAGTCTGAGAGGGATGGGGAGGAGGATACTGAATGATGCTTTGAGGACTATTGTGAACGCAGATAGGAGAGGGAAAGCTACAGTGGAGCTCAAGCCCATCTCCACTGTCATTTCTTCCTTTCTCCATATCATGAAGCACCATGGTAATTTGCTTTCCATTCCTCTACACTTGGTTTTCGTTTGAAGGATTTAGGCTCTCTTTTTAAATTTGTATTCTTTTTCCTGAAATTTGGAACCTAATAATATTCAAGACATGAACATAAGCCAATAACTTGATAATATTATTTACATATATTTCCTGTCAGAGATCACAAAACTATAGCAGTGTTTACAACATGGAAATACAAAAGAAAGGAAATGAGCAATTTGAGAGTGCTCTGCTCTCCCAAGGGCAAGTCCAGTCTGATTGCAATAATGTATAAATGGACTATATGTAGAGGGTGAGAGAGAGAACCATTGAGAAGTCAGGAAAGAATGAGTGCCTCTCGAATTGCATTGAACTAGTTGGAGACCATCTTTTTGTGTTCTAACTCTGCAAGAAAGAGTCTTTCTAGGCAGAACATAATTCTTTCTTGAATAATGATCATCTTTTACCTCAATTCTTGGAACTATTCCAGTCCCAATTACAGCCTACTTGCCCTATTTACATTTACCTCACTAAGGATCTCATGTGTGATGTGCTACATGCCACTGGCACCTGGGCAGCTATTCTTACTCTTTCCTACAGGTTTTGATTAGGTGATTTGCATCTATATTTCCGTCTCCTATACATTTACTTAGTTGTGGGCCTCTTAGCTTGGGCTTTATCAAACCCCTTTGACTGCCTGGGTATTTTAAATCACTTTTCTTATCCATTTCTGGAGGCAACAATGAATGAATTCCCTTTCTAACTGTCAAAGTGTTTCTTTATTTTTACTGGGTGTGATATTGATGTTAGTACTGCTCGGATTTGTGATTTTAAAGTGCCAATGACAAAAAAATGTCTGTCCTCTCTGAAACTTTTGTATCCCATAATATATTCCTTTTCTCTGCTCAATTTGTGTTTAGAGGACTTCCATCGCCGGTCTGGTAAATTTTTTTTTCCAAAAGTTATCGTTTAGAGGAACATCTTACGTTCAGCATGTGAAATATCTCCTTACCTAGAAGGATGAAAACGAAAAACCCGAAACTTAACTAGGGTCCTCTAACGTTCTGATAACACTACAATGCACAATTGTAGCTAATTTGGTAACTCCTGATAGGATATATCAAAGACTTTCAAGTCTATGATCCGCATAGAGTGGGGAGGATAACAGTTGAACTGCATGGTAGGATAAACGATTGCAAGGCCCTTACATACCGACAAGACATCAAGGCAAGGGATATTGAATCCTACAGATTGCGTACTCTTCCAACACATCAGGTTGGTTAGTTTTTTATGTTTAGCATTCATAAAATTTAAAAATTTATATAAGAATGCCAAATGCTGTTTGTTTCGGATGCTAGCTTTTTAAATTTGTTTCAAGACCATAAAGAGAAAAGAAAAATTGAAAAGGATAATCATGCCATTCTCTTTCTCTTTGTGCAGTGGGGTTATGTTGTGGTCACAACTCCTGATGGTATTGTGGATCATGAAGAAGCCATTAAAAGGAACGTAGGTGGACAGGTTCTTGGTTATTTTCACTAAAATAATCATCACCATGTCATTTTGATCAGCTATTGCAGTCAGCTATATTTCCTCATAAACATTCGATGAACTCGATGACGATGTTTTATTCAGCAAAGGATGTCTTGTCTTCTATTATTGTTTTTTCCTTGTAGAATTTTACATTAGTTCATGCCAAATGAGTATGGTGGATTTGCTTTCATGCTTTGTGGAAATTAGTCCTGTTTTCGTTAAATAGTATAATAGACATGAATGGATGTTATGAGCCCATTTGGTTTAAAGCTTAGAAGAATTGATTTTAGTATAATTAATTTGTGTTTGGACGTGATATTTTAGAAGTAAATAGAAAAGGGTTGATCTTGTTTGGACAAGATAAAGTAAAATTACTTTTAGATAGAAAATTACCAAAAAAAAAATTTTGTGCTGGTGGAATTATGTATTTAATTTTTTTTTTTCCGTTATTAATTTCCTATTTGAGCATGCAGTTACTGGCCTAAATGGTTTAGAAACCAATGGAAGGTAATAATATATGATGAATACAAGTTAACATGATTTAGTTGATAAAAATATGTATACATCAAACAACATTTGTTGGAGTACTTAGAAGCCGACAACTTGTATAAAAAATAAATAAATATTATTAATATATACTAATTCCTAAATTTAGCACTAACAATTTGATCCCTATATGAATCACTTAACATTATTCATTTCTGTTGAAGAAACAATGTCAGCATCTAAGTCTGGGACAAATCCACTATATCTTGCTAGTTTGGAATCACCTTAACCGAAACCTTCTAGGCTCTTCATGCGACTTCGAAAGAAAAGAAAACGTGTTAATAATAGCACAAAACAATATTTGCTTTTGCTTTGAATGACAATGATAATTATAATGGAGAATTCAAATTTGATAGCAACCACCGATAATATCCCAGAAAGATAAACCCCAAATCTGAATACAAAAGCACATAATGGAATCAAAGAAGTTAATCTCAGAGTATAAGTTAGCAACTAACACAAGCATCATCTATGTCTTGGGAATATAATACAAGATCATCCTAGTTTTAGAATATTAGACATTTTATTCTTGACTGTAAAATGCTTGTTAATTATCTAATTTTCTTGCTATGAAATGAAAGCCATGCTTCTTTTCACTGACAGTAACTTGGATCAAAGAGATTAAAGTGTATGTAAGAGAAAATCAAATTATGATTAAAGCAAATATAGTTAATATCTTGGCCTCATTTTATGCTGCAACTGAACAAACTGAACCAGCATTCATAATTTTCCGGACGAACAAACATCGCTTATATTGATATTATAACTACTTTAAGGTTTGATATTATTGTTATATCAGACCTTAAAGTCAACGAAGGCATTTATGAACTGAAGAGTTGTGTCAATAAGGGCAGGATTGATTCATTGGTGACAATAGTTGCAAGGTGCAGGATGAGTGCTTAATCTTGTTGATGCTTAATAAATTTTTCTTTAGTAGATTTACTAATAAAAGGTTTTTTTTTATTTTTTATGGCCTAAAGCGTAAACGTCCAAGGCCTCTGTATCTTTATGTAAATGAATGTTTAGTTCTGTCAGTTATTTTGACTATAAGTAAAATCTATAATTCTGAGCTGTTGGGGGCAGCATTGGCTGTTATGACGTAAAAAATCAATTAGCAAAAACCAAAATGCAGGCTGAGAAAATGATTTTTTTTAGCATCCCTTCCTCTCTGGACACAGTTTAGAGGTGAAATGTGATGTCAAATCATTAGCAAAAGAACAATCAATGTGATTAAAATCAGCTTTCATTTGTCAAATACCCTTTTTTAAATCAAAGCAACCGAAAGAAGTTTATCATTGATAACAACTTCAGGATTTAGGAAGAAATAATGATATTTACATTTGTACATAGCTTCGTAAGAGGGAAGGCATAACAAACTGAATCATAAAAAGGACTTTGCAAAGATAGTCGTGACAGAAAATAATGAGCTCGAGAAGCTAAGGACTTCAATATGGTTACGCTAGATTGTTACCATCAATTATGGGCCCGTTTATTTTTAAGATTTTTGCTCGATAAAGCCATTTTTTATAATAATCACTTTAATTTTTTAGATTATTTGTTTAAGATTATTGGTAAATCAGAAGTGGAAATTAGTCTGATTTTAGCTTATTTTAAAAAGTTTTGAACAGCTTTGACAAAAAAAAGCTGAAATTATAACTGCACTCTAAAAATGTACTTTTTATAATGGTAACAAAGAATATGCAACTTCTGATATTTATTAAAAAAAAAAGAAGAAGATTAAAATAAATCCCCTTTTACATATAAATCCTTAAAATCACTTTTTTAAAAAGCTGAAACAAAGGACCATAACCTTGGTTAGATGAGCGATTTTAAGTCGAGCCAATATATAGGACCACAAGATCACTCTACGCTTTGTCTGTAAGTGATTTAAATGCGGATAGAATAAATATAGCATGAGCAACATAACAAGATCACTCGACACAGTATATAGTACTGTGTAGTGGTGTCTACGCTCATACTGCTCAGAAAAAACCAAGAAAAGGGGTGAGTTTTGTGTCTCCTCCATGAAAGAGTGTTGTTTTGGTGCGTGTTGTATTGTTTGTATCATCTCAACATGCAGGCTGTGCTTCTGGAACTCCTCACTCACCCACTCCCAAACCCAACAATTCGCGCGTCCACCAACCGAACGAAACCACTAAGCCTCACCCGTCACCACCACCCTCACGTGACCCTCCTCTACGAGGACCCACCAAGTTCCACAACCTACGCTTCGATTCTCGAATGTTGTTGGTCCCCCACTTTGGGAAAACAGGTTCACGCCCACGCCATCAAATCCGGTTTTCACGACCACCAGTTCGTTGCAACCAAGTTGCTACAAATGTACGCCAGTAACGGCTCTCTTGAGAACGCGTGCCACGTGTTCGACACAATGCCTCTTAAAAACTTGCATTCTTGGACCGCACTCCTGCGTGTTCACGTTGAGCTGGGGCTCTTTGAGGAAGCGTTTTCTTTATTTGAACAACTGCTTTACGAAGGGGTGCCAGAGGAAATGGAGTTTTTCGTGTTCCCTGTGGTGTTGAAGATTTGTTTTGGCCTTGGTGGTGATTTGGGGTTGGGTAGGCAATTACATGGGTTGGTGTTGAAACGTGAGGTTTTTAAGAATGTTTATGTGGGCAATGCTTTGATAGATATGTATGGTAAATGTGGGAGCTTAGGTGAGGCTAAGAAAGTTCTAGAAAGAATGCCCCAAAGGGATTGTGTCTCGTGGAATTCTATTATCACTGCTTGTGTTGCTAATGGGTTGGTATATGAGGCATTAGATCTCTTGCAAAATATGTCTGCGGGGGAGAGTGGTTTAGCACCCAATCTTGTTTCTTGGAGTGCGGTTATCGGCGGATTCGCGCAAAACGGTTATGATGTTGAGTCAATTGAACTACTTGCAAGAATGGTAGTAGATGCAGGGATGAGACCGAATGCTCGAACGCTGGCGAGTGTTCTTCCGGCTTGTGCGAGGATGCGATGCCTAAGCCTTGGGAAAGAGCTGCATGGCTATGTTGTTAGACATGAGTTCTTCTCCAATGCTTTTGTTGTGAATGGGTTAGTGGATATGTATAGGAGGTGTGGTGATATGAAAAGTGCTTTCAAAGTGTTTACCAAGTTTTCCAGGAAATGTGCCGCAGCTTACAATACTATGATAGTTGGTTATTGTGAAAACGGCAATGTCTTGAGGGCCAAGGAGTTGTTTGATCAGATGTATCAAGAAGGGGTAAAGAGGGATAGAATATCATGGAATGCAATGATATCAGGGTATGTGGACAGTTTCCTGCTTGATGAAGCCTTTAGCTTGTTTCAAGATTTGCTGAAGGAAGGGATTGAACCGGACTCTTTCACTCTTGGAAGTGTCCTTACTGGCTGCACTGATATGGTTTCTATTCGACGAGGGAAAGAGATTCATTCCCTGGCCATTGTCAAAGGTATGCAGTCCAATAGTTTTGTGGGTGGAGCTTTGGTAGAAATGTACTCAAAATGCCAGGACATAGTAGCTGCTCAAATGGCATTTGATGATGTAAGTGAAAGAGATGTTCCAACTTGGAATGCTTTGATATCAGGGTATGCCCACATTGATCAAACTGAAAAGATTGGAGAACTTCTCCAGAAAATGAAAGGGGATGGTTTTGAACCAAACGTGTATACATGTAATGGTATTATAGCTGGCTATGTGGAACATAAACGGTATGATTCAGCAATGAAATTGTTCTCTGAAATGCAGATTGAAAGTTTAAGGCCTGACATATACACAATTGGAATAATTTTAGCAGCATGTTCGAAGTTGGCTACAATCCAACGGGGAAAGCAGGTCCATGCGTATTCCATAAGAACCGGGCATGACTCAGATGTTCACATTGGAGCTGCTCTGGTAGACATGTATGCAAAATGTGGGGATATTAGGCACTGCTATCATGCCTATAACAGGATATCGAATCCGAATGTGGTGTCCCACAATGCTATGCTCACTGCATATGCCATGCATGGACATGGGGAAGAAGGAATTGCCCTTTTTCACAAAATGTTAGCTGGCAAAGTTAAACCAGACCATGTGACTTTCCTATCAGTTCTTTCTTCCTGTGTTCATGCTGGATCAATTGAGATTGGCCATGAATGCTTAGATTTGATGGTAACTTACAATGTGACGCCCACATTGAAGCATTACACATGTATGGTTGACCTCTTGAGTCGTGCAGGCAAGCTTGACGAAGCATATGAACTTATCAAGAACATGCCAATGGAAGCTGATGCAGTGACCTGGAGTGCTCTGCTTGGTGGTTGTTTTATTCATAATGACGTAGCCTTAGGTGAAATTGCAGCAAAAAGGCTCATAGAATTGGAGCCTTATAACACTGGAAACTATGTTATGTTAGCAAACTTGTATGCTTCTGCAGGGAAATGGTATTATCTTGCCCAAACTAGACAATTATTGAAGGATATGGGAATGCAGAAGAGTCCAGGATGCAGTTGGATAGAAGATAGAGATGGGGTTCATGTGTTTCTTGCTAGTGATAAAGCTCACAAAAGAACAGACGAGATATATTCTTTTCTGGACAGTTTGACTAATTTGATTAGAATAAAGCATACGAGTCATTTATAACATGAGCAAATATTGGATATCCAACATAATTGGATCAACTATAGAAATGCAGTAGCTTCTTATATAGACATAATAACATTACATATATAAAATTCATCATATAATAAGAGTTACAGTCTAGACAAACTTCCAATTTTAAAAATGGGAAACAAGATGAGCTATTAGTCAAGGAATACACAATTTTACGAACTGGGAATAAACAGCTTAATGCTTATCTTACAACCTCACTTCAAGCAATTCCAAGTAATATTAATAAGGAAATTTAAGAGACAATGACAAATTTTAGAAAGGTAAGACAAGACCCTCCTGTACATTATAAAAGTATGAATGAACAAACATCGAGACTGGAATGAATGGAATAAAGAGAATTATAAGGGAATGCTACCAGTTTTCCTTTACAATTTTTGATTTTTCAAGTATGAATTTTCCTTCCTTGTACTTCTGTGATGCTTCATAAGCTTTTTCATATTTCCAACCCAACACTTCATGGCAGTCACCACAATAAACATCAGCAACAGTGTGGAGGCCAGTCGTGAGATGCCTGTCTTCTTTTGGACCTACCACAATATTCACTGCATGGGAGAACAGAAAACCTCGGCCATTTCTTCCCTGCTCATAAAATTTTGCATGAAAGGAATATCAGACTAAGATCGGGAAAAACTTATATTCCTCTTAAAACAAAGGCAAGTTTCATCAACCAAAAACCCAAGGTTAAAGAACACGTAAAAGTTCAAATATGAAAACGCCCTTTTCAGCAAATTGATGGTAAAAATGTGTCTTCAGCATACACAACCTGAATTGCCGCAATTACCACAAGCCTCACTCTTAACACTTGCCAACATATAAATCAGGTATCAATGAAACTCACTACCCCCTAGAACTAGGCATTTTCATCTATTATTACAATGAATCAGCATTGAACTTGGATACATAATAAATTCATCAATATCTGTATGTAGTATCGATCTAATATAGAGAAAAAGAATGAGAAGTCCAACTTTCAACCATAAAATAAAAAGCAAAATGTTATTTACTTCACAAATTTGAACACCGTCTGCATTCCTTAATCAAACATTTGCTACATAAACTTGTACACCCAGTCACACACGAAGAGCTCAAACCATAAATTTGACCATAAGACTTATTCGAATAACTTAAGAGCTTATTTGATAAGTTTTACCTATAAACTTATCAAAATAAGTTAAGAAGGGCTTATAGTAGTCTCATTGCCCATTTAGAAGAGTTTGCAGTTACCTATAGAAATAACTTATGACTTTCATAGACTCTTTTTAGCTTTTTCTTTTAAGTTTCTTGGTATAACTTACTAAAACAATTATTTCTAACTTATTTCAAAAAGTTTCGAGGTTAAATTTATGTCATAAATATAATTTCAAAATAACTTATTGAATAGGCGCTTAATTCCTTAAACTATTTCCATAACCCCAAATAAACTCCCTGTAAGACCAAACACCTTTTAATAAATGTACATGCTTGGCTTTGGAAGCAGGATCCACTCACAATGATGACTGAAAAAACAAGCGTACCCTGCTTTCCTCCATTTGCAAAACTTGACTTCCACTCCATCCCGCACAAAACAAAACAAAAAAAAATCCTAAAATTTTCATTTAACCCTTATTTAACGCAATACAACTTAATCTTGAGAAATGGAGGAGCAAGGTTTGAAGATGGAAAGCAAAAATAAAACAAAGCACAACCAAGACGAGATTTTCTAGTACCATTTTATTAGGACTAGAAGGATAGCAAACTACCCAGAAAATAAAGCGCCTGAAATTCCATCATCTAAGAATAATTAGCATTCTCATCCAAACTCCACAAATTTATAAACCCAAAAAGAATTATAATAAAAAAAGAACGATACACGAACCTGAAAGGTTTTAGCAATTATATCATCGTGATGTGACACTTGGTTTCTACAATTACAACAACAATACAAACGGGGCACTATCATTTCCCCCATTAATTTGTCAACAATTTCAAACTAAACTCGTCGCAGCTCTGAAAAATTAAACAATAAAATCTCAGTTACAGAGGACTGAGGAAAGCACACAACAAGAGGTTTAGATCAGATACTAATCCCAAAAGGGTTAGAAGAAAGCCTGCAATAAATAAAAATTGGGATGTTAATGGGATAGTAGTAAAATTTCTTTACCCACAACAAACAAATGATGACCCAACGATCTGCAAATATAAATTGATCTAGCATTAATTGCAAATTTTGAGAAATGAACAAACATTAAAAAAAGAAAGATAGAAAAAGAGAAGTTCTGCAAAACAGTGGAATAATATCCTAAACGTAGAAGATTAATTTTATAAAACAAAATAGAATAATAAAAAATATATAAAGCTAATTCAATCTTTATAGAAGAGAATCCCCCGTCCCGTCGATTCGATGCGGTGAAAGAAGTGAAACTGTGAAAAGAATAGGAAAGAAAATTGTTTAGTATTTATTTGTTTTATAATATAATAATTAGATTTTCAGAATTTTAATAAAAATAGTTAAGATTAATTTTAAAAGACATCTTAATTCTATTTTGTAGTATTTTTTCCTGCATTATATGAAATATTATTAACTTCAAATATTTTCAAAATTAAAAATATACTCTACAATAACTTTTTTTTTATATTGTACTCAAGATTTATGTTAAACACTATCATGTCCATTAGTCTTACAAGATTTATTTATTAAACAGTTTTACGATGTGTGTAAAGACTTTTATATGTCTAAACACTTCTTATCTTTTAAATACTTATTTTTTTTTTTTGTGGAAGTTGTAGGGATGAGAAGAAAATTTTATTTTTATTTTTTATAAATAAACGTAATATTATGTGTACTGAATAAGGCTTTATTCGGTCCTACTCGTAGAAGAAGGAAACCGAGTATCCCTTCGGTCTAATATAACCGAACATCTCTTGTTAGGTTAGAAGGTAATTAACTCAATTGAGAGTAATAATCAGAATATTATTTACTTTAATTAAAGGGCTAAAACCAAGGCTGACTTAGCAAGCCCATTAGCCCATAACAATACCTATAAAAGAAAGGTAAGAAGTATAGGTAAAATATTGACTTTTCAATATTAAATAACATTTATTACTCAGAACCAAATCCTGACTTTAGCATCAGAGTGCCTTTTGCAGGTACCCTTCTCACGTTAGGCCACGTCAGCAACAGTAAGAAGAATGTCACCGTTTCAGAGCAGAAATCTGAAGACTAATGTTTCTCTAGTAGGAAAATTATGTATAATAGTTTTATGTTTAATAACAACTCTTAAGTTTTAGTATTATTTTAAATTTATTTTGAATACTTCAATTTTTGTACATGCAAATTTTTACTTGAACTAACTTGTTTTTGAATAAGTCTTAATATGTGAAGTGTCTTCTAAATCATCTTATAAATGACATGAATTGTTTAACTAATTTGATCTTATGTCATCTTATAAATATGATTTTTACTAATTGTTTAGTCGTATTGTCTTACCAATGCTACAAGTATATTTAAACAAGCAAATTACTAGAAAGTTCATCTTAGTTAAAATGCTTTTCATTCATCAAAACATAGACAACTTTGCATTAATAATCTTTCCTATTTTTACTATGACAACTTTTTTTATTCTTTAATGAATAATATTTGATCATGTTAGATAAACAATACATCAAAGCTAATTAGTCTTTATATCAAAGTAATCGTTACAAGAGAATACTTATATTGAAACTATTGTCTTTATCAAAGTCCTAAATTATCAAAATATTTTAAATTAGAGCAAAAATAGTAATTGTTATAAGCTATATGAAAATAGTATGAATCAACTTTATATGTATGATTATTAGATCAATAGATATGAGAGTCAGAGAATATTTTATTGATGTATCATGTGGATATTCATAAATTACTGTTGAAAAGAAAGATCACATTAAAGAAAAAATTATATATTTTTTCTCCTTTAAAGATTCCTTAAGAATATGTCGTTATTGTCTATGTAAGATGAGAGACTCCAACTTTAAAACATGAGCAAATAAGTCTTTAGTGACAATTTGTTGGTTGTGAGAGAGTTGCTTTATATGATCAACTCTAACTTCCAAAAATTGCCTCCAACAAACGATTGGAGTTTGAGGGTGATAAGAATTGATGATGGAGATGCATAGGAACAAACACAAATATATTTTATATGTACAATTTGTGGTAGCTAGAGAATAATAACAAAAAGAAAATATTAGCTACAAAAACTAACAAGATAAAAACATTTGTAGATTTTTATAAGTGGTAAAGTACAAACAAAATAATTAAAAGAATGAATAGAATAAAATGTATAGAGAGAAGAGTAAAAATCTATAGTTAGTTTATCTACAAAGGCGAGAAGAAGACACTTCAACCATCATTCAAGCCATATAGTTAATTGTGACAAGTTTGACATTAGTTTCGTGAGCATCGAGCTTAGACCAAAGCAACCTTTATTTGTTAATAGTTAATAAATATGGTATGATTTCATAGAGTGTTGAGTGTAGTATTGTTTAACTTTTTTGCCTTTATTAGGAATAAAAAGTGAAGGATGTGAAATCAGATAATCTAGAGCAATAAGTAAACTAGTAGACAGTCTAATGATGCATCTCCCTAATGTTTATTCAAAAGCTTGATGAACTTTTTCATTCATTCATTCTATTCAAACACTACCTCAACCTTTTCAACACTTCTTATGCATCAATGATTTAATGAAAAAGTGAAGGAAGTTTAATAATTTTTCATTTACAAATAAGGATTGGGCATTATTTGCTCCAAACAATATTTTGGGCAGTTGGTCTTCTTAAGTTTTATTCAATGGAAAGAGATAATAATGATGAATTTGTGGAGGTGAAGTAAGTGTTTGGTGTTGGAATTGTATCGGTAAAAGCAAACACTTCAAGATGTTTGAGAGTTGTCTATTGCTTTTGAAGACATTTTTTTTTTGCAACAAGTGATCTTTGTTCTCTTTTTGATCATGACCTATGTAGTATTAACTGTTTTGATAGTAATGATCATTTTTGGATCATTTTTTCAATAGATTTTAGTTTCATTGAATTAAAAACTTTAACCTTTTTTAACAATTAATTGGGAGATAGTTAAGACTTTTTTTTAGTTAAACCATTGACTTCGTCATCATCATCATCTTCTTCACCTTTCAAAATGGTGATTTCTTTTTGGTAGTTCCATTTGCACATAAATATCCATTTGTTTGAAGTTGTTGGCCTTAAACTTGATTTTTGCCACCACTTATTCACAACTAATGTAGTTTACGTTGTGTTGGTGCAAAATCTTTGTGGAAAAAATTTCATAGGATATTCTCTATTCCTTATCGAAACAAAGGATGAAATAGTTTAGATGGACAAAAAAAAAATTAATTTTATAGTGTATTATTAAATGATAAATGCAAAATTTATGTAGTTTAGGTATTTGTGTCCTTAGGATTCTTTCTTTGCCTTACAATATAAAAGATAATAGTAGTTTTGATCTTGATAATGGTAGTTTTAATTTTTTAGTTTTCAACAAAAATAGTTCCTTAAGTACTTTAACGGAGCTTATTAAAGTTCAATTAATGCTTCTTGCATTAATTTAGAATTTTAAGATTAAGTAGGAATATTAAGAACTATTGAAAATAATAAATTAGTATTATTCTATCATTTGAAACTCAGCAGTTATGATAATTTTATTAAAATTATAATTTATATAATAAAAAAAATCATCTTAACTGATGTGAGTATTAAATTTAACTTTAATAGAAGCTTTGAAAGATAGTGTTAACAATTTACTTTTCTTACTATTTTCGTATAATTTAGAATTTTCATTAAAAAAAGTATGTGTACAAAGAAGAATACCAAATTTAATTGAGTACACTATATGTTTAGATTTATAATACCGCATTTAAATTATATATATTTATTTCCGTATTCAATATATTAGCAAGAGTATATCTCAACCTTTGACCATTATTTTAAAATGAAGAATAAATTAGTATTTTATAACTCAAAATATATCTTACACGTAATTTTCCAATGTAAATTTAATGTTTGGATCGTTATTTAAACGATTTAAAAATTGAATAGTGAGTGGAGATGATATAAACAATGATTAAGAATTGTATTGTATGGGTAACATGTTATGATTGTATTATTACAGAGTCCTTTCATCTCCAATCCGTCTATCTCTTGTCTTGTCACCAAACAGAGACAAAAACCCAACACAACTCGCCTTTCCTCTGTTCGTTCCACTTAACCACAAAGAAACAGAGTATGAATAAGAGAGAAAGGGCATCGCCGTAATTTCCATCTCTCTCCTCTTCCTCCTCCATCCTCCATGTTCACATCCTCCCACTTTAACATCAACACCAACACCAACACCAACACCAACAGCGACACCACCATTCTCTCCGCCGGTGGCGCTGCCAGGTGCACGTTCTCGTTAATGGCCGCCGCGGCGTCGCCCTCCACTCCGGTGGTTCTGTTCACCGCCCTCGCCGGCGTGGCCCTTGTGGCTGTGATTTTCTACGGTGCCAGTAGGTAAAACGGAAAAAACATTAGAGCTTCCGATAACCTTAACTCTGATTCTGTTTCACTAAGCCAAAAGGGAAAGGTTGTATGTGTACAGTTATATTTGTTAATTATTTATTATATAGATAGGAATTGTTATTATAGATGAATCATCGTACTCGTAGACGAAGTCGTAATCCATCTTCGAATTCCTCTCCTCCTTCTTCTCCAACGACGTCCTCGTGGACCCATTTGCGTTCGGTTCTATTTGTTGTTACCTCTTCCTCACCGGCTTCTTCCTCTCGTTCACCCTCTGATCGGTGAGTTCCTCTCCTCTAGACGCTGCGTTTCCACTCAGATTCTTCAATTGCTCTGTGTGTGTTATTTCGTGCCAGATCTCTCCCCATTTTCCCTTCACTGTTCAAATAGTTGAATAAATTAATTCTCTTTTTCAGCTCTACTCTGATCCATTTCAAATCAAGCAACGTGATCACCAGTTATGATTGCTTTCGTTGATTTATGTTAAATTGCAATCTTAATGGTTTATGTTCGCTTCTTTTTCGCAATATCTTCACGCTCCTATAAACGTAGAGAACATGGGTTCCTACCTCCTTCCTTCACAAAAATCAAGTTATACTAAAAATTGATAAAAAGAAATATGCTGAGGTTACACTACTGATAGGAGTTTCAATCATAAATTTAGACTATTGTTTAGCATCATATAAAGTCAATGTTAGTTGCACAAGTTGAATGGATGTGGCACTGGATGCATTTAAGGCTCTATCATTAAGGAGTTAAGACAGTTTTACATAAAGCATTTCTCTCAAAAATCAACAAACACTAAGAGAGTAAATGTGTGGAATCTCTGACAAGATAACTGTATTCCATCTAGATTTTCTAAAATGCTAAAATTTGGAGATGCTTGTCAAGTTCTTCAATTGGGAAAGAAGAAAAACGATAACTGGCTTATACATGTTCCTGGTTTCTGCTAGAGCAGTGCTGTTTACGTTTTCAATATGGAAGAATATCGTTTTGTGTACTTCTTTTTGGACACAATTGCCTGCGTGTACTTTTTTGCAGCTCTCATCATTGTTGAATGCTTATTCTCTATTCTAAAGCTTGTTTATGTATTGGAAATAGTAATTGATTTTCTTTTTCTTATGCTTTTATATTTAGGGGTCGGCTTAAATCGCCATGGTCACATAGGAAGCGAAAAAATGCCCTTTCTCCTCATCAATGGAAAAGCTTCTTTACAGAAGATGGTAGACTCTGTGATGGTGGAATTAAGCTCCTTAAAAGAGTGCGCAGTGGAGTGAGTTTACCAATTCTTTTATTTGTATTTTAAAATTGTGTTTCTCATGTTTCTTTCCAGCATCGATTACATTATCAATATCTGATGCAGGGTGTTGATCCTAGTATTAGGGCTGAGGTTTGGCCATTCCTGCTTGGAGCGTAAGCTATTCGTCTTCTGATGATCTTTACGATTTATTTATTTGCTTACTTACGATGAATCCTATTTATCTTTTAAATTAATGGCTCAATCTGGTGTTTTGCTCCATGGTATATATATATACACACACATTATGAAGGATAACAATTGCCTTGTTCTGTCTTTATTTAAGAATATTTAGAGTCAGGAATTAATAGATAATTAACTTCTTTGAGCACATTGACTATGAAAAAATATATATTTATTTCGTTAATTTATTTGCTTTAAAGAAATTAGCCTTGAACAATTAACTAAAGATATCTTCCCTACATTTCAAAAAGTATAACATCTACATCAAAGTATTTTTTTTTGTAAACCCCCCCCCTTTCCCATCTAGGTTCTCGTTCCAGCCCAACTTAGAATTGGTTCGCTTTTTATTTACTTTCTTTTTATGCACATATTTAGTTGTTCAATTAAAAAAACATTTATATGGCTACTGATTATACTTGTTCTTATAAACAGATATGACTTGGACAGCACCAGAGACGAAAGAGATGTTAAAAGAATCCAAAATAGGTGGGCATGCTAGTTTAATGATTTAATCTCGAAGTGATTGATTTATTTTTTTATTCGTGCTCTATCCATTGTGTTTCCCTATACTTCAGATTTATATCCTTTATTTTTAATGCTAACATAATATTGATTTTATGGGGAAAATATTTATACGCAGAAAGCAATACGAGAAACTTCGCAGGCAATGCCGGAAACTCTTCAAGCAAAGCAATGAAGGCAACAAGTTAAATGAAGTTGGTGAAATCAGCTACGAAGGAGACGATGGAACTCTTTTTAAAGATTCAGGTTCTTCTAGTTCTGATGATGCAGCCAGTGCTAGGGAATCTCTTTCTAGTGAAGATAGGAGCCCTGATGTTGAACATTCAGATAATCCAACCAGTTCCCTGTTGGAAGGAGATGATGTTGCTAATGTCAACAACACTGATGTCTCTACACTGGATACTGATTCCTCTGATTCAGACTCGTCAGAAGGTCCTGAAGTAATTCAAACAGTTCCTTCTGATGATGTTCAGGAAGATAAAAATCCCAACAAAGATTCAGAGGAAGCCTATTCTCCACCCCAAGAAAAAGTCTTGTCAAAGTTACCAACCTCAGAAGATTTTTCCACCTGGCAACGGATAATCCGACTTGATGCGGTACGTGCCAATGCAGAATGGATGGCATACTACCCCTCTCAAGCTGTGGTATCAGACAGTAGGGCTCGTCGTACTGCTGAGGTTGTTGGCTTGAAGGATTATGGTCACCTAGAGGCTGGCAGAATCTTCCATGCTGCACGACTAGTTGCTATTCTAGAAGCGTATGCACTATATGACTCCGAAATTGGCTACTGCCAGGGTATGAGTGACCTGCTATCTCCTATACTTAGTGTTATATCAGAGGATCATGAGGCTTTCTGGTGTTTTGTTGGATTCATGAAGAAGGCACGGCAAAATTTTAGGCTTGATGAGGTGGGTATTCGTAGACAGCTGGATATAGTTGCAAAAATAATCAAGTTTAAGGATGCCCACCTCTTTAGGCATTTGGAGAAGCTTCAAGCTGAGGATTGCTTTTTTGTCTATAGGATGGTGGTGGTGATGTTTCGAAGGGAATTGACATTTGAACAGACTCTTTGCCTATGGGAAGTAATGTGGGCAGATCAAGCAGCAATCAGGGCAGGTATTGGGAAATCTGCATGGAGCAGAATTAGGCAGCGTGCTCCACCAACAGATGATTTATTGCTCTATGCAATTGCAGCTTCAGTATTGCAGAGAAGGAAATTGATCATTGAGAAGTACAGCAGTATGGATGAGATCATTAAGGAATGCAATAGCATGTCAGGACAGCTTGATATTTGGAAACTGCTTGATGATGCACATAACTTAGTTGTCAACCTTCATGACAAAATAGAGACATCATTATCATGACAGGCAAATAGCAAACTGGTTTACAATATTATCATAAAAATATATATTATCTTAGGCTACCAGATTTCTCCTCTACATCTAAAATAAGCACTGGAGCTGCAAGGGCTATTGCTTATTATTCCAAGGTCTGTTGCTTAAACTTGCCACTGCTTATTTGTTGATTTTGAGTTGATAATATGGTGGCTAATGTGAGGATGTTATCAACAATTGCGAATGTCGTCGTTTTTTTGACTCAAGTCACGAGATCTTTTACTCTTAGGCTCTGCAAACTCGCATGTCTTTTGATTGTCTTCGAACCATTTATCGCTTGACCAGAATGCTTATTTTTCTAAGGGTAAGTGAAGAGATCACATTCTAAATGGTTGAACTTTTACTGAATTGATTCTGGAATCGATGTTATTTTAGCATTCGATTGAATTAGTAACTGTAAGTTTGAGTTTTTCGTGGGATCAATTAATTGCGTTAACACCTTTTTTATTGTTGGTTTAAGTGTTTAACATGCGTCTCTCAAAAATTATTGTAACGAATAGTAGGAAAAATTATCTTTGAACTTTTTATTCTCTCGCTACTCTTTCTGAAGAACCTCAAGAACACTATTAAATTTGCTTTTTTAATTTTGAAAATGACTACTCTTGTAACATTTCCCTTTGTCTACAGAACCCCTTAAATAATTAACAGGGATTAAAAAATGCAGTTGATTGTAAAAAAAAAATTGTCCGTAATTTTTATTATTATCCTTAAAATTATGTGAACTTCATCATCTTAATATCTTTCTACCAAAGTAATTAATGTATCCCCACCTAAGTAATAACACTTTTCCGATTAAGGTGTCGTTTATTTTTTGTTTTTGAAATTGTTTTCATTTTCATGCATTTTGAAAGCAAAACATATTTATTTTGGTACCTAATTGCTTATTTTTGGAAATTAAAAATAGTGAAAATATGCTTGGTTTATTTATTTTCAGCAAGTTGTAAGTTTATAAATAATTTTTTATAGGAGTATTTTAGCAATTTATATCTTAAGTGTATTTAAAAAAAAAATTGAAGTATTACTAGGGAACATATACTTCTAAAAAATAAGTGTATATATTAGCAACTATGAATAATAATATACACTTAGATAAAATATGTTGGTAAATTATGCTTTTAGTGTATTTTAAAGAAATTATAGTTACAGCTTATTAAAATATATTTTTATAAAAATAGTGTATACTAACAAAGTCCTTTTTTATATGAAGTTTAAAAGGATTGAGTTTATATTTTTATTAATGATTAATTTTCAATATAAATAATTATATACAATGTTGAATTTATTATAATCGTTTTATAAGTCTAAATGACGTCAATATATGTCAATTGTTATAAATATATTAAATATTAAATTTTATATTTCAAAAGGTATCGTTTTAAACAAAATTTAATGATTGGAAGCCAAAAAATTTCAAATTATAACACAAAAATTGTATAAATATAAGGTCGTTTGTCAAATATTATTACAAGTATTTGAGTTAAATCACTGCTAGACAAAAAAATGTTTTTCTTTTCTTTGAGAAAGGAAAGAAATGAAATACAAACATCAACAACGTAAAGATTTTGAACGCATATGGTAACTTGCTATAGTTTTTGGAAATTGTATGATTTTAACCCTTTGTGTATTATTAAAATTCATATCTTGTTTGTCTTTTTCATTCGTAATCAAATCTTTTCTGATGTAGTGGCCGATAAGTCAATCTGAGCTACCTTGCAACATAATAAAGCTAGATGTCAACTCCTAGGAAGCATGGGTTTTTTTTGAAAATTTTATAAGTAATTTATTTAAAAATAATATAAATGGTTTTGTCTAATTAAAAAAACACTTGATCGAGATAAACTTCATCGTTATAATTCTCATTGGTTGTCCACATTTTGTAAGATTTAATAATAAATTTCTTTCTTAATATTTTAAATGTTCCAATCAATCTCTAAAGTTTAAAATAATGTAAATAAGATAGTGTAATTATTGACCTTTCCTTAAATTTATTATTAATAAGTATTATTATTATTTTTTAACAAACTGTTATTATAAGTTTGAAAATTATCGATTTTATTGTAATGTTAAAGTACCAAATACATTTAAGATCTTAAATTGACAAACTCTTCTTAATAATAAAACTCTATTAAAAGCTGAACATAACAAACAGTAAACATTTTTATATAGAGTAATCAAATTCTCATGCTCATACCAAATCATGAAAACACCTAGAACCTCTAAAATCGTGCATTATTCTTTGGTTTTCTATGACGTAAAATATCACAGGGAATTACTTATCCCTTATCTCCTATGCAGTTGGGAAATTTTGTGAAATTTATTTATAACACTTCGTAAGCAAAGTTTAGTTAAATCATCTAAGAATGCAATATATAATTATTCTTCCTTAAGGTTGAAATATTCGTTTTTGAAAAAAATGAGAGTTTTTGCATTACATTTTTAACATAAATCCACTCTTTTTTTTTTTATTATTCCAAATCGAGCAAATGTAATGAAAAATATATTTAACAAATAAAATAAAATACCATTATATTGAAAAATTTTCTTGGCCTACTCCTTTAACCCATTTTAAAGAAATTATAATAAACTTGACACTAAGCTTTGTAGCATATTATTGACTTCAAGAAGAATTATCTCAAATATTGTTTTTACGACTGTTTGCATCTAAATCCTATTGCAGAGAGAGTACAAGTTTTAGCACTAATAGATATTAGATCTACTTTAATATTAGTTAATATAATCAGATATTTATTTTTTAAATTAAATATTTATTTGTTTTAAATTTTATTAGTTATTAAATTGTAAAATATTTATAATATATTTGAAAATGTTATTGAAATTTTATAATAATCTTTCAATGTAAGAGAAACTGTACTGGTTTTTAAAGGGATTATTACTTTTTAGTATTTCAAAATATTTATCATTGATAATAAAAATAGTTATTATTAAGAAGAAATTTGCTTACTCGAGGTCGAGGAGAAAACCTTGGTTAACTTATTTCGTTCTAAGAACATTTCACCGACGTCAACTTTCATTAAATCAACCTTGTCTTTTGATTATTGAAGTGAGTGAAAGTGAGGCACGTTGAAGGAGTAGGAGGGATAACTACAATGGTCAAAAGAAAAATAAAGTTGCTTTGCTGTTAAACTGAGATCTATAAAAGCTACATTTGATGTTTCAACTTATAGATGTTTTTGGCTGTTTTGAATGACCTGGGCTTCAACAACATTCAAAACACAACAGAAAGATCTTGTTTCCCTCAACTGAAAACAACAGATTCTACAATTGAAAAACAACCCAATCCATAAAAAATTAAATAAACTAACTTCTTTAACAAACAAAGGAAGATAATATTTTTCTTGAGTTTAGGGTTTAGGATTTACTTCCAAGTATTCTTTATCCACTGCTTTTTACACTCTCTCTTCTACTATAGTTGTCACCCTCTTAGGTTGGGCACCTCTCTCTTGTATTTTTATATATAATGAAAAGAAAACAAATGCTATATTTGTAACCTCAATGAGTTTTCTTTTGATAGTTTAGCATCTTTGTACGACAGCACATAGCTATGGACGAGGTTAACGACGAGTGTCCAATAAAGCAAGTGGAGCTAACGGTGCCCAAAACCGATGATCCGAACATGCCTATACTCACATTCAGAATGTGGGTTCTGGGAATCATTGCATGTGTGGCATTGTCTTTCGTGAATCAATTCTTTTGGTACAGAACGCAGCCTTTAAGTGTGGGTCCAATAGCAGTGCAAATTGCCGTAGTACCCATTGGCCATCTAATGGCAAGAACATTGCCAACACGTTTGTTCTTCAAGAACACGAGGTTTGAGTTCACGTTGAATCCAGGGCCTTTTAATGTCAAGGAACATGTTTTGATAACCATATTTGCCAATGCCGGTGCTGGAACCGTTTACGCCACTCATATTTTGACTGCTGTCAAGTTGCTCTATAGAAGGCCTCTAGCCTTTTTTCCTGCTTTCCTTATTATGCTCACCACGCAGGTTCCCCCTTATTTTTTTTTTTTTAATTTTCTTTCATTTTTACAATTTTTGTCTCACTAAATTTAGGATGTAATTATTCTACCATACTTTTTAATATTAATTACTATCATCCATCCTTTGTTAGGAGGTTAAACTCTTCCTCCACCTTTTTTTTTATTAATATATTGCTTACAATTTCTTTTCATAAACTAACAAGAACCGTATTCATCGACAGGTTCGATTTTCAATGATAAATTCCATTAATCTTTTTTTCTTATCGACAAACAGCAGACATCTACACAAACTGTTTCTACCTCTATTAATATTTTTTTTGGGGTCAAATACCTCTATATTAATATCTGTGATGCTTAATAAATTGTTGCATTTGTGCAGATGCTAGGTTTTGGTTGGGCTGGGCTTTTTAGAAAGTATCTGGTCGAGCCAGGGGAAATGTGGTGGCCTTCTAATCTGGTTCAAGTCTCCTTATTTGGGTAATTTAATTTATACCTCTATTTCACTTTAACAAACAAAATCTTATAACATTTTTTAAATAGCATCATAATATATATATATATAACGTGCTGATTCATGTTTAAATTAATTCAGGGCTCTACATGAGAAGGAAGAAAGAGTAAAAGGCAGCACAACCCGAACTCAATTTTTCATCCTTGTCTTGTTCTCTAGTTTTGCTTATTGTGTCTTTCCAACCTATATTTTCAACATATTGTCAACAGTGTCTTGGGTGTGTTGGATTGGCTCCAAGTCTATACTTGTCCAACAATTGGGTTCTGGCATGAAGGGTCTTGGAATTGGTTCTTTTGGGTTGGATTGGACAACAATTACCTCTTACCTTGGGAGCCCTCTAGCTAGCCCATGGTTTGCCACAGCCAATATTACTGCTGGGTTTCTTCTTATAATGTATGTAATGATACCCATAAGTTATTGGAGAAATACCTATAATGCCAAGTCTTTCCCACTATTTTCAAGCAAGCTGTTCATGGCAAATGGATCTGTATATGACATTTCCCGCATTGTTGATTCCAACTTCCATCTTAATAGAGATGCTTATTCCAACATTGGGCCTGTACATCTCAGCACTTTCTTTGCAATGACATATGGTCTTGGATTTGCTACCCTTTCTGCTACTGTCATGCATGTTCTTCTCTTTAATGGAAGGTACTAACTACACTACTCTAAAACTTTAATAGGTTTTAACAAATATATATGTTTTCTTTCTAAATATATTAGTATTTTGGTTTCTTCCAAATAATTAAGGATGTTACTTTTCATGTTGAATGAACTTAGCAAAATCTCCCAAATACCATTTGTTGTCTAATTCTATTATCTCTCTTTGCTTCCACCGCAAAAGGTTAATTTAATTCCATTTACAATTGCAAACCCCCCCCCCCCAATGCAGTGATATATGGAAGCAAAGCAAAAGTGCCTTTGGGGGCAGTAAAAGAATGGACGTACACACAAGACTTATGAAGAGGTACAAATCGGTCCCCACGTGGTGGTTTCTCATAATCTTGGTGGTGAACATTGCTCTTATCTTGTTTACTTGTGAGTACTACAAGGCATCGTTTCAGTTGCCTTGGTGGGGTGTATTACTATCTTGTGCGATTTCCGTTTCCTTTACTCTTCCAATTGGCATAATTACAGCCACTACAAATCAGGTATGTTAAACAATTAACTTAAAAATGCATGTTGATTTTACATTGATGATAAAGATTGTTTTCTAAGTGTTTTTCTCTTGCTGCTTTAACAGCAACCAGGTTTGAACGTCATAACAGAATACATCATTGGTTACATGTATCCAGAGCGCCCTGTAGCCAACATGTGCTTCAAGGTGTATGGTTACATCAGCATGAGTCAAGCACTAACATTCTTGCAAGACTTCAAACTTGGTCACTATATGAAGATTCCGCCAAGAATAATGTTTATGGCACAGGTTATTTATGTTCAATTATATTATCTTACTCCCTTTGTTTCAAACCAATTGTCATTTTTAAGAAAAATATATATTTTTTTCCATATTAACTGACGCTTTAAAATACTAACGAAACATTTAACCTTTTCCCCCTAAACAATTAATGGAATGGATTTTAACTTTCTTCATTTCAATAGTTAATATTGTAAATACACTGCCTCAGTGACACGACTAATTATTCTGAGTAAAATTCAATATAATTTTTATACAGATTAAATTATTTAGAACAACTCTAAATCCTCTTAACTTCTATTTTTATAAGTCCTCTTAATCGATATTACTAAACGAAGGAAATGTTAAATATATTTTATGTTTTTAAGATAACAAATGCATATATTTGTTTGTTTAATAAAATAAATTAATAATAAGATTATTAAAAAGACAAATAGGAAGATATACGAAAACTCAATTGTTTATTACTTTTCTGAATCCATGAATTATTTATTACTTTCCTTAATCCAACATATAGCAAAGGAGGATTAATGTTTTTCAAATTGAAAACCAGTTCTATGTTTAGAAAAACTAAACTTGGCTCACTGGGTGCATTGCAGGTGGTGGGAACCATCGTAGCAGTGATTGTATACACAGTAACAGCATGGTGGTTGATGGGGTCAGTTCCTCACCTGTGTGATGTCTCGAAACTGCCACCTAATAGCCCTTGGACTTGCCCAATGGACCATGTGTTCTATGATGCATCTGTTATCTGGGGTCTTCTTGGGCCACGCAAAATCTTTGGAGACCAAGGTGAATATAGCAATGTGAATTGGTTCTTCCTTGGTGGTGCCATAGCACCGCTTCTAGTGTGGCTTGCTCACAAGGCATTTCCAAGTCAAAAATGGATACGCCTCATTCACATGCCTGTATTGTTGAGTTCCACAGCAGTTATGCCTCCTGCAACTGCAGTGAACTTCACAAGTTGGATATTTGTTGGGTTTCTCTCAGGGTTTGTGGCATATAGATACAAACCAGAGTGGTGGAAACGCTATAACTATGTCATGTCTGGTGGTCTTGATGCTGGAACTTCATTCATGGCAATCTTGTTGTTCTTTGTTTTGGGATCCACTAGCATTCGCTGGTGGGGAAATAATGGAGAAGGGTGCCCCTTGGCTTCTTGTCCCACTGCCAAAGGCATTGTTGTTGATGGTTGCCCAGTTTTCTGATCATCATCACAACTACCTTCAATTCTGTACATATAGATACCTTGGGGTTTTGTTAACCTATTGACAACAATTTGGCTTTTCTACTTTTCTTTAGGATAAATTTGACTTCTATTAGTACTATTAAAGTTCGTTTACGCTTTACTTTTTCATATAAGGTCATTATTAGCTGTTTTAATTTCTTAATATTGTTAGTGGTCAACGAAATGCTATTTTTTAATGGAAATATTTGTGCCATTGTTGTCAAAGATTATGGTTATCCTCCTTTTCTTTGTTGAAAATCTAGCTTATCAAATTTATCAAAGGCAACAACCTTATGAATAATTTAATATATATTACAGTTTTTGGTTAAAATATACTTTTGAGTAAAATTTCAACTTTTGTGTGGTATATATATACCTAGTCAATGCACAACAGTGTGAAAACATTGTTATACAAAAGATGCTCGAATGAGATGTGTTGGTATTCCTTTTATTTATTCGCATGCATTGTACCTTGATATCGGTTATTCATTTAGTTACTTTTTTAATAAATATATTTGGTTACTTTTGGTACTCAATTTTTTCATGGTGAATAATAAAAACTCATTTACTCATCCTTATAATTTAAATATCTGCAATGATTATTTTGTTTTTATATAATGAAATATTTATTCTTTTAATTTAACTATTAATCCTTTTAGTAAAATTTTCAATTGGGCCCAAATATTTAGCTTCTCTATTTGTAAACATTGCTTGTCCTAAGAAATAAAAAGTTGGTAATCTAAAATTGAAGGACTTTTAAGAGCACAAAAAAAAAATTCATCTTTTATTATCTAAGTAAGTATGTAACAGCAACTAAACATAACCCAATTATAGCGTCTTAAATTTTTTGAAATTAAGTCTTAAACCAAACAAAGTCTCTTGTCATCATCCTCTAAAATGTTTTGTGTGGACATCATAGACTTGCTTATAAATTACTCAGCTCTCCTTACAGAAAACACATAATAGCCTTGCTTATTAGACATGTCTCCACTATACAACGCAGGAATCAAAAGATATTTTTAATAGTTATAATGTGGCCATGATTAAGAAAATGTGTGGTGAGATATAGGGAAAAAAAGGAACATGTGAAGGGTATAAAACAAACTGAGTTAGAATCTATCAAACCATTAATGGAGCCTTGAGTTTTTCAACATTACTCTCAAGTGTATTTTGCAAGACGTTTTCTTAAGTCTTTTTATTTTCTTCTTTTCTTTCCCTTCTACTTTTTGTTATGTTCCTTTTTCTTTTAACTTTTCTGTTTGTTATATTTTGAATCATTTACTTGAACATTTTGCTAGAAATAAAAATTTCTAATTGCTCTATTTATAATTTGAAGAGTAGCAACAGTTGATATTTCAATTTGTATGAAGTTAATTACCGATGAAAATTACATATTAAGTTTAAAATGGGTAATTACATATGAAGTTAAATACCTGCTGGGTATCATATGATTCTAATTTTAGATCTATATGTACAAAAATCAACGTGTGTATGGCTTTTAATAACAACTCAATTATGTTTGATATAAGAAAATGTATGATATAGTGCACAAATTATTATTGCGAATTATAAAAAGATTAGGTAGTCTTAAAAAAAGTATTAGAAAATTAAAAATAAAATTAGGGAGGAGAATTGGATTACATATTGACACGCGCGTGGATAAAAAAAATCTGTGAAATGTTGAAGTTGGAGACGTGACATTGCTAATGCAAGCTAATGGATTTAGAGCCATCCATGTGAATTTGTAATATAAATAAACATTACAGAAAATGACAATAACAGGTGTTGTGATATATATATTGGGGCAGTGCCCTATGAATCTGTAATTAAACGCCAACCATCAATAACCGTTTTTCCCTCTCATGCTTCTCTCTCAGTATTTCTTGGTTCCTCTCCATATTTCCTTCTTCTTTGAGCCTCAAAACTCAAAGAAACGGTCTTAAGATGTCAAAGGCGGTGGTTTATACCCTAATAGCCACCGCCATATTATTGTTCATATTCTTATCGCCGTTGAACCTTGAGGAACCAAAGGGTCGCCTTAATCGTAGGTTTGGGTATGAACTACTTGGGCGAGCACCAAATTTTGATCCGGTTGTCACAAATATTGAGAGAGAGGTTGGGAATGAGATTCATCATCATCATCATCATGAGCCTGCTGCTCCTCGTAGCATGTCCACATTAGTTGGTGATGTTGCGGAGACATATCAATATCTTACCTCCGCTGGTAAATTGAACACGACATTAAGGTTGATCATTTTGTTCCCTTTGCTAGATAGAGAACCAAAAGATGGGGTTATTGATTTCAATGAGTTAGAGGCTTGGATTACTCAACGAGCTAGAGAGAGATTAGATTATGTCACGCAAGCTGAGCTTCATTCCAAGGACAAGAATGGGGATTTGGCCATCTCTTTTAGCGAGTACCTTCCTCAGTTTTCAAAAAAGGATATAGGTAATATCTTTCCTTCATTGGATTTCTCTTTTCCTAATTGAACCATGCTGTTGTCGATTAGATTCCTGGAGAGAAATTCATTGAAAGATAATCAAACCTGTAGTTTGTTATAGGTAAAATATTTTATTAAATGATCACTCATATTATAAAAGCAAATATACTCACCAACTTTGATAAGCTTCAATTAATTTAATCTCAAAGAGGTACCAACGTAAAATTCAGTTTGTAACATTTCTAAATCAGTCAATTTAGTCTTTAAATATAATTACCACTCAATTTGTTCCTTAGCATTTATGAAACAAATTGAATAATAATCAACAAAGTAAAGACTAAATTGTTTTTTCATAATGCTTCGCTAGATCAAATTGGTTGATAATTATCCGAGGCAAATTAAATTTAATATTAAGGATCATATTGACTTGTAATACCGATTTTAGAGCTATAATTAATGTTTAGTATGAATTATCAAATGACATTTTTTTTCTCAAATTAATCATACATTTGAAAATTGCTTCCTCATAAAGTTTGTAGATTCATTTCTTTCCTTTTCCCCTATATTTTGGGATGGGTTGATGCTGTTGTTGTCTACAATGATAAATTTGTTATTCAATTGTTAGTGTGTATAAATTGGACATCAAATTGACAATAGAAGTATATGCTAAAACAGAGAAGAAAGAAATGGGGCACGGCGATGCAGGATGGTGGATGGAAAGATTTGATATTGCAGACACTGATCACAATGGGCTTCTTAACTTCACTGAGCTTAAAGAGTAATAAATAATTGATCACCTTTTAATCTTCTTTCTCCTTTCTCTTTGGTTTTCAATACTTTTTTTTAGTTCCATCTTAATGAAATTGTTTTTTTGGTGTACTGAAATTGATGCAACAAATTCATCACTCCTTGTAGTTTTTTGCACCCAGAAGACAGCACAAATCAGGAAATGCTGAAATGGATGTTGAGGGATAGACTAAAGTAAGCTTTCTTACAAAAAATGAAACAGAAATCACTTGTGCTATGCATGTAATTTTTGTCCTTTCCTTAGAACTACTTTGGAATTTGGGAAGAGAAGAAATATTATTGCAATAGCGGAGAGTAACTAATTTATCTAGACCACATAGTTTAAATTCGCATTTACTGTGAAGAAGGGGAGGGACTAGATTTGTGGTAAAGTGGGAAATGCAATTCTCATTATGTAGATTAAGTTCCTAATTTCCTGTAGAACCACATACATGGGTAAATTGGCTTAGCATATGTATTGCTTCGTTTATGATATAGGCGCATGGACGATGAAGTCGATGGGAAACTGGATTTCAATGAATTTGAAGACCATGTATATAGTACATATGAAAGTTATAAGGACTTTGAAACCAATGGTGGGGATGTACCTACTCCAAACGATATATTTGCTGAGCTTGATGTAAACAAAGACCTGTAAGTTTTTCTTTAAATTTCAGCGTCAAAATTATGTTTGTCCAAAGAATTTACAATTCTAAACTAAATGTTTATTCTTTGATTCACGCTATCAATGGTGTAGTGTTAAGGAATTGTTTTTGTTGATCCAAATTTAACATTATTTTGTATTTGCCAGATTTTTGTCGCCGGAAGAATTGCTACCAATACTTTCTTATCTATATCCTGGAGAGCTGGCCTACGCTAAATATTTCACGAACTATTTAATAAATGAGGTTAGTTATTTTTATATGAATTGCAAGGGTGTGTGTGCTGCATGATTTGACTCCAAATTGGAGTGATATGAGACTAAGGATGTACCAAAGAATGCAACATATTTGAATATTGTGAATTATACTATGCAGTTGTACTCCTTTTATAGCTCAACATGCCCATAAATATATAATGGTAGTTTTGAATATGTGAAATCGATGGTTGTTTGATTCAGGCCGATGATAATGAAGACCAAAAGTTGTCACTCGAAGAGATGCTTAATCATGAATATAATTTCTACAACACAGTTCATGCAGATGGCCACCAAGAAAGCGATGATGATCATGATGAGCTTTGATGATTGAACCTAGTTAACATGAAAAGTTTAACATGAAAAGTTATTCTTTGAATTTTGGTTTTGTAAAATATAGAACACAAGCAGCTATCCAAAATGAAATATTTTCTCCCTTCTTAAAAGTACATCTAATTAACATTTTAAGGTAGTCATTGGGTGTTTTGCATTCACCGGCGATTTGATGAAATAGTCGATCCTCAAAGAAACGTGCAACAAATGACAATGTATTACATGATTATATTTTTAAGCTTTGCGTTTTGGATTTGTTTTGTGTAATCCCTAAATATAAATTTTGACAACTGTATCCTTGATTTCTTAGCTTTAGTTCACAAATATTTTACCCATTCTATTTAATTTGTTTTCGCATCATTTTTGCATTTTTGGAATTTATAAGGATATTATTAATTATGTCTCAGTGTATGCACCAAGTGAAACATGTTTCCTTTATAGCGAAAAGACTTTTTTTTTCCTTTTATTATATTGTCCTCACTTCTAATGGACGACTTCAAGTTAATATTTTATTTTTATTACCAAAATAAACACCCATACAGTCAAACACATACAGTCAAACACATACACTTGAACCAAAATATAGCAGTAGATGAGAATTAACTTGTCAAACCTTCCTTTTCAAATAGAACTAGTGATTGACTCAACAATGTATAATGCACATTTCATGCCAATTTATACCTTATCTACCAATATTCAACGTGTTCTATACTACATTGTATAAGGTGACCGTTGAATAGTTTACAAGTGTCATACCAAAATAAACCCATATCCGGCAATAATGATTGAGTCCTAACATGCACAAGGGCAAGTACAGTTCCAAAATAAATCTAGATAACAAGTAGGGGCAACCAATGAACCAAATAAATCTCTTTCTCTCCTCCTCTTAAAATCAAAATTTTCTTCAGCTCCATATATAAAGCACCAAGCTCAAACATTCTTGCTCTATGCAAAATCAAAATACGAAAGAAAGTTGTTTTCTCCATAAACCCTAACATCTAATGATGAAATTTTCTTCATGAACAATCACCTCAAGTGGTTCCTAAGGTAAGAACCTCTCCCTAAGAATCCAACCTCGCTGTATTCACAAGCAGAAGCTCTCCCCTTACCTTAGAATTGATTTCCACTAAGAGAGAGAGAGGGAGGTGGCATAAGGGCGTCAAACTCTTTCTTTGGATTTCTTCCAAATACACCATGTTTCAATCCACAAGCTTCAAATCTCACAAGAAATAAAATTTCTCACCTAGAGCATGAGAATAACCAAAAAGAATGGTGAGAAAATAGGGAAATGGAGCTTGTCATACTCTCTCCACTAGAGATAGAGAAGAAGAAAAGATGGAGATGAGTTTGGAAATAGAACCAAGATGGAGGGAAACGGAGTCTTGGAGGCCGGAGCAATTCAGCCAAATGGAGGTGGAGGAGGAAAAGATCAACGTTTGCCTGATTTTTTTTTATTTATACACGATATTTAAAAATAATATATATTTTAGAATTTTGAATAAAAATTATGAAAATATAATATTTCAAAAAAACTACTATTAACGCTGATTTTTAGTATAAGTTAAAGAGATTTAAAAATTCAACAACTAAAAATATAAAAAAATTAAATGTTAAAAACTATTATCAGCGAATTTTTTTAAAAAATATTTAAAAATAAATAAACAGCAATAGTTTTTTAAATATTAAAAAATTTAAAATACTAAAAAACATCATTAAAATTTTTTTATAATTTTTTTATCAATTTTTAAAATTCTATATTTAAGTATTTAATTTTTTTCTCATAAAAAAATCATTTTTTCTTTTATAGAATTTGGTTCCATTTTCCTCAATGTGGTGGAAGTTTGACTACATCATAATTACTTTTTCATGATTATTTTTCTCTACATATAAAGCTCTTAATCCTAGACTGTTAACTTCTTTATATAATTAACCTCAAATTAATTATCTCTATTTATATTACTAACAAGCATATTTCATATATATATAATGATTTTAAAGAATTTTATTGACTTTTACTCCTTTTTAAGAGTTCTACACTGCACATTAATATATAGCATATGGACTAATACTTATAGTAAAATACAAAAATAAATTTTAAAATGTAATTCGAATATAAAAATAAATTTATTGAGATATTTGACAATATTTTACTAATATTTTAGAAATTATTAAATATTAATACCATCAGTTAAAAGTGTTATGTATTAATAAATAAAAATGACTAAATAAATTTTTATTTTTTTAGAAACATTTAAATATGGTATTGTATTATTATTTTCATTTTCAAGACACAAATTTTACTTTTATTAGTATAAGTTATTCAGTAAAGGCTGAATTTGCATTATAAAAGTTAATAGGGACATTTTGGTCATTTTGTAAGCACCAGCCTGAAATTTTTTAAAATTTATAGCTAAATAGTAAATAGATCTCAATATTTTTTCAAATCAAATTTTTTCTGACTTTTCTTGTCTCTCAACTTAGCTAATTTTTTAATATAACGTTTTGGACTAAGTAATTATTTTTTTATAACTCTACCCTTTATTCACCCTTCACAATTAAACCATCATCTACAGCTTTTAGAACAATCACTAAAAGCATTTATTTTCTGCAAACTAGTTTTGACCAACCACTTTCTCTTTTCCCATTATAAATACCCAACAACTATCATCGCTAATGGACAAGGTACGTGAACAAGAAAGAGCTTCACTTTGCTATTAACCTTCCAAAATAGTATTTTAAATTGCTTACATAGCGTTAAATAAGAATTGAAAAAGCAATTCATGTGACAATTTAAGGCTATTGCTTCACTTGTATAGATTAGCAAGTAGATCATAGGGATATTTTATTCAGTCAATATTTGATATAATTTTGAGTTTCTTTTACTAGTCACATATATCTATTGCTACTCTCTATTTAAGTTTTTTATTTAAATATTTTTTATAATTAATTTAATTAACCAATAAAAATATTTAAAGAAAAGTGATAATAAATATTTTACAGTCACAATTAAAATGTGCAATGATTTTATTAAAACGAATCACTCTCTCTATGTATATGTATTTATGTACTTGTTTGTATGTAAAAGGAATCAACAATTAAAATGTACTATGATTTTCATCATGTTGCAGCATAGAATACTGTAGTTAATAAAATATTTCCCAATGATAACGATGAAAATTAAACTAAGCTCTCCAAATGATAAGAAAATTGGAAAGAAGGTGAAATCGATTCTTCTTTTATTTCTTCTCTTCTGAAAAAATAAAAGAACTACCGATACATACAGAAACGATTAAAGAAAGCTAAAACAGAATTACAAATAATATCAAGAATGATAATACTAAGTAAATAACTAAATATGAGCTCAGCTATTCATAAGAGCCTAGGTCAACGGCAGAGGTAAACATCCCTTCAATTTCACAGATATTTTCGATTAAGTTAAACTTGTTTTTTCTGGTTAAAGCATGAAGGATAAATGAACCCAATTGGGTTGATTACAAAACAATATTATCTTTTCTTTTAAAAAAATGAAACACAAAATAAATAAATAAAATTTTAAGAATACACTATAAATAATTGGTCCATTTTTAAAAAGGTTAAATTGATTGTATCATAAATTTATTCTTTTTTAAGAAGTGTGTTGTGGGACACGAAAATCTTTTTTATGAATATCATATCCACAAATTTGTACCAATAGAAAAAAAAGTGACAAGTTATAAAAAACATTTATTATTATATATAATTTATTATTAAATAAAATTATCACTGTTTAAATATTATTAAGGATTACACGTGATTTACGCTTTTAAAAAAAATTTCGACCCTTTTAAAAGTTGACCGATCAAAACAAATATGTCTAAGAGTGTGAGTGCGTTGACAACGTTCTTCCTAATTGCATTATGTCATCACACAAGATAACAGTGGGAGATTCCGATAAAATAATGAAAAGAAGATAAAAAAGAATACCAAATAATCATTCAATGACAAAGAAATGGAAATTTAAAAAATGGAAAGGGAAAGAAAAAAAAAGGAATGAAATAAGTAGGCAACAAAGAAGAGCACTCTGAAATGGAATAGGCAAAATTGGCAAGCAAAACGCGTCCATGAATTCTTCTCATTGCTTTCTGCAGGCAACTGTTTGTATCAAACTATGATCAATATTCGTCTAAGTAAGTGTATAGCATTTCATCCTTCTTAGACTTGCGCTTGCTAAGTAATGCCTTCAGGAGACGTTTACTTTTACTGGGGTGTTGTTCTATATCTTTGATGTCTCTCTCAACAGGTAATCTCATTGAAGCTGATTTGCGCGGCTCTGAAGGGTACTGGGGAAAAACATAATGTAGACACAATTAGAGAAACTAGAGAGTTTATGGGGCAATATACAGAGAAAAGAAGCATGGTTCATGTCATCTTATTGCAATGTTTGAAGAAATTAACTTCAACTTACCCTTAATCTTTCATCAGAAGGACCTGGTGTGGTTGGTCTCCTCATTGAGTTTGGAGTAGTTGGCCTACTAGTCTTTGGTGTTGTAGGCCTACTTGACAGAGATCCAGTACGTAAAAGTGGAAATCTGTATGGTGAAACTGTCCGTTTCTCTGCATTACATGTGAATTGTAGCTCAAATAATAATATCTTAGACCTTAATGTGCCAATGAAAAAAATTTATGAAACTGATAGGAATGGGAATTTGGGACATTGTTCTCTGATTCGAGGTAAGAGAACAATATCCCAAATCATGTCCTAATTCCATGCTACTCATTTACTACTAACGATGAGGCCTCTCAATTGCTATACTCCTATGTCCTATAATGCAAGGTCTAATAACTTATCATCAATACTTGCTGTCTAAGCCCTAAGGTGCCAACACAAACCCACTACCAACAGCTAGATCAATCTCCTTTGTATTCATAATAGAAGGAATAAGGAAGAACACAGTAGAAGTTAGAGTAACAATAAAATATAAAATTATTGAAGTGCATATTACCTAAATCTTTCTTTGGCATGGTTGAAGTGAATGAAAAAGCCCCAGGTCTCTGAGGTTGTACAGAGGGTGATGGGGAACGCCCTTTACTGCATAGATATAAAGAATTAAAAAACTGTATCAAGAAGATTTTGTAGCTTAGGAAACCCACGTTAGCATTGACCAGATTAACCTTATAATATTATGCAGAATTTGCAATTACCTTACTGTAGATGTTGGCGTTTCTCGAATTGTAGCTCGAACAGCTTTGGGATACAAATCAGAATAAGACATATATTGACTTATGTTTAAGATTTTACCTTAAATAAGTGGAAATAAAATAGGGAAGAGAAACGAGATACCATTTCTGAAGTGATGCCAGTCATCTTCATCATCTAGGCTGCATCCCATATATTTTGATTTTGTGAAGCTCGTCCCTCTCATGGTCTCCCCAACTGAATTTATCAATTTAAGAGTCGTCATTTAACATCTTAGACATGCTTTCCGAAAAGTAGTATGAATAAAATAATATAACAAAGAAAAATTAAAAAAACTTACCCTTATATTATGTTTAGATTGATGAAAAAGGGTATAATGGAAAAAATGATACCAAGTTCCATTATTTGGATCGTTTAAAATAGAATGGAAGCTGATGGCACTCATTCAATTCAATTCCATCTAAGGGGTGAAACTATTATTTTTATCATTTCATCATAAAATATCCGAAGAAAAGAATGGTAACTTTCATACATTCCATATTTCCATTTGATACATCATTAGATATCTAAATATAACTTAAAATTCTAAGATAGAGGTGGAGATAATGTTTTTGAAATCTTGCCTGGCAAAATATAACGCTTATGATATTTTGGAGTACCAATCACCAATGACTGCTGAGTACGCCCTTCATGATCCATGAATGCTTGGCACGTCCTTATTCTCTAATGTTCCACATTAAGGAAAAACAATGTTACGATCTTCACAAAATTTTATTTTCCAAAGGGACATTCACCAAACTAACATGGCCCAATTTTATTTACATTACTCGCTAAAAAGCATCTTATAGCTGAATGCTAATATACTTGCTATACTTTAAGAAAAATCAAAATCAAAAACAATTTCCTTAGACTGTCAAGTTCATTTATTAATACTGACATGACAAAACTGGGAACCATAGAAAATAAACCATCTCAGTGTTTTTTTTTATCCTTTTTATTTCGTGATAATGAATTCAACGCTCTCCAATAAGTATATCATGCTGAAATCTTTCAGAAAATAATTTCTCATTGGTGAAGTACAACGCCGCTAATTGGTGACATTTAATGTTTTGTAAACATGCTGCCACTCAACAAAGGAGGAAAAGAGTCAGCCAACGAGTTTTTATTTATCAAACAATTACGTCTCCTCCTAATTAGTCATGCTGATGGTGCCTATAACTTAGCAGTAAATTGATCAATTATTTATCTTTGCAATTATACACAACATTCCTTTAACAGATTCTCCTTTTATGACGCTGAATGGAAATGATTAAGTATACCTGTTCAATACATGATAAGCGTAGCTCTGCTTCAGAAGCTTCAACAATCTTCTCATCTAACAAGTCATTCACCTTATAAGTCACAGAACCTAAGTGGTCGACCGTATTAATTAGAGCTTTAATGGCATAATCCTTCAATGTTTCAACCACTCTGAAAACTTAAAGAGAGTAAGAGAAAATGAAAAGTAAACAAGGAAAGGGTTTAAAGGATATAATGATATTAGCATAAATATACAGCAAGTAAAGCAAGGTAACTAACTCACATCTGTTTTTGGTCATCATTGTTGTATGAGAGTTCAAAATATTCAGCTGCTGAGTATAATTGTGTTCTCAGATTTTTCAAATCCTTGCAATATAGATTGAAGTAGAAAATAAGCTATCAAAACACAACATTACTGAAGCCCACAAATTTTATTATATATAAATCAAAGTAACAGTTGCATTAGACAACAATTTTTGGAGTGTAGGATAAATTAGAGAGGAAGTATTAGACCAAAGTTACCTTTAGACTATCATCAAAGAGCAAGCTCTGCTGCATGTAAACCTCATCATAATTGGAAGGCTCTCGAGATAAAGGCTCCGTTGCTATCTTCCCCATGAATGAAGGAAATGGAACTAGGTGTAGGTACCTATTTTTATCATGAACAAATCACAGCTCAAGAAGGGATAGAGACCACTGTAAACAAGAAAGAGTTGATGAAGAAACAGTTTGTTTACTTCAAACAAACTGGGCATGCGAGGAAAGCAGTTACCTGATTCGGTAGGCTTGTTTTTCAGCTTGGTTGGAAATAGAATGAGAGAGGTGAAAGCACTTTCCATTTGAAAATGTCAGAGAGAGTGAGCACGTTGTGGACCACCCTTTCTTTCATTCCAGCACTCACCTGAATGGTTTGGTACCAGATTTTTCACTAAGGTGGAGATGGAAAGTGACACCTCATAGAGAGAATTGCGGAATTAAGATAAAGAAAACACAGAGAAGTGAGCGCAAATCACGTTGGGATACATCCTCAGAAACTAGAATATTAGTTCGGTTTTCTTTGTTGTTGTCTTGTGGGTCCTTTTCTGTGAATTTTTCCAAATTTCTGCAGTTTTATGAATGGCTTCTTATCGTTGATTTCTGAAAATGGAATGATTAGTACACACTAGTGTCTACTTTTCACCTTTACGGGCGTTTTTGACTTCTTTTCAACCAAAGTGGATGGAGCTAAGGGGACAGAAATCATGCAAATAATAAACCATTTACATAAAGAATGGAAAAAAGAAATACTTTAAAGTTGTTCATCCGCATTATTGTATTCACTTTTTAAATAAAATATTTACATTAATTGATTAATTCAAAGACATTAAGAATATCTATTAATAAAAGATAACATTAAAATTTTAAAAAATAACTAAGAGAAAACATTCATGATTTTTATTTGGTTTCTCCTTTTAATTTTTTTTAATCTACACCCTCAAAAAAAATTATTTTTATTTGATCTCTTTCTTAGTAATTTATTAATTTATATCATTATTTGTTTATATATTTGAGATGATTCATATATTTTAACTGAAATATAATATGAATGAGATGTGTCAATAATAATACTATTTTTTGTATTTTTAAATAAAATTTTAATTTATAATGTTAGGACTTTTGAAATTGATATTTGAAATTATAAAAAGAATGAAGATTGTAAATGACACTATTATCCAATCAACTTTATGTCATATTATTTGAGTCAAGTTAATTAAACAAGTAAGTACTAGAAAAAAGTAATAATTTGCTAATAAAGAAATCGTATAGAAAAGAAAAAAATTTATGAGAAACTTGTTTAGAAAATGTTAGAGCAGAAGAAAATCCTTTAAAAGACGGAAAATTTAATTAAATTCTGATTATTGAAAAACTTTTCTATCTTTCAATAGTTATGCTCTAATATTTCAACATTATCTGTAAGATGATTTACAAAAAAACAATTAAAAAAAAACAAGTAGAGCACCGACAATTCTAAAAGAAAACAGCACGTTCAAATATCAAAAATATAAAATAGAAAGAGTACAAATATCAGCGATTGACAAAAAAAGAGTATAATTATCATCTAGAAAACAAAGTTACATTATTTAGAAAAGACAGCAATACGTTTTTACTCTTCATTTACCCGTTGCATCAAAATAAAAATAAAATAAAATAAAAAAAGGATAGAGAACAAAAATATTTTTGACTTAGGAAAGGATATGTTTTTATGAGAAGATTTTTTTTAAAAAAATTGTAAGACAACAAATAGATGAATATGTCTAATATAAACTTTTTATCTCTAGATTATATATATAAGAAAAGCACATCCATGCAAAAGAAAAAGAGAGATGGAGATATATGAATCTTAAACTACCAAAATGATCAAAGCTTTTCTCAACTTTTATGTAAAAGCTTAATATATCAAGCAATATCGATGATAAATTATTGTTAGTTTTTTATATGATGCATCGATATTTTGAGAGTAAATATTACATATAGAAAATGAGTAATTTGCGCATTTATATACAAGTTCTCCGAGGCATTATACCATTATTGCTATTATTATTGCATTTGTATCTTTTCAATATACCAAAATTACTTTTTTACGGTTGTTTGATTAGTATTTTATCGATATGCCATTAATTCTATCTGAACACAAATTTAAAATTTTATTTTGCATGGTCATGAATATTAATTACATTACTGTAGAATGAATTTCTAAATGTTAGTAATATTGTTGTTGCCTTTTTTTATAATAGTTTTGATGTATTGTATTTATAGTTTTTCTCATGATGTTTTTAAGTTTTTGTATGAAATATTTTTTTATAGGCAAAATACATATTATTAGATAGAGTTTAAGGGAAATTCAAAATTCATATATATAAAGAAAAAAATCAACACTTACACATAAAAAAAAAAATAGAAACATACTTATGCAATTAAAACAGATGCAATTTTGTAGGTTCAGATACTAATCAGCTAACAAAATAGTTTCTTCTTCAATAACAAGTGACAGTCACTTCTAAAACCTTGGAATAATAGAATCTATGACTTCCTTCTCATCCAAAACACTATTAGAAAATATCATTTTATTTCTATGTAACCACATAGACCACACTGTACTTACCCAAATAATTAAAAAATATATTCTTTTTTTTACTACAACCAATAACAACCTAAGCAAGTAATTTGAGTCGATAAATCTGAAGGCAAAACCAGCGAGAATCGATATTAAGATTTAGAATTCCTTTAAATCATGGCAAATTCGATAAATGAAACTGAGCATGTTAAAAATAAATGACTTAGAATTTCTTTAAATTAAGGCAGAAGTAACAAGTTATATCATCAATTTGAACATTACGATCAATCACAAATATTTACAAGGAAGTGTATTCAACAGCAATTGCTAAGAAAATACTAGACACTTAAGCCAGACCTTCCCTCTTCATAATATTTGCAAGGCATCCGCCGTACACTAATCTACACTATTAAGACCACCAAAAAGTTTAAATAATCATTAATACGCAGATTACATTGAATAACAATTTAAAAAATTCATGTGATTGAGTTAAACTTTTTATAAATAATTTGTGAAACTGAAATTGAATTACGTGATTGAATAAACAGACAAATAAGGAGTAAGTTTACATAAATGATATAGAGTAACAATTAGATTTAACTATAATTCAACGTCAAACAAAATATTTAATATAAGTAAATTTATAAATAATAATTTAAAATAACTATATCAGTGTAGAAAATATTCGACATGCAATTAATTTTTAAATTTTTATTGTTTTAAAAAAATTGAGACTTTATTAACTCAAGTATCAACCTATAAACTAACTAAACCACTTAGATAATTTCTCTTATTTTATTTATTTTAAAATTTAAAAAAAATTGTTGAAAATGAAAATATTATTTCTTATAATTTGTACACTTTTTGCATAACATATTTTTAAAAACTAATTACTTATTTTATCAATATAACCATGGTTTTTTTTAGGATAAATAACTATAAATAATTATCTGTCGCTTTAAATTTTACCTACAAGTTGCATATTTTTACCTATAAATGTCATGAATCGATAAAAGTATTGAATCTTTGTTTTGCTCACCTTCAAGTATGGTTTATTAACCATTGGTAAAATGTATTAAATCCTTTTGCCTATCAAATGTGTCAGTGTATAAAAATTAACAATATAACTTACGTATTAGTAAACATAAGCTTGCATTTTATTATTATATTAAGTTAAATTGGTATAAATTACTAGTGATATTTTTAACAAGTTTTAATATCATTAACTTTATTTTTAGGTTTATTGGTAACACTAAAATTAATTCATATTCAATTAGTATCTTTATATTTTTTAATATAAATCGAAGAATATTATTAATAAAAACATTAAAATATAAAAATCCAATTAATAATTTTAAGAAAAAAATTAACGTAGAGACCTTTCACATAATAATTTAAAAATATTAAATTTGAAGTATTTATATCTTTTTAAAAAATATTTTTTTGGTGGAATAAAAAAAAACTATATTTCATACGTCTTTGGATTTCATAAGTAAAAGTAGAAGACCCCACGTATTCATAGAATCTAAATTCCAGATTAACAAGTATCTAAGATGTTAATATATATTTAGAATGCTAGTTATAATAATATAGCTTTAATGCAATTAAGAACTTCCAAAATTGACAAAGCTAAAACCGCTAAAGTATAACATTTTTACATCATCATAATGTTTTTGTATCTAAAACCTCGTTCATGAAATATCGAATAATTAAAAAATATATATCAAATTCATTGAGTCATTGACCAAACAAAATATTAAAAATAAATGAAATACATAAAAGCTGATGATGATATATAATCTAATCAAATACCTCTCAACACAAGGATTGACGAATCCAAAACCATTAAATTAGAGCATTCTCACATCGTGTCTTAATAAAAAAAATTGTTTCATGAAAAATCAAATAATAAAAAAAATCAATTTTCCCTATTAAAAAACAAATTATTACTCAAAAGCAATATATATATATATATATATATATATATATGGAACATGATCTTCTCATATTAGTATAAGTCTAGAAACTCTTGTAATCTTTTATTTAATTTACATCTAACGAGTTATAATTTATTACTTCACTATGAAGGAAAAATTATAATCTAATTCTTAATATGACAAGTGATAAAGAAATACTATAATGAGATCAGTGTTAGAATTACCCAGAATAGTTGAAGTTGATGAGTCCATGACTGAGTGCTTTCTATGATTGATAAAAGAGACACAAAACAAAGAGAGAAAACTCCTCCTATCACCCTTTCAGATCTTTCACGTAAGTTGTCTCAATAGGGCAACAATTACTCTGAAGTGGTTAGGAGCAGAGGCCTTTCTGGTTAATAATCAAATGGGTCAAACCTACCTACTATGGCTTAACCCAATAATAATAACCATACAATCATATCCGCTGATAGGTCCAATAACAATAATTATTTATAATATAGGCTAAACAATATAATTTAATAATTTTGACATCTAATTATTCTGAATTTAAACAAAATTTTATAGCATGAATTAATTTATGTTAG